CACAATGGATTGGTCTGAAATTAAAAACAATTGGATATGAATGTGACTTTAAAAATTTATCGTACATTTTCTCGAGTGTTGGGCAACCCAAAGACAAAACCACAGAAAAGGCTGAGTCTAGGATTTACTGCAGCACTTGAGGTCCTACTCGGACTTCCACCATTGCACATCTACATACAAAGAGAAACTTGACTGGTGAGTCATAGACTAATGCAGGGACAAACCACAATCAGCCAGTAACACGGTGCAGAATACTTGTGCAATGAACTGAAGACAAATCATATACTAGGAATTCCCGTGAATACCACTGTTCCGCAGTACAACTTTCGAAAAGATTTCAAAATCATCATACCAAGTGAGGAAAACTGGCAAAACGGCCCATCGGTAAAAGCGAAAGAAAGTTGGTATACAGATGGCTCAAAGACCAAAGAAGGAGTGGGAGCCGGTATATACGGAAGCAAAGCAAAGACAAGAACCGTAAGGTTGTAAGGGTAGTGATGGGTCTAATAACGGGTCATAGCCGAGTCAGGAAACATGAGCAACATGGGTGTGACAGAAGAAACCCAATGCAGGTTCTGTCAAGAAGAGGAAGAAACCGCACTGCATGTACTCTGTGAATGCGGAGCGATAGCAAGGCTGAGACACACAATATGCGGGAAAGAGAAATCAGAGGCTGCCAGTCATATGAAGGGGTCAGTATCAAGGCTATGGAGTCTCATCGAAGAGATCCAGCTAGACGAAGAGTTGTAACAAGCAAAGAGCATCACAATAAATCTGAAAAGGTCGCAGTGAATCAGGCCATGGGCTAGCTCCCCGACAATCTAATCTAATCTAAGTGTCATATGATACATCGGTACACGAATAATCTTTCACATATTATATGTCATAGTGTCGCTCAATATGCCTAGGTAAGCGGCCACAAAATGCTTGAAATTGTTGTGACGGCACATGACAACAAGTTTTTGGAACCCTTCAAAAATTTAGAAATCGAAAAATGAGTTATGAGATCTAGAAGCAATACCAAAGGGCTAATTCCAAACAGCAAGTTGTTTATTTTTCTATAGGTAGAAACCAGGTAGATATTGGGCATAATAACAGGTAGTCATTGATATCAATACAATAACAATTTAACACAATCGCTAAGACTAAGAATTCATTAATGACACTTATCTGGTTGACTGCATTCGAAAATCCACATTATCGAAGGTGATGGTTTGCCCGGATGCATACGAAAGCTCTAAGTTAGTTGTAGGATTCAGTTTAAGTCATCTCCTGAAGATCTAACTTGGTTAGCGAAATGCACATCAAGAAATAGTGTTGAAAATAGAAATTGATAACCTCTCAAATTAGGTATCCCTACCCTCTCGACGGGGTCTCGAAAAGATGGTCGAACAATTTTCCCCCAGACAAAATTTCAAACACCGACATTAAACGGTGGTCTTTTTTTGTTTCGTTGGTCCTCCCTGTATGAAAACGTCCATGTTCTTTCGTCTACAATGGTAACATCAACATTTCCGAACGACGCTTTATCAATTATATTGTATTGGCTATCATAACATTGAGTAATTTTATAACAATATTCTTTGGAATGTGTTTGTGTCCACCAACTTATTTATGTTTCATGAAATACTATTCAAGCAAAACTAATTATGATCAAATAGCTGATGTAGGTATATTTCACTGACGAGAAATCATTGAAAACAAAAAATGCTCAGTATGTCTTTTCACATCAATACTGAATTGTTTGTTTCTGGAATGTCAAAAATATCAAAAAACGAGCATATGTGATAGAATTGGCCAATACTTGATGCACATTCATAACGTAATCAAAAAACAGTTAATTGTGAGATTTTAACTGGACAGTTTGCAAAACCGCAATGTGTTTCGCTATATAATAACTCCCTCAAGCGTTTTCATAGTTTGAACAATAGCTTGAGAGAGCATTGTTCACAGTTCACAAAACAGCTACACGTGTTTCGCTATACAATAGCTTGAGGAAGCTATTGTATAGCTTTTCTAGTATGAAAACGCTTGAGGAACCTATTGTTCACAGTTTATAAAACCGCAACACGTATTTCGCTATGAGGAACCTATTGTATACCGTATTACGGTTGCAAACTGAATAGCTTCCTTAAGCGTCTTTATACCTACTATGAAAGCTATTCAATGGCTTGATCAAGTTTCAATAGCTTCATAGCTTCCATAGTATGAAAGCGCTTGAGGAAGCTATTGTTCACAGTTTATAAAACCGCAATACGTATTTCGCTATAAGGAATCTATTGTATAGCGAAATACGTGTTACGGTTCTGTAAACTGTGAATAATAGCTTCCCCAGGCATTTTCGTAGTACAAAAGATTTTTTCATAGTATTGTTCATAGTATAAAAACACTTGGGGAACCTTTGGTTTATACTATGAAAACGCTTGAGGGAGCTATTGTATAGCGAAACACGTGTTGCGTTTCATAAAACTGTCACAATGAAGTGTCACTTGAAAACTTGAATAATATGAAATAAATTTTCATTCATCTCATTCTACCTCTACTTTACCATCGAAGAAAGAAATGGAAAACTGAATAAGTTATATAATAAAAACTTATTTAATCCAGAACTGTCACTTTAACCTTGTTTTATTCTTAGGAAGTTGTCTTTCTCCGAACATGCATATCTCTAGTAAAAAATTATTCAGTGACTAACACGAAACTGAAAAAATATGTGGCTACCTCAAGTTTCAACAACGTCTTTCAAAAAGTAACAGATATCAAATCAGTCTGATGTATTTCGAACGAAAACTCGAACCAGCTGTCCTAAATTTGTCAAATGCTTAACAGAGGACACTACTGCTTCTCTGGCTAATACAGCTCGCTGACATTGAACTATCAGTTGGCAATGCTGTTTTGATTAGATCTGTCCTACATTGATGAAAAATAATACTACGAAACTGGTCTGAAGCTTTTAATAAGGTCCTACTGCTGGAGAAATATGAAACATCTACAAGAATTGTCACTTCGAGTCAACTTGTGCTAATGTCTGTCTAATGTAATCCAATGTACGTTGAGGTATCAGCCAGGGAAAAGCTTGCTGAAGTTAAAATATACTCCTCCATATCATCCATTCAGACAGACACACGCAAACCATTTATTGGAGATAATACTTCAAGAGTAATTCAAATTCAAAATTTTAATAGGCCTCATTTTGTTCAATATCATCCACCAAACGAGTTTGAATAGGTGTAAGCCACAACAAAGCCTTGCAGGTTGCAATTGTACTTGAACTATTCAATCGTTTTAAACTGGAGTTATTTGATACAATTCAACAACTAATTTCAGCCAAGGAGCAGTAGGTTATGTTTGGTTATATGTATCAAGTCATAGTGTATATATAGTAAGAGCGACAGGAATGCTCTAGAGCAAAACGATGTGGAAATTAGCAAATCCTCTTGGCGATATTCCAGACTCTAGAAAATTGGTCACAGTGAGTTGCATTTTGACATACGATGTCTATATAAGCTATTTTTAGATGCAACATAAATAGATTCGATTCAAGGTAATAAATGTTATGTTACGAGAACTTCTTCTTCTTAGCGATTCGCTGAAAATTCATCAGTTATCGAAATTATATAGAATGGTATAGATTCTAGAATCTAAATTGTACACAGCTCAGTTGCATGTAAATTTCAATGGACATTTATGAATAGATTTATGCTTGAGGTCGGTTTTCCAGTGATTTCAAGAATTGCTTCTAATATTGAAAAAAACAATCGTTCTATCATTTTTGAAACTGAATTATGGAGAGCAAAGAGAAATGTATTGAATAGAATTTTAAGCTGAATCTCATTATTGAAGATGTTCTGCCGTTTCCATCAAATTGAAAAAACATGTAGGCACTAACCTTCCCTTAGCTTTTGGCATAATAGAAAAAACAATAAAAAGCAGCAAAGCTTTGAGGCAACTGCTTCAAACCTTATGATGAAATATTGAACATTCAACATTATAACCTTTTTTTTGGTCTGCTGATGTCATTACAATAAACCTGTGGATGAACTCAACTACGTAGAAAATTAATTTTCAATTCGGTATCACCAACATTATTCAATATCAAAACCGTCAATAAACTTTGGCGTAAAATAAATTGAAAAAAGCACTCTACCACAAATACCAGAATTGTAATATTCCACACGACTTCGTCTCCGCGTCGAGTGGTTTATTGCAGTTCTGGCGTTAAGAAACATGTTACTGTTTTGGAAACATACCCACTCTAGTCACTAACTTGACATTATTGTGGAAAATCGACTACTTCAAGCCACCATCTGCTCAGTTTCATTTTTATTGTTACTAGTATGGTTTTCCAATACATACGGTGTTTTTTCCTAGATAATTCCTTCAAATCAAAAAATATAATAATGGTTAGGAGAGAAAGGTTTTGACTTTCTACTTCTTCATCTTTACACAAAAAAATGTAATAATCTTCCAAAAAGAGGAAGAAAGCTAATAATTCCAAAATAAAATCTATAAAGATGTGTAGGTCATACAAAGAAATAACTTTCAGATACAAACTGGAAGAAAAGCCATCTCCAAACATATATGTATATCATATAAACGTTGATTTACACGAAAGAAAAATAACTTTTCAAAACAAGTACTTATACCACTGGGAGTTTTTTCCAACCCGTTATATTTTCAACACCTCGACACGTGTTTCGATCACCACGTGATCATCTTTCCATTTCATTATCACATTTGTAGTATGGGAACCATGCAACTGAGGCATATTCCAGTGCTAATCTAACTAAAGAACAATATAGAGTTCTGAGGGTATTACATGACAACTCTATACCATTTCTCATTATAAATCCTAAAATTTTGCTTCCCTTTGCCGAAACATTATTGAAGTCTCTTTTGAAGTTCAATTGTTGATCTAAAGTGATCCCAAGGTCTCTTATTTCTTTCACCCTGTCGAGTACTTTTCCATCANATGCCTTGATGATCACCACCGTGAGCAGGAACGACTCAGGAGTAGTGACCTGCGTCGCCAGGAACAAGACGGGAGAAACCTCCTTCCAGTGCAACCTTAACGTCATCGAAAAGGAACAGGTAGTCGCGCCCAAGTTCGTGGAGAGATTTACCACAGTCAACGTGGCAGAAGGAGAACCAGTGTCTCTGCACGCTAGAGCTGTTGGCACGCCGGTGCCGCGAATCACTTGGCAGAAGGACGGGGCGCCCCTAGCCAGCGGGCCCGACGTTCGCATCGCGATTGACGGTGGAGCCTCTACTTTGGATATCTCGAGGGCCAAGGCCTCGGACGCAGCTTGGTACCAGTGCACCGCCCAGAATGTGGCCGGCTCCACCGCGACTCGCGCTAGATTATTCGTTCAAACACCACAAGGACCCACGCCCGAACCAAGACGCCTTTATCTTCCTAGGCCAACGAAAGTCATCGAACCTGAGTAAGTAGCCAATAATCAATATATGATGAACATATTATGGGAAAAATTATAGAATTCAATTAGGACCAAAACATACAAGATAGATATTGGGTTGTTTCAAAAGTTTTGTCCGTTTCGATTTTATCTGTTTTTGTACCTCCATATATCACTGTGTCGTGGTATATACTGATTGACAGATAATTTTGTTCTGTATACATACATACATATATGTCGTTTTTTGGCTAAGTTATCTCTACGAATTCAAATTCAACCAAAGCGCTCCAAAACAGCCCGAAAAATTAAACAAGCATTTGGCAATTATAATGTTAATCAACGCACTATTCAACGTTGGTTTGCGAAATTTTGTTTCGGAGATTTCAGCCTCGAAGATGAGCTCCGAAGTGGTGATTCAGGACTCTGAGGGAAGACTGATGCATGAACAAACGGGGTGCGTAGGATGACGGAAAAACTGGGTGTCAGCTCCCATTTGGTTTTTGATGGTTTATAGTGTATTAGGAAAGTGAAATAGCTCAAAAAGGGGGTGCCCCACGATTTGAACAGTCGATAAAAATAGCCACGTTTCGAGGTCTGTTTTTGGGCAACCAAAATAATCCTTTTTTGCATCGGATCGACATGTATGATTGAAAAGTGTGTCCTCTACGACAAAAGGAGAAGTTGAAGACAGTGGTTGGTGACACATAAGCTACCCAGGCACTTCCCAAAACACAAAAAAATATGGTTACTGTATGGTGGTCAGCAACTGGTGTGATTAACCAAAACTTGCTGCAACCGGCTCAAACCATCACAGCAAAGTCCTATTATGTACCATGTAAATGTACCAATCAGGGACAGACCAAAACGGCCTTCGTCGACTTCATCGACTCCCGAGCATACACTTTTTATCGTGACGGAATTATTCGACTTGTGTTACGTTGACAAAAATGCATTGATTTGAACTGATAAAAATAAAACTTCTGAAACAACCAAATACAAAATTGAACTGAAAAATAATGAATAACAAAAACAAGGTACAAATATTCAAAAAGTTATCAAGGCACATGCTTTCACAAAATTTCTATTGAAAGGTGAATCCGGAAGCAGCCATATACATATACGTTGATACTATAAAAGCTTTCATCAAAACAAATATCTAATTACAATTTTGAAATGTTTATAATGAATTCTTGACTGCAGTTGCAAAAAGTTGTGTTGAGTGATATCAACATGATTTTTCGAAAATGTAAGTAGATTGAACCCAGCAGATCTTCCGAAGGTGAAAATCAGTTGGAAGAGTGTGATTAGAAAATGAAAATTGATGAGGGTTATATTGCCTGGTTTTTTCAACATTAGAAATCATACTTATCGCCTCTTATTGTGTTACAAGTATCTCTCTAACAGAAATAGATTTTCTCCAAGGGAGTATACCGTACCTTATAGGAGAATGGAAATAGGCATAATAGGTTGCGAAAAAAAACACAAATTTTCTCAATTGCCTCAATAAAAACAGATATTTGGATAGTATAGCTAGTAGTTAGGCCATTTTTCATCCGGCGATCAAATTATTGGAAGAATGTATTAGCTTCTGGGTTTTTTCCATATTAAAAAGAAAGTGGCGTTGAACTGTTTTGGGATTCAAGTTTTTAAATTTCAAGTACATTTTGCAGTTTTTCTCTGAACATAAAACAGATAGATCATAAACATAGAGGACACATTTATGGAACAGGAGTTGAAATAAAATGTCATGAATGAAAATTATAAACAAAAGGGACCCGAGTACAGATCCTTGTAAAAGTACATTCAGTTCTCCTAGATCGATATATTGCCTTCGACTTTTCAAATATTAGGTGACAAGTGAAAGAGCTTACCGTTAATCACATATATATTCATTTTAGAAAGTAGTAGAAACTTATTCAAATTTGACTTTCTGCAAATAAACCTCGTAAATAGTAAGAGAGAGAGAGAGAGAGAGAGGGTTAATTTGTGGAAAAGTTCCTATTTCAGAAAACTATCAGATGAGATTTTCCAAATTTTATTATAGGCTGCATGTCTTTCACAGAAAAATCAAACATATGTTTATGTTTTGTTGTAGAAATTGTCAATCAGTAATGATCATTCAATATTGATTTGATTTTCACCAATAGTCATGAGTTTAACACGTTTAAGATCTTCAAAAAATTAGTTTTTTATTACGGCCCTGATGATTGCTCGAAAAAAGGTATACTAACGTGTTTTATATTCCATAACAGATTCTCAAAAAATCTTTGGAACTACATTAAAAACCCGATTTTGATATAGTATAAGAGTATTAATTTGTTCACTCGACTAGTAAAACAAATTTTTGAAAATATATCATTCCAAAAATTTTTAAAGATGATCTTACTCCAACTAAAGCCTTCCATTTTTTTTCCATTCATATATTTGCTATGATAATGCAATAGCGGAGACTTAGACTTTATATGAATGATGAAGACCAGTTATAACAACAAGAAAAAATTCGTACAAAGGAATTTGTGATTCAAAAAAAAATTGGTTGAAGAAATGGTGAGTTTTCATTATGATATTTTTTTACTACTATATATTATTTTTTATAAACTCCATATCATCGCATTGGTAAATTATTGTGACATCATATGCACGTAATGTTATTGATCTACTCAAATTCGATTAGGAAACTGGGTTGATATAAATCAGAAATGAAAATAACTCAAGAACGGAACCTTGCAGCTCCCAAGTAATATGTTTCCAATACAACTACTTGTTGAACAATAATCTCACAATAAGGAATTCAAAAAACATAATCCACGGTTATCAAGTTCAGATATTGTAGGTTACCAATTCTATCTCACTGTATTTCGAAAATTTCTTATCACAATTTTCATTATTTCAGACCCGAACCTGGTCCAGAAGTAATTTACCTTCGTCACGTTGAACGGGCTCGCCCCCACGCACCTCCCGGAGATGAGGACCGAGTTTATCCACCACCGCAGTTCATCATCCCCCTGAGAGATGCAGTTCAATTTGAGGGAGGGAAAGTACACTTCGAAGCCAGAATTGAACCAGTTGGCGACCCAACCATGCGTGTGGAATGGTTTTTGAACGGAAAACCTCTGGCTGCTAGTAAGTGTCGGATATTATAATTGAATTTGTTCTAACCTTCCAACTACGATTGGGTATCAAGTTCCATAGCAAAAAATAATTTTTTGATGTAACTCCATAAACTTTCACAACAGACATCGCAGTGATAAATCACATGTTCTCCAACAAATTTCTAAAAGTCTAGCGTGTCACATATTGAATGAACTATAACAATCACATCTGTCAGAGTTTTCAATCTATTTCCAAATATCCCCAGAAATCCTTCAGGCTGTCAATATTCCAAATACATAACTGATTTTCTATTGAATCTCCGATGTTATTTCTCTTTCCCCATATTATCGTGGATCGTGGAGTCCGACAGAGTCGTACTCTTACCATTTGAACTGATAGACCACTCACCATACAAATTAATCGGCTTCGTTAAGAAGCTAGAGTTATTTGATCGAGTGTAAATAGGTGTGAGCCACAATAAACCCTTGCGGGTTGCGATGGAGAGTCGAATGGACCCACTCACTTTGGACCCAACCTAACCTAACCCCCACGAAGGACAATATTTTTGGTCAATATGCATCGATCAATATATTGATCGTTGAGGAGATTTTCAAACATATTAATAGCATATTTACAGTAATTTATATTGAAGTGTAATGATGAAAGCTATATTGATCAATATTCGCATCTGCCTTATTATTTATGAGAATTTCAGTACTAATACTGTCCGTCTGGGGGTTACAGGTTAGTAGTCGAAGTTTTTTTTTCCTGAATTATTTTTATCGATTCATTTCTCAAATATTTGGAATATTGATTTTGACTTTTTTATTTTTTTGATACAATCAAAAGATTATATTTTTGTATCCGCCGGTTTTTGGTACAACGACAGTTTCAAGTATATTGTTCACAAACATTTCTTGACTGATTATCATTTAATGTAGGATTACTGTCTCTGAACAGACTGTTTTTTACTATATAAAATGTAAAAATATTACGAATCATTTAGACTGGATAATTTATTATAAGAGATTCACTTTTATGCAGTAGTGCCTTTTGAACAGCCAAATTTAACCAATATTTTAAAAACCCGAGCCTAGTCTCTCAAAATTCAGAATTTAAAACGAGTTTTCAATGTTAGTAATTTAACATGTATACATTCACAAATTCATCGTAACATCCACTTTTTTCATTCACACAGCCAATATCTTACATTCGCAACTTTCAACGTCATTTTTTTTGCAGGTTCCAGAGCAACGTCCATCTTCCGCTTCGGATTCATCGCCTTAGATTTAATCAGTCTCATCATGAACGACAGCGGCGAATATGTCTGCCGCGTGACGAGCGCGACGGGATGCGTCGAGTCCCGAGCACTGCTTTCCGTAAACGCCCGAGCATCGATCGAACAATCCAGCCAACATCCTGATAGCTTACAATATATCCAACAGTTGGAGGACTACTCCAAATACCAAAGAACCGACAGTCTGGAGGAGAAATCCAACCAGAAACCGCACTTCATCCGTCCGCTCCAAGACCTGGGAGAGCTGCAGGAAGGCCGAAACGCCCACTTCGAGGCGCAGCTCACTCCTGTCAGTGACCCGACCATGAAAGTGGAGTGGTACAAAGATGGCCGCCCGATAACCGCCAGTTCGCGAATCACCACCATCTTCAACTTCGGCTACGTCTCTCTTAACATCATGCACCTACGGGCCGAAGATGAGGGATCGTACACTGTGCGGGCAGTAAACCACTTAGGAGAAGCTATCAGTACATCGAACATCAGAGTGTTCGCTAGGTCCACAGTCACCGGAGACCTTGGCATCCCCGAGCAGCAAAAATACATTGAAGAAGTCGAGAGGCTGGAAGCCTATCAGCATCAGCAACACCAAAAGTACGTGTTGGAGTCGCCGGAGAGCACCCAGCCTCCGGTGTTCAAGACTCCGATCAAGGACCAGAACGAAATTAGGGAAGGCGGTTTCGCACACTTCGAAGCTCGCTTGGAACCCGTGGGAGACTCCACGCTCCGAGTTGAGTGGTTGAAGGACGGCCGCCCGGTGGAAGCTAGCTCCAGAATCACGAGCTTCTTCAACTTCGGCTACGTCGCGCTCACCATCAAAGACGTCACCGTTCACGACGTTGGACACTACATCTGCCGGGCCTACAACGCTATGGGACAAGCCACTACAACCGCGCAGCTCAGCGTGGTCAGCAAGAAGGATATTATTTTCGATTCACAACACCCAGGAGGGTTGGAGAAAATTCAACACCTGGAAGACTCAAGTCGCTTCAGCCGCACCTCCAAGGAGGAGGTGACGGTCACACAGAAACCCAGGTTTTTGGGACCACTCAAGGGCACGAACAAGATCGTGGAGGGACAGAGGGCTCATTTCGAGGCCAGGGTTGAACCCCAAAACGACATGACCCTCAAGATAGAATGGTACTTCAACGGGAAGCCCATCCAGTCCGCTAATAGGATCCAAACGTATCACGATTTTGGATATGTTGCTCTTGACATTCTTAGCGTCAGAGAAGAGGACGCTGGAACGTATACAGTCGTTGCGAGAAATGCTTTGGGAGAAGCGCAACTTTCAGCTAGTATGATTGTAGAAAGTAAGTACATTACCTGATAAAATAAATTAATTGGGAAGCTGTGTATGTGAAAAAGTTAATATAGCAATTAGAATACTTCAAATCTCCCAGTTTGATGGTGAGCAAAATCAATTTAAGGAAACAATCTCAGAAGGTCAATAAGGGTTTTTGAGTACTCGTTCTAGATTGATTGAATAAACTACCTTTTTTTCAGCACGTGCTAGTATCGACACAAGAAGCATGCACCGCAACGCATATGACAAAACGAAACACATCGAAGAGTCCAAATTCGTCGAGCCTCAATATGATATCGAAGAGCTCTGTAAATCCAAACCAATCTTTGTAGTACCACTCTCAGACCCAGCACCGGTGTCTGAGGGTAAAAACATCCACTTAGAGTGTCGCTTGGAACCCATGGGCGATCCTACCATGCGCGTAGAATGGTTCCACAACGGCAGATCCGTGACAGTGGGTTCCAGGTTTAGAACCTACAACGATTTTGGCTTCGTAGCATTAGATATTATCCACGCCACTGCTTTGGATTCAGGCGAATACACTGTAAGGGCTGTGAATCAGTTGGGATCTGCGCACACGTCAGCTTGCGTGAGGGTCATCGGACGATCAGATATCATCACCGACACTCAGCATGAACAATCATTGGATCAGATCCAGCAGCTTGAAGATTCATCACGTTACCGCAAGCATGTGACCGAAGATGTTACCGTTCTTCAAGCTCCACAATTCACGAGGTCTCTGCACAACATCGAAACGGTTGAAGGAACAAATGTCCACATGGAGTGCCGTCTTCAACCAGTTGGGGATCCAACCATGAGAGTTGATTGGTTCGTTAACGGGGTTCCGGTTAAAACTGGTCATCGTTTCAGACCCGCTTACGACTTTGACTATGTTGCCTTAGATCTTCTCAGTGTTTACCCAGTCGATTCAGGAATATACACTTGTCAAGCCAGCAACCAGCTGGGCGAAGCTGTTACTTCTTGCTCGGTAAAGGTGATCGCTAAGAAAGATCTATTGTTTGAGACGCAGCACCCAGCTGGTTTGGAGAAAATCCAGTACCTAGAGGACTCCTCGCGTTATAAGCGCACTGAGTTCGTAGACGAACAAGTTACAGTGAAGCCCAAGTTCGTAACCAAACCGAAGAACTTGGATAACATGGTTGAAGGTAAACACGCCCACTTCGAATGCAAGATAGAGCCGGTTACTGACCCCAATTTGAAGGTCGAATGGTACAAGAACGGCCGCCCTGTTACAATCGGACACAGATTCCGCCCGATACATGACTTTGGTTATGTAGCACTGGACATCGTAGATCTAATCGCTGAAGATTCCGGCACTTACACTTGCCGCGCTACAAACTTCGTGGGAACAGACGAAATCAGCTGTACTTTGAAATGCAGACAGTCTGGACAAATCATCACGTCCACTCAAAATGAAACAGGCTTGCAGCAAATCCAACACCTAGAAGATCGCTCTAGATACCAGAGAAGGGAAGATGTAGAAGAGATCACAACGCAGGCGCCAATCTTCACAACATCCCTCAAGAACGTTGATATCAAAGAAGGTCAAAGGGCACACTTTGAATGTAGACTTATCCCTGTATCGGACTCTACCATGAAGGTAGAATGGTTCCATAACGGACAACCCCTCAAGTCTGGTTCAAGGTTCACCGAAACTAATAACTTCGGCTTCGTAGCGTTGGATATCTTATACACCTACCCAGAAGACTCCGGCACTTACACATGCAGAGCAACCAACGCTCTTGGTGAAGCAGTTACCTCAGCTGTTTGTAATGTTCAGTCCAAGAAGTCCATATATCTTGAATCCGTGCACGAAGGTGCTCTGGAACGTTTAACGGAACTGGAAGATTCTTCCAGGTATCAGCGTAAGACCGTACAGGAAGAGACTATCAGCCAAGCGCCTTGTTTCACGATGCCGATCAGAGACTTGAGAGTGGCAGAGAATCAAGCTGCTCATTTCGAAGCCCGGCTCATTCCAGTTGGTGACTCACATTTGAAAGTGGAATGGTTGAGAAATGGAGTACCAATTCAAGCGTGTAAGTATACTTTTTGGCAATATTCAGTAATAGGGTTTGTAAAATGAAATAATCCCACTTTTCTATCAAAATAATCTCACCTCTATTTTACAAACAGAATTCTCCCAAAAATCGTTCAAAGCGGGTTAATCTACATGAAGACGCCAGTCCAAAAAAAGTCGATCCTATTATTTATTTGCCTTTGTGTCATTCCAGAAGCACGTTTATATTCCGAAAAAAATTATAAATTCATTAATTTTTCAGCAAATCGTATGACAACAATGCACGATTTTGGATACGTGGCTTTGAATATGAAGTACGTCAATCCTGAAGATTCTGGAACCTACACTTGTAGAGCAGTCAACGATTTGGGAGAAGCCGTAACTTCAGCAACGTTATTCGTACAATGTAAGTATTGACACTATGTTCTTTGTCTCAGTATGAAGTTTCTTTAAACAATCAGATTTTGTTTATTTTTAATGAAACAATAAAAAAACAAACACGAATCACGTACAGGAATTAACATATACACTCGAAAGGAAATTTTTTGATTTGAAACGACATGTTAATGAAGTAGGTTTACTGGAATGCTGCAGGAAAAAATAGATACAGAATGCTGAAATATTAAAAAAAAAGTGAAAACTTCAGTGAGAATGAATAACAATAATACTGCCGTGAAATTGATGGAGATGATAAGTAGTCAAAGTAGGTAATACTTTAAGTAAATATGAAGTAATGAAGTTTGGGGTACCTTAAGGCACCATACTTGGTCCAATTCTTTTCACAGTATATCTCAATAACCTGTTTAATCTCCACACTGATGGGAGAATTATAAACTATGCAGACGACACAGCAGTTTTTTATGAAGCCGAAAACTGGAACTCGCTCATCACTAAAGCACAAAATGACTTTAAAACAATCATTGACTGGCTCAATTTCAAATTATTGACTATAAATTTTTCTTAAACAAAATATTTAGCCTTTTCAGTGAATAACAAAAACTTACCCAGTCTTCAACCCCTTGAAATCAGAGGTGAAAACAGCATCGTGAAAGTCACACAAGCTACAGAAATAGAATATCTCGATGTGATGATAGACAATCATTCAACTTACACATTAGAAAATTAGTGCAAAAAATTAGAACCCTATTGTCTAAATTCAAATATTTAAGAAACATTCTCGAAGAAAAACATCTCTTAATGCTGTAATGCGCATTAGTGGAATCCCAAATGAGATATGGCATAATAGCTTGGGGAGGGGCATATAATAACATTATAAAAAATGTTGCAATAATTCAAAAATGAATTTTGAAAATAATATTCAGAAAACCAATTACCTACCCATCAGATGACCTTTACAAGCTTGGCAATATATTAGATGTGAAACAAATATTTCATTTAACACTTGCTGTTGACCAGAAAAAAATCAGAGCAAAATATTTCTAGATTATTCCTACTCCATAAGGTCAAAAAATTCAACATTTTAGTTCCACATGTGACTATATCCCAGAGATCTAGCATGTTTCTTGGGCCAAAGATATACAACGATCTACCAAATGAACTGAAACAACTAAACTCATTATCTCTGTTCAAGAAGAAGCTGAAATTATGGCTGACTTCAAAATCAAGAATTTTAACACATCGATTAGTCGATATAAAAAATACATACTATGATTGATATTAAGTTAAGGCTATTTAAAATTATTTTTTTCACACACTCGTTCTGTCAGATTTTTCTGTGGAAATCTGAGGCATGCCATTATCATATCAACACAAGTTATACTTTCTTGATTTTGATGATCGCGCTTACCCCATATTTCATGATTAATTTATGACGTAAATAAAACGTTTAAAACGATTCTTTTGTACTAATTATCCTTACTTCACAACAAATTATAGTTACAATTCATATATTCTGCTGAATACTCTCAATCTTATCGTTATGATGTCCTGAATAGTAATTTTATTTTTATGAAATTTTTGGTATTATTATTTAGTATTATTTCCTTGAAAAAAAATTATATAGTTTACACTTGTCTTGAGCCATTTTTGTTCCAACTTTCGTCTACTGCTCTTTTTATAATTAGGTTATATCCAAAACTCTCAAGCTAGTTGAAAACACATTCTCTTGGTTAACCTATAATCTCATTTTTCCCCTTGTTTTCTTTTCCATTAATTTGACTGTATTACATTTGATTCGTCAAAATCACACCAGAATAATATGTCACCACACACAAGCTGATAATATCAGCTTCGGTGGATTTTTTGTTTATTCTAAGCCTCATATTACTAAGTTTTTTTATTAAACATTTGATTTTGTAACAATAGAAGGTCTGTATTTTTTTTCGCTATTTATGAATAAACATTATTATTATTTTTTACTTATTGAGCAATTACTTATTGAGGCATTAAAAAAAACAGAATAAACCGGTAGATATTGATCATATCCTTCCATCAAAATTGTAATATTTAGCAGTTAGATAAGAGTATTTGTAATTCAGATATTCTTTGCGATAGTCAAGTCGAATGTATGATCTACTTTAAGAAATATCTGACAATTTCCATGCATAAGCCCGTGAACAAAATGAATTTTTGTCATTGAAATCAATTCAAGGTATAATATGATGGCCACATTCTATCAGATCTTATGGCTACAATACAATGCACAGATCCGCACTCAACATCAATAATTTTTTTAGCCAAAGCATCGCTTCAACTTGAGTCCCAGCACGAAGGTGCCCTCCAGAAATTGCGCCAACTAGAAGATTCGTCTAAATATCAACGCCGAGAAGAAGAAGATATCACCGTGACCCAAGCGCCTATTTTCACAACAAAACTCAACGGGCCGGCCGAACTGGTGGAAGGTCAAAGCGCTCACTACGAATGCAGAATCGAACCTTACCCCGACTCTAACCTCAAAGTCGAATGGTTCCACAACGGAAAACCATTGACGACCGGTCACAGATTCCGAACTGCGTACGACTTTGGTTTTGCCAGTTTGGATGTCCTTACCGCATATGCCGAAGATTCTGGGGAGTACACCTGTAAAGCGACCAACAAGATTGGGCAAGCAACATCCTCGGTAGTAACCAATGTCAAATGTAAGTATCCAAGGTATTCTTGGGTTGGGGTTCACAATAAAACAATGGAATGTTTTACTTACTTCACCAATTCAGTATAAGCTTAGCATATAAGGTAAGGTAGGTGTCCTGTTAAGATTAGTCTTAATGAATCAACTTGTTAAGAAGTAACTCTGTACAAAGATGTGTAGATCATGTAAATACGTAACTTTCAGGCACAAACTGGAAGGAAAAGCCCCTCCAAAAATTAGTCACTCCTGAAAATATAACCCTTTCAATTTAAAAAATGTACTTTTATTTTGGCATTCTCTACAAATTTAAATTCCCTCAGAATTCTTTGATATAGTGGAAGCAGATATGGCCACTTGAACCTTTTTTTCTTTTTCAGCAAAAGCATCTATTATCCGTGAAACTCAACATGAGGGAGCCCTCCAAAAGATACATCATCTCGAAGATGACTCTAAATACAAACGCGTATCGACCGAAGATGCTGTCATTCTGGAAAAACCACAATTCGGACGGGGTCTCAAAAATATAGAAAACCTGCCAGAGGGTTCAAGCGCCCACTTGGAAGCTACTCTTACTCCCGTCAACGATCCCACTATGAGGGTGGAATGGTACTGCAATGGTAGACCAATTCAAACAGGACACAGATTCAAAACCACCTACGACTTCGGATATGTCGCACTGGATATTTTGTACGCATATGCCGAAGACACCGGAACCTACATGTGCAAAGCAAGGAACGCAGTTGGTGAAGCTGTCACTACAGCGTCTGTGTCAGTCGTTGCCAAGTCTGGATTGTATCTAGACACTCTTGATGAACAACGCCTCACCAAAATACGACAGCTTGAAAGTTACGAGAGACCAAAGAAGGAAGAAATCGAAGCTCAACCTCAAAGACCGGTGTTCCTCACTCCGCTCACAAGTTTGGAAAACCTGAAGGAAGGAGAACATGCTCACTTAGAATGCAGAGTTGAACCTATTAACGACGCCAACTTGAAAATCGAATGGTTCGTCAATGGAGTCAAGTTGAGAGCCGGACACAGATTTAGAACAACTCATGACTTCGGCTATGTCGCGCTTGACATCCTGTACGCCTATCCAGAAGACAGCGGCACCTACATGTGCAAAGCTACGAACCTAGTTGGCGAAGCCGTCAATACCTGCACTATCAAAGTAGGAACGAGAAAAAGCATTCTACTAGACACACACCATCCAGAGGGTCTGGAAAAAATCAGGGAATTAGAAGCTCAAGGCCACCCAGCTAGGCTAGAGATTGAAGAGCCTGAAGCAACACCTCCAAGATTCGTTACCGAATTACGCGGAACGACAGAAATATATGAAGGACAAACCGCTCATTTCGAAGCACAAGTTCAACCAATTCACGATCCCAACTTGAGAATCGAATTCTACCACAATGGAAAACCTCTGCCGTCGGCTTCACGTTTTCACATAACTTTCGACTTTGGCTACATTGCCTTAGACATCGGTCATGCTGTGCCGGAAGACGCTGGCGAATACTCAGTCAAGGCCATCAATAATCTTGGACAGTGCGTTTCTTCTATAAAGCTCAAAGTAATCGCTAAGAGCAACATCGTCCTGGAATCGCAAAGACCTGAAGGGCTAGAGAAAATTAGACAGCTAGAAGAACAGCAGCCTTACAAACGACCAGAACACGAAGAAGCTGTAACTAGGCAAAGGCCAGTTTTCACACAACCGTTGCAAAACATTGACTCCATCAACGAAGGACAGACGGCTCATTTCGAATGCCGTCTCATACCGGTTGGCGATCCAACCCTGAAAGTAGAATGGTTCAGGAACGAAAAACCTCTAGAAGACAGCTCTCGCATAACCAAAGTACATGACTTTGGGTTTGTCTCGTTGGATATCACCCATGTTAGAGACGAGGATGAGGGAGTGTATATCTGCAGAGCTACCAATCCGCTTGGAGAAGCTGTCACGACTGCATCTATGAAAATTAGAAGTGGGTAATTTTTCATCACAATATTCAGTTCTTTGAATAACTATAAAAAATAAATTGATGTTCATCTTTCCCAAACTGAATTACTAACATCAACCTACCAGAATAAACTTCAACATAATTCATAAACACTACGTCCCTGAATAGTTTTCAGTTGGATTCAGTATAATTTTCAATTTCAGCCAAAGCAAGCATCCAATTGGAGTCACAACACCCCGAAGCTCAACGTAGAATTGCGCAGTTGGAGCAGCCACTAGCACCAAAACCAGACGAACCGGAGCGTGAATTTGAGAAACCAATCTTTACCCAATTGCTAACCGGTCCAACTGAACTGTGGGAAGGCCAACATGCCCACTTCGAAGCTAGAGTAGTACCGGTTGGTGATCCCAACTTACGATTCGAGTGGTACGTCAATGGTGTTGAACTTAAACTTGGATCAAGATTCAAAGTAACCCATGACTTCGGATTCGTCACTTTAGACATATTATCCACAGTAAAGGAAGACTCTGGAGTATATATGTGCAAAGCCATTAATAAATCCGGTGAAGCCGTTTCATCAATATCGATGAAAGTGAAACCCAAATCCAACATTATAGGAGAACCTCTACAACCTGACGCTTGGCAAAAAATTCAGCTGCGAGAAGCTGAGATGAATAAAGTACCAGAAATGTTCGTAGATACCACTCCTCAACAACCGCCTGTATTCACCACTCACTTGAAGAGCTACGATAATCTGATCGAAGGTCAGCATGTCTACTTAGAAGCTCAGGTAGAGCCAAGGGCCGATCCAAATCTGCGTATTGAATGGTTCAAGAATGGTATTTCGCTGGCTACAGGTACACGTCTTCGTAGTACATTCGATTTTGGCTTGGTAACCTTATCCATCAACGGCCTTAGAGACGATGATTCAGCAATATACACCTGTAAAGCTACCAACAAACTGGGCGAAGCTATTTCCACTTGTTCACTGAAAATTGAAGATCGTCACTGGCTCTTAGGTCAGACACTACACCCAGAAGCTTTACCAAAACTAGAAGCCCTAGAAAAACCACATGAGCCAAGACCTGATGCTCCAGAGATAGTATATGAGCTGCCAATTTTCATTACTCATCTCAACAACGTCGAGTGTACTGAGGGCGACAATGTCCACTTCGAATGCAACGTTGAACCATCCAAAGACCCCACCCTCAAAATAGAATGGTTTGTCAATGGCAAGCCTCTACCAAGTGGAGCAAAATACAAGACCACCTATGACTTTGGTTACGTAGCCTTGGACATCACCCATTCCTATGAAGAAGACTCCGGTATCTATACATGCAAAGCTACCAACACTAAAGGTTCAGCCACAACATCGGGATCATTACGATGCACTGCTAAACAAAGTATCTACTTAGATACACAACATCCCCAAGGAAAAGCAGGTTTAGAAGCTGTCGAAGATGTTGAGCAAGCTATTGCTGATAAGTATAAGCGCCAAACGTCGGCTCCTGAGAAGGAATTCGGTAAACCCATTTGGGTTGTACCTCTCAATCCTGAGTTCAGACTCGTAGAAGGACAGGCTTTACATCTAGAAGGTACCGTAGAACCCAAAGAAGATTCCAACCTGAAGATCGAGTGGTTCTTTAACGGAAAATCGTTGGAACATGGAAGCAGATTCAAACTTACCAAAGACTTCGGTTTCGTCACATTAGATGTGACAGATGTGTATGAAAGAGACCAAGGTATATACACTTGTAAAGCTTATAACAAATCTGGAGAAGCCTTCACATCAACAACTATCTACTGCACGAGCAAGTCGAACTTGATTGAGCGCACTCAACATCCTAAGGGCCAAGAAGGGTTAGAGAAGATTCAGGATCTCGAAGATTCTCTTCACAGACCCGAAATGCCGCTAGCTGAATCAGAGGAAGGTCATGCACCTGTTTTCACCTCTGAATTTACCAACCTGAACAACTTGAGTGAGGGTGAAATTGCCCACTTCGAGGCAGGCCTCACCCCCATTGGAGACCAAACAATGACTGTTGAGTGGTTCTACAACGGTAAAACTATCGAAGCATCTCACAGGTTCAGAACAGTTCACGCCTTTGGAATGGTTGTTCTCGAAGTACTAGGAACTAAGATAGAAGATTCTGGGACTTACACTTGCAAGGCCACCAACAAGTGGGGAGTAGCTGAACAAAGCGTTACTCTTGAATGCGTAGAACGTTACTCTGGACAGAAGCCAAAGTTCACCACACAGATCCAAGACATCGTGGGACTCAAAGACGGACAATCCGCCCACTTCGAATGTACCTTAGTACCGGTTAACGACCCTAATCTGAAAGTCGAGTGGTACCATAATGGCCAGCCTATTCTCCAGTCATCCCGCATAAAAACCGTATCCGACTTCGGTTTTGTCGTCATGGACATATCGTACATTCAGAGCCATGATTCCGGAGAGTACGTCTGTAGAGCGTACAATAAATTTGGAGAAGATTTCACAAGAGCTACTATTTCCGCTCACGGAAAGGGTGGAGTTTTCACCGATAGCTTGCAGCCAGAATCGCTCGCTAAAATTAGAGAGTTGGAGAGCCTCCAAGGCCAACAAGCTCAAGTTCCCTCCACTCCGATAACCGAGCCACCAAAATTCATAACTCAGATTCAAGATGTTACGAAGCTCGTTGAGGGACAGAGCGCTCACTTCGAAGCCAGGCTCACACCAGTCACAGATCCAGATCTGGTGGTAGAATGGTACTACAATGGCAAAAAATTACCACACGGCCACAGGTACCGTACCTTCCACGACTTTGGCATTGTTATCCTGGATATTTTGTACTGTTACGAAGAGAACTCTGGCGAGTACGAATGCAGAGCTTACAATAAACATGGTAGTGACTCCACCAAGGCTGTTCTGAAATGCGTCTCGAAAACGAATTTGATCTTGGACTCGCAACTGCCGCGGGTAAGTTCATTTTAATATTTCTGTAGAAAAATCTCTTAGAGGTGCATTACACGTATTTCATTAAAACATATCCTTCCCTTTGGAAGTGAAAACACATTATCAACTTCCAGAAAATGAAAAACATAATTGAAAGTTTCACCAAATCAGTGAAATAGATTAAAAAATCCTTTTAATACAAATTTTCATTGATTTCTTATTCTAACAGGGCATGGAAGGAGGGTTAGAGAAAATACAAAACTTGGAAGACTCCCTAATCCGCACCCGAGACGAAAAAGAAGAAGTTCAGAAAGGACGAGCTCCTGTATTTACAGTACCACTCGCCAACATCGACAGCCTTCGCGAAGGTGAAAACGCTCACTTCGAAGCGCGACTGATCCCAACCGACGACCCCAAACTGAAGGTTGAATGGTTCTGGAATGGAAAACCGCTAAGAACTGGTTCCAGATTCCGTACGTTCTGCGATTTCGGATTCGTTATCCTCGAAATTTCACCCGTCTATCCAGAAGACTCCGGGGAATATTCCTGCCGAGCTTTCAACGAATATGGAGAAGCAGTAACAACAGCTTCGATGAAAGTATCCGGTAAAAGGAGTATTATCTTGGAATCTCAGCTACCTAAGGGAATGGAGGGAACTATCGATAAAATAGCGGAACTTGAAGGACTTGGAGCTGCACCATCTCAACTCACACCTGATGATGATACTGGTCGACCACCCGAGTTCATTACGTCTCCATCAGATTTGGCGCTCAATGAAAATGGTCTAGCTCATTTCGAATGCAGGCTCATTCCAGTCAATGATCAGAGCATGCGTGTGGAATGGTTCCACAACGGCAAACCTCTATGGGCAGGTTCCAGAATAAAAACCATCAACGACTTTGGCTTTGTTATACTAGAAGTTTCAGGAGTCTATCAGAGAGATTCCGGTCTATATACCTGCAAGGCCACTAACCGACATGGTGAAGCCTCTGTATCTTGCCAGTTGCAAGTAAGAGGGCGACAGGGCATCATTATGGAGCCCCAGCTACCATCGAACTTCCGCACTGGCACAGAAAGTATACAAAAATTAGAAGAACAGCTGTACAAGAGAGAAGAAATAACGACGGAGGAGGAAAAACCCAACCCACCTCGGTTCATCGTCGAAATTAAGGATAATGTTGATGTTCCCGAAGGCAGTCCGATCCACTTCGACTGCAGGGTCGAGCCCACGAATGACTCCACAATGCGTATCGACTGGTTCCATAATGGCAGACCATTCGCCACCGGTTCCAGAGTACATCAGATAAACGACTTTGGCTTCATTTCACTCGATATCGATTACACATATACAAGAGATGCCGGTGAGTACATCTGCAGAGCCACCAACAAATGGGGATCGGCCACAACTAAAGCTATGGTTACATCTAAAACCAAGAAAAACATTGACACTGACAGTCAACTACCTTCTGGTATGAGCGCTGAGAAGTTGAAAGAGTTAGAGAAAGGACCTGTGTCCCAAGCTCCTGAAAAGGACAAGACATTCTCACCACCCAAATTCATCACACAAATACAGTCCTCGACTGTCGAAGAATCCGAATCGGTAAGGTTCGAATGTCGTGTAGAGCCTAAAGACGATCCTAAGTTACGCATTGAATGGTACAGAAATGGCAAATTACTACCATCTGGTCATCGTTATAGAACGGTTTATGATCTGGGTTTCGTCTCCCTCGATATCCTGTACGTCTACTCTGAAGATTCCGGAGAGTACGTCTGCAGAGCTGTCAACGACTATGGTGAAGATTTCACTAAGGCAAATATCTCATGCAAAAAACTACCGAATATCATTCTACAGAATCAGGTACCAAAGGGAATGAAGAGGTCCGAGACCCTCATGCAAATGGAAGCCGCTATTAAGAAGTACACTTCGGAAGTTTACCTCACCGAAGATGATCTGTACGATGTGGATAAGAAACAGCCTCCTAGGTTTGTCACTCAAATTAAAGATCAAACCGATTTAGTCGAAATGAACACCACCAAGTTCGAATGTCAATTGGCTCCTGTTGGCGACCCTAACATGAAGGTGGAATGGTTCCTGAATGGAAAGCCACTTCCTCACAGTAAGTATCTAAAGCAACAGTAGAAACTGCATATTAACGAAGATATAATACTAATTTCAATTCCATTTCAGAAAATAGATTTACGCCTATCTACGACTTTGGTTACGTCGCCATGAACTTCGGCTGGGTATATCCGGAAGATAGTGGTGAATATCTGTGCAGGGCTACCAACTTGTATGGAATGGATGAAACCAGGGCAGTGATAAAAACCACCGGAAAACCAGGAATCATTTACGAATCACAGTTACCAAAAGGAATGAAGAGTATAGAGAGAATTCGTGAACTTGAAGCCGCTTGGCAAGTGTAAGTATATTCAGAAAAAAATAGTTTCAATTATAATAATAATGTTCAGGTGATAGTTTTTCGTGAAAGATTTACATATGCTCTGTCACTATCTGGGACCTTTTTCAATCTACTAGTTTACTACATTCAGAATTTGAGGAAACTGAGATGAAGACTTCTGAATTTTCATTTTCACATTCAATATTGTGAATGAAAGCGCTCACCACACAGTTAACAGTTGAAGAACAATAATCGTAAATAAAACAAAAATGAAAAAGTTCATCGTGTGAGATGTTCCAGATGGTTCATTAGTTTTAAAGCTACAAGTGGAAACATCTAGAGATTGTTAACGATCACTGTCAAAAATAATATACTAGTTCATGGCACTGTAAGAAACCTTGCACAAAAGTCAGAATATCATTCGATTGAGGTAATAGACAGAAAAGTTGTGTTCGTCGCGTGGTAATAGACGGAAAAGTTGTGCTTGTGGCTCGTCTGTAAGAAACTTAAGAATTAACACCATTCAAGCTTCAGAGTGCAATTTCATGCCACCGTAAAAACATCGACAGATGATACGATAGAGGTTGAAGACAACTTAATGTTGAGGTTAGAAGTTTACTTATTGCCATGCTCGTATGTCGAGGTCGATGTATTTTGAATCTTGGATCAGATGAAATTATTATTTTGAAGAGTGCTGAGTTCATTGAGCTGAAATTTATAATTGTTGAGAAATAAGAGATAATTATTCATAAAGTTGAAAAGAACCGTCCCATTAATTAATTCGTTCATCATTCATTTACCAAATCAATGCTCCCTTTCCAGAGTTCCTGAAGAACCTCAAGAGGACACCAAACCGAGATCGGCGCCAGCATTTGTAAGCAAACCAGAACCCGTCACTATTGAAGAGGGCGAATGGGCAAGGTTCTGTTGTCGCGTAACTGGTCATCCAAAACCGCGCGTGATGTGGCTCATCAACGGGCACACCGTTGTCAGCGGATCACGATACAAACTCACATACGATGGAATGTACCACATGGACATTCCCAAAACAAGGCAATATGACACCGGTAAAGTGGAGGTAATCGCGCGTAGCTCAGTGGGCGAAGCTATTGCCGAAACCGAGCTGAAAATCATACCGAGACACGACGATTACAGAGGAGTACTCAAAAACTCACCAAGACGTAAGTTATTCACCTGGATACTGCACCACATTCTATTCACAGAAACTGGGTGGCTGGGGTGCGTGGAAAAGGTCCAAAAATATATTATTAATTGAGTTTGTATACTATCAGTTGGTTATTCATTAACGAGGATATTTCAATTATAATAATTCATCAAGCAATCAATCAAATACCACCATTTCAAATTCAATTTTGCGGATTCCAACAAATCGCGAATAATTTGTTCCATAGGAAATCAAATGACATGGGTAGCAATTGAAAATGCATAAATGAATAAGTTTTACGGTGTTGTCAAGTTCATCTCAAATGTTAGTTACGCCACGATATCATTTTTACTTGATTTAAAAAAAACTACTGACAAAAAATTGTAAGAAAATAAAACGAGGTACATGTAGTTTCCACATATGCGGTTTTGCCGTTATCAGTTCAAATCCATTGTGTGTATGAAGAGGTCACTCATTTTTCACTTTAGTACAGACGTTGGTTCATAGATGCTTCCAGGAACCTCCATTTTGTTTGAAGCACGAGTTAATTCAACCTTCAATATCAGCAAAAGGTAACAGCAAAAAATTGGCTCATTACATTCATGCACAAATATTAGCATCAATTGAAAAGATATGATTATTAAAATACGAGAACCCTTCCTCATTGAGAACGATAATTTAAAATTCACATTAGAAAGACCTGCACTAGCATAATTGGTTAAATTCAGATAAACAAACTGAAATGAGGCAAAAATAGGAGCCTAGTAAGATAACTGTTGATTTTGGTGTTAACTATAATGAATCATAGTTTACTTATAATATCATTATATTATTCAAAGTTTTGTTAGAAGCTTATAAATAACCTTGAGTTGAAAAATACCCATCTTTGAAAATCAATGAAATTTCACATTTTAACAGAAAATCTCAATTATACTTTCTCATCTTTCAATAAAATATTAACTATTTTAAAATCGGATGTTAATAATCTCAGGCCCCATTTTCTGCTTCATTTCCGATATTCTTTCGATCGAAACTTTTGACTACATTCAGGGTAGAGAATATAAAAGATTTTTGTGAAACCTTCTTCAATCCCGTTTAATTTTACTACAATAACTTGTCTAAATTATTGAAGTGATGAATATCAATAGATACATCAGCTAGGTTCTTTTAGAATTCTGAAGCAACTGAACTTCAAACGTTCAAGCCAGTCTCTATATACCTACACAGTAGGTTTAATGGACTGACGCCTATCAGAAAATAACTACTCCCCTGGCTAATACCACGAAGGGCGTTGGATTATATCCGTAAATGTCAAATTTTTTCAATTTTTTTTTCTATGTTAGCCTACGAACTTTTCAGTCCCACTGTTACATTTAGAAAAAATAACAAAATTGAATAGAAACAAAAAACAGGTTCTACAAGAATATAAAAACGTCTTCAAAATGAACGTCGAAGTATAATGTAAAAATATTGCTAGAGCTAACAACGCATATGAAATACGCATACTCAATTTATAGGTTTCAAAAACATAAAAGAAGTAAAATAACTTTCATATGTCAAAAACTTTCATTCATAAGTTTCATACACATAAATATAATCAATTAAAGGATTGAGATATTCGGAAAACATAGAGAACTGATAGAATCTGAAATCAGTTCGAATTCGCCGCACGAGATATTGGTATGAATGTCCGACTAGACAGACCAACCTCGGACAGAACAAGGCAATATCGAGATAGTATCGCAACGATGAGAATTTTGCAACTCGATATTGCAGTTGAAAGGAATATTATGTTGCCGCCTAAGTTCACTTTGAGAATAGTTAATTTGATTTATTTTATCACTGAATATTCTACATTCGCAATCATCACAAAAAAATGTCAATTGCAATCTAGTACGTTGCTCGTTATTGTGTACCAATCAGCTGGAAAAATCATTTTGAGCTCTGATTTCAATAAGGGTGCCAAGAAGTACATCATCGTACGTCGCGTTCTATAGATAAAAACTCTAGGAAGAAAATTACTTTAGTCGAAAGTAACAACCTTATACTGATCTAAAGCAAATGGAACTTCAAACGCATAGCATAGTGCATAGCAGTGGGCATAGCCCACTGACTAATAAGAAAAATCTTTTAAAATTGCCCGATACAGAAAAATAACTGAAGATTCAACTCAATTAATGAAAACTTGGTAGCCCAGTTCCACACATCATGGTCTATCTTTGTATACTTTACACATTGCACATGATCCACGATTAACTACAAGCACAGATCGCATCGCAGCACATCACTATGACACTAACACACCATTCTTTCGAAACTCCTTTCCCATTTTCTCTCTCTTCCCCTTTTACCTCCCACCGCAGCCGAGAGAATTTTTGCTTTTTTGAAGCGCACATCAGTGGGTGTTTCTAAGCTTTCGACGGAATTTATGATCAGGTACGATTGGTGATTACCTATTTTTTGTGATAGTTCTGCATGCAATCCTGTCCCCGTGCAGTATGTGTAATGTATAATGGGAAGCAAGATGGAGTCTTGTTGCACGAGTGAAAAAAGTATTTTTTCAGTCTCCAGTTATAAATTTTCTTCAAAGAATTGCATAAGCACTTGATCTTTATAATGAATCAATGAAAAACAAAATTTTCTCAACAAAACAAAATTATTGTAACTTACTCAAATCTCTGTCGTCACTCATGGTGTTTGATATGACCTCAAGCGGAGTTTTTATACATTCTTCATTTGTCCAGCCATCGTCGACCAATCGTGAACTAATCAAATGTGTCCGAAAGTTCCTAAACTCCTCACTTTAATATAAACTTTCGAAACGGAAATATGTTTTTCTACTATTTTCAACCAGCAGTTTCGGCAAAATTTTATAAAAGTTTTTTGTTCAACATCAAAACAAACACTTTTCTCAAACACCAAAACTACAACAATCTTCTCGACGCACCTGTTTCACCAACTTGGTTGGTGAAACAGGCGTCTAGAAGAGTGTTGCAGTTCTGGTGTTTGAGAATAGTGCTCACTTTGGATTAATTCTACGCCAGATGTTTCAGATATGACTTCCATTAATTGACAATTCAGTGACTTGAGAAAAAAATTATATTAAATAAAAGGGAATATTTTTCAAGTAAAAATAAGTTTTTTTGGAAAAAAGTCATTCAGGCTTTCTTCTTCTCTATTTTCAAAGAAGTTTATTTTTTTCAATTCAATTAGAGGTCAAATGAAAACGATAAGATCCGCAACGACGATAGTATATTAGTTTATATACCAAAAAAGTTCAATTTAGATTTCATAATCAAAATGAATACTCAACAAGAGAAACAGAAAATCAAAAAGCCTCTTTACAAAAAAACTTACTTTTATCCTACGAATTCTTCAACTTTATCTGGAGATCAACAAAAACGGTTCTGAATGTTGGATCAATTTTCCAGTTTTTAGTCCAAATGATCACCACTGACGGAATTCTTTTAGGTATTTTTTTCAAAATATTATAAAAAAAGTTCGGATGTTTGTAGAAATTACATGAGAATTGTTACTTTTTTAAATTTTCCGAGAGGTGTTCGTGAAATGAATGTTTTGGAAAAAAAATCATAAAGTATGTATATAGCCTTTCTATTTTCCGATTTTGTCTGAAACAAACCGTCTGTGGATCTTATGGGATAATATAATTGATTCAAAATTTAATATGTTCATATATCTTAATTTGTTCAAAAAGTACAAACGTAAATTATCAGCACTGATGGACAGACAGATGATAGACATTTTAAAAAAAGTTGTTTTATGCTGATTATTTTTTTCAATGCAATTTGTCAAATGAAAAAGTTGATATTTACTCAGATCACAGTATATTACTTCTGGAGATCGATAAAAACCTATACGATACAATTGTGATTTCAAATTCAACCACGGCCAAAATAAATTTTCCCAAGATATTCAACCTATATTTAAGTTATTAAGATCAGAAATTGTAATCAACGGTAAATTTGATGAAAATGAATCTTAAATTTATTCAAAATTTTATGCTGAATTGAATTTATTATAAGTATCTGAATGCATAACATTGATAACGATATATTGATGCTGATGAAATATATCTAGTGCACCTGACCCCAAAATGCCTTCCCAAATATATGTATTTCGAACAGTGTCTTCATCCACATATATATCGACTTCTTCGCTTGACCCAACACTCTTCTGTTCAGCTTGGTACGACCTAGAACTGTCCGAGTACCAACGGGAACGTGCAGAAACCGAACTAGAAAAAGTGTTCGACGAGCGAAACACCACGCTCCGCGAAAGCGGCCTGCACGTGACCGGAGTCCACGCGCAACCGAAGGAGTTCAAAGAGCCCGAAACCGAGTGGCAGAAGACTATCAAAAATAAGAAAGGAGAAGAATACTACAGCAAGATACAAGAGCTCGAGAACGAGCAAGTCATCAAAGAGATCAAACTACGCGAGCAGTCCCATCAGTTTGCCATTCCTGGGGAGAAGCTGGTCAGCAGCTCGCTCGCTAAAGGGATGGCCCAGAAGTACGAGGAGAACCTGTAAGTACAGACTGAAATTGTATAATGTCTTCATTGTACATGCAATTAGTATTTCAATCATCTTTTTATTGAATATACTCAAACCCTATAAAATACAATCTGACAAAATAGATAAGTATAGTAAAGAACTTCATAATCAGAAAATAAACTGTTTTGTCAGCTGCAATTGTTCTAGAACTTCCTGGTCAGTTGCTGAAGTCAAATCCCCAATTCCACCCAAAACCATCGAATAGTACAATCAACTTTTTCATAAGTTGAAACGTCCTGTTATTTTCGATTATATATGAATTACAATCTATATTTCTTTTCAGGGAAGAAAAACCATTCGAGGTAGATCTGGCCCCAGTTCCGAAACTTCCAAAAGCTGAGCAACCCAAACCAATCCCCCACAAAGATATGGTGAGGTTGAAGAAAACCGACAAGAGCAAGGAGTTCGTCCAGCACGAAGTTGAAATTGACTCTAAGCAAGGCGCTTATCCGCCCGAACCGACAGAATCCGGAGTTCACGGTCGAGAAATCTACGTCACGAAACAGAAACAAACTCAGAAAGAACAACGAGGCGACTTGGAAATCACTCGCAATATCACCGAAACAGAAACAACAGATGTTGAACACAAAGGCAAAACCCAAGAGAGGATAGTGCAGGGTCAAGTGCTGCCAAGCAACCCGCCCTTCTTCACCAAGAAAATCAAACCTTGCCGCGCTTTCGAAAATGAGCCGGCCAAGTTCGAAGTTGAATTCGACGGCGATCCGCTACCCAAAATTACCTGGTACAGGGAGGACTTTCCAATCACTAGCTCGCCAGACCTGAAGATATACACTTTCAGCACCAAATCAATTCTTCAGATCAGACAGGTCTTCATGGAGGACTCGGCGGTGTTCAGCGTAGTAGCTGAGAACAGAGGAGGAACTGCCAAATGCAGCGCAAACCTAGTCGTACAGGAACGCAGACGACAAGGCAGAGGAGGTGTTGTACCACCCAGTTTCGCAACCACGATACAGAGCACGAATGCCAAAGTAGGGCAGCTCGTGCGCTTTGACGCTAAAATCAACGGCACCAAACCCATCGACGTTTACTGGTTGAAGAACGGGAAAAAAGTAGTATCAGACATCAGATACAAGACACTGGAAGAAGACGATCTCTACACTCTATTGATCATAGAAATTGTACCGGAAGACGCTGGTAAATACGAATGTGTAGCTATGAATAACGCCGGAGAAGCTAGATGCGAAGCTGAGTGCACGGTCGCAGCTCCAGCCTCGCAACAGAAACAAGCCAAACCTACAACCCCTGGGAGCGAAAAAGCACCAACAATCGTCGAACCGCTCAAAGACCAAACCATCAGAGAAGGCCAAGCCGTCATCTTCAGAAGCAAAATCTCAGCGAAACCCTCTCCAACTGTTAAGTGGCAGAAAGGTGATAAGGTGATCAAGCCTTCCAGGTACTTCCAGATGTCCAAAGAGGGCGATTTCTGCACACTGAAGATATCAGAGGCTTTCCCAGAGGATGAAGGAGTCTACAAATGCGTTGCAGAGAACCCTGCTGGTACCGTTACCACCCAAGCTAAACTGAAAGTGCTTGCACCTGAGACTCAGGATCTTGCGCCATCTTTGACGCCAATGAAGGACGTAACTGTGACTGAAGGCAGTCCAGCTCAATTCAAGACGACGATTTCCGGGAAGCCCAAGCCTACCGTGCAGTGGCTGAGAGAAGGGTTCCTCATTCCTGAATCTCCAGATTTTCAGGTGAGTCTGAACTGTCATTTTTGTTCTTGAAGAATTGAATCCTTTCAAGTTGAGATTATCGCTATCAAATGTCTCGATTGTATACTTTGCGCTCTGCATATCGAGTGAATAGAAATGATAACATTACAAGAGGCTATTATTGGCAGCATAGGTTTCATGTCGTCAACTACTAGCGAACTTGTGTTAGAATACTGAGAATTTGTTTTTTGTTTCAATAACTTTTCTTAAAATTACAAAAACCTTATTATCAGATCTTATTTCTACAGGTGCTATTGATGATATCTTCAAGTCTGATGTGGGGTAGAATCAGTCATGGGTTAGGTTATAGGTCAGATTTTGTTTAGATTTGTAGTGTCACTCTGACCTTATCATATACTCAATAAACTTGCATATATGGACTATGTTTACTTTCAAGTTATAGGTACAGAATCCTCTGTTAATAATAGTGCCCTGTAATGCTGTTCTGACGTCAAACGTGCCATTACGTAGAGCACAAAGTGTATATGAGAGACTTTTATTATATCCGAATCCTGCAGAGTTACGTGTCGATAGAGCGAAAAAGAATGGCGTTTATTAACTCATCCCTTACTTTAGTCTTAAACAGTAACAAGTAATGTCATATATTTTTGCTTCAACTTTCTACAAGAAAAAGAGCTTTCGAACGAAAGGAAAAATTATAGCCAATACAGTCTTTCAATATAAAAAAGAAAAGTTTATACGAAACAACTACCATCCTAACTTCATTAGATATTCGAAAACGTGTTTCTAATACTACACGTATAATCCCAGTTTGAGAAGTGGTGTACCATAAATCAGTACAAATGTCTGTGGCATGTTTCCGTGACCAAAATAGACGGTGATTATTCAATTCAAAACATATCTTCCAAATAAACAACATAGAAAGTAGAACAGAATCGTGAACATCAGTATTTCCGTTTGTAGAAATGTAAATATAATATACGGTTTATTTATAAAAATCATAAAAATTCAGATTATTCTTCACTGGGAGTAATAAATTGTTCAATCAGAGTATAGAAACAGATTTCTTTTTGAAAACAATTATTTTCTTGTTAACATAGTGCTTTCCAGGTAAACCAAGCCACCATGAATGATTCATTTCATTTTGAGCCTGTGAAAAATCGTGAAATATATCGACTTGGATTTTCAAGAGAACTTATCTGCCACCTCCAACTCACAACAACCCTCATGTCGAAAATTTCAAATGGAAATAATCAGAATCAAATTTCGCTTCAGTTTTTTTGAATATCTAAGAAAGAATAATTTTCCAAGAAGTTGGAATACCACCATCGACTGCATTGTTTCAAAGATTGGTAACACATGCTGAAGGTTTAGAATTTATCAAGCGGAATTTTTTAGTTCTAGTTCAACACTCCTGCCATCCCCCACTTAAACCACAAACCACTGAACCACAAATGCATTGCTGGACTCAACTCTCCCTAAGGAACAAGCGTGAGTAAATGAGGGTATGGCACCTTCCCTTACGAAAGCGCCATCTATGGGATCGACAGAGAACTCAACGTTCGAATATCGGAGATAAACGAGGCTCCACAAGGCGATCAGTTGCAAAGCCGAGTGTCGTCCTATCAAAATGGAAACTTCAGTCAAAGAGCGAGGACGAATCAAGTCGGCTGTCAATTTCAAAGCTTTGCTTTTCAACTGGTCGCCTGGGAGACCTCGTTCATTTTTGATATTCGAGGGTTGCGTTCTCTATCGATCCCATAGATGGCGTCAACGTGAAGGCAGATGTGATGGCTCTCGTTTACTAACTCTTGTTGAGCGGCTGAGACCAGTAATGCATTTAAGGTTCAGCCTAGCATCACTGATGAGACCTATAGCGGGTCGGAAACAACGTTGTCTGGTGTTGGATCACAAATGCGTTATGCTTGGTCTTATTTTTAAAACTGGATACTTCTGAAATGATTAAAAACCCAGCCAACCTCAAATAGTCTATTAAGCTGCAAATCGAGAAGAAGTACTCTTTATTTTCTCTGCCAAACTCGTGTAAACTATGAACGATTAACGCAGTGAACATATGTAATCGATTTATTTTAAATCTGGCTGACATAATGAGAAACAATAATAATCAAGCCGTTTTGATTGCCAGCTTCAACAACTGTTTGAAACAATTACCATCGTCTGAAAATAGTTTTGCGCTCAGTCTAAAATTATTTCAATTACATTTCCTGCTATACTAAATCTGCTTCTGGGTTTGAAAATTTCAATGAATATTTGCAAGAGAGTTAGTTATATGAGTGTATGCAGCGTAAAATTAATGAGTGGGAAATTTGGAACTAGGAGTGTTAAAAAACCTGTGTTCTTTTGAAAAATCTCACCATGGAAGCGTATCTGCATTGTTTCATGTCGTGAAACGCGTTTCACAGTAAAGAATGCCTGAAGACCAGCCGCGAAGAAACAGACAAAGCTTACTAGGATTCGGATCTTTACTGCATTACAACATATTCCAATATATTTGGAGTACATATTTTTAATGTGGTGATGTTAGGTTAGATTGTTTCCCCTGAAACAAACTGATTGCTCAAGAAGGTACGTCATTCCATTGTCTTCTCTCTCAACCCTCAGGGTATATTAAGGTCCTTTTGACAGTTTTCTTTGTCGAAGACGTCGACGACAACACCCTTCTGGTCATTAACGATATCCTCTGCAAGAACTGACAAGGGTGCACAAGAATTTACGCCATTCCATTGTTCTCAGGGGTACATTTAAGCCTTTTTGACAACTCTTCACGTACCTACGTTACCCTTATATCTAAGGGTTGAGAGAACTCGATGGACTGTATCCAGCTTAGCGGCTATTTAACTACTATTAAGCAAGTTACAGTTGTAAAACAACAAGTTTTGTCTGGCTCTACAGGACTGGTCTTCAGACATTCTTTACTAGTTTTCATTGCCATACAAGCGATCTAGGGCAGTGAAGAATAACAAGTTGGCAGCAACTTCAAAATTCAAAAATTTCCGAAACTTCAAATATGTATGTATGTTTAAAATATGTTTTGCCGTTAACTAGCTGTCGCACCCCTATGAACGACAACCCTGTGCGAGCTAAGGCTAACGAGGTCTTACCTTTTCATGTGTGATTCCTAACACAGATTGGACGATAACAAGTGAAAATCAATTGTTCAGCATGCGCCTTGAACCACCGACCAACACGGCTGTCAATTTGAGTGAGTGAACCAAGCACCCACGTTGAACCCAGGGCCGTATCGAAAAGAAATACCAGGGGGGAGGGAATCCAAATTTTCCCAACCACACCGGCAAAATTGCCCAACTCTCGAGAAAATGAAAGCCGAGGGATTAGTTACTACTATGAAATATTAATTTTCTTACTTAGCTATCCAAAGATTGGCTGAATACTTATGCCCGTTAGGGTATGCACAAACAAAAATAAATTTTGGTAATTATAAAAATAATAATGGGAATTATTCTACTTTCGACCAAGGTCCTTGGTCTTCCATCATTTCCCCCATGTATAGGAATATTCAATACAAATGAAAGGAAACAACACTTAAATAATATTGTGCTTATTGTTTTCTACTAATATTTTTTCTATTTTCTCGGCTCGAAATTTCCCAATTTTCCAAAAAAACAGCGAAAAGTTGGGAATTTTGTAAAATTGTCACTTCAAAATTTGTGGACTGTTCAGGACTGTTCTCTTACATGGGAGAAATTAAACTTTTCTGAAGTTTTCAAACAACTCAGAATTTCAAAGTATGGGATCTCCAAGTTATGCATGTTGGTAAATCCCAACCTTCTCCCGGTTCTTTCCCTTTTCTTATTACTTCTCCCTTTCTTTTCTCTAATTTTTTTTTAATTTTTATTCATTTTTTTACTATTATTTTTTCCTATCTTCACGGCCCAAAATTTCCCAACTTTTTCTCAAGTTGAAAAAGCAGGGGGGAGGCTCCCCCACATCCCTCCCATGGTGACGGCCCTGGTTGAACCGACCGACTACCGACCGAAATAGTGACACGAAATACGTAATAGTTTTAAATAAAGCATTGACCTAAATTTCACTATTCCAGCTATAGGTATCCACCATCGTGAAAGGTTATCATGTCCATAATTTCATTCTGTTGTTCATATGTAGAAGAATTAACTTCTTGATCATACCTACCTACCTAAACGTGAACCAGAAACACACATGTCATTTGTCAAAATAATTTGAAAGTTACAAAGGGAATACCTCAGAAATCAGAAAAAGATTTCGAAATCAATTGCTGCTACGGCTTCAGCCAGAAATCAGAATTTGCCACTTCAAGCTACTTATTTGCATTATAAAAATGTCATTTAATGTGCTTCGTGATCCCAAAGTATGCATAAATGATTTCTTATTTTCATTTGTGAACATGAGGTGCATTTTGAAAGGGAAAAACAAAAGAAAAGTATGTTTTATGAATAAAGTCTTTTATGGAGATATTACTGTTTAGAAAATATCCTCTTTGACTTGTTACTTCTCCTTAAGTATGAAAACATAAACTTCCAAACAAGAGAAGTATAATCGACAGGTGCTACGTTGTGCATTTTTTTCCATGAGTAATAACGGTTTCAGTTTCTTAAGATTATAATGAATGATTTGTGTACTCAGGGCCGTCTTTAAACTATTATGCCCTGGGCATAATTGGATATGACTTTGTCAGAACACCAGTTTGTTAGAATAGACAAAGAAAGTACCTACATAAACAAGGTTAAATCTTTATTTTTATAAACAATCACATGAAACGAATAGATAAATGTAATATAGTCCACAAAAGTAACTTAGCGGTTGGAAAAATTACTTTAACAAATATTTTATTAAATTTCATTTATAAAACAAATACAATTAAGTAGGAATTGAATATTGTTGCATTAGATATTGCAGTAAAGATAAAAACATATTCATATATTTGAATGTATTTTGTAACAGTGAATAAGAGAAGTTGCGGTTGATAACAGGAGTCCTTGGTGGGCCGATCGGGTCCCCATTTCGTTGCAGATAGCGTAGTTGTAGTGGACGACTGACTGGGAGGGCTGTTGGACGAGAGTATGAGAAGTGGAGGCCTCGTAGATTCTAGTCAGTTAGGTTGGAGTGTTGGTTTGGAGAGTTTCATTTCAATTTTCTATGTAATTTCTCAATTAAATTAATTGGTTAATTCAAACTTGGAGCTTCATACTTCGCCTCGTTCGCTCAATTTAAATGGAGCGAGTCACACTGATGAGTTTACTACTGATGATTTTTCTTTAAAATGTGTATGTGCTTAGTATACTATCATATACTCAAATTTATCTGAGCATGCTGAAGACGGAAAGCCTTATATGAGTTTTTTGGTAATAAATATTGGTTATCGTTTGGTGACCTGACAGGAACTAGGGATTTTGTATTTGATCTGAGGGGGCCCTTATCGATCGCCCAAAGTGCCCATTGGAAAAGAGGGGTCTGAGTGTACTATTTGAAAAAAAATGGTAATTTAATATCTGTAGGGGCAGTAGTTGTTTCAGATGGACTTTTTTATTCGTATAGAAAAAAACTAATTTCATTCAAAAAACACACTTTGAAATGAGATTTCCACTTGAAAGGTCGCGAAATCGCTATTGTATAGCAGAACACATGTCGCGTGTTCATTTCATTAAGTATCCGCCAGTTTTATCATCAAATCTGATATTGATCTTCACATTTTTTAGTTTTCGTTGATTTTTTTCTTTTTGAAAGTTTTTATTTTTCACGTCATTTTTCATACCGGATGGATAAGCCCCTATTATTTTTTGGATCTCCTCAATATCAATGTGACAAATCATTTCATTACAATAAATTTCCAGGCTTGAAGGAAATTACTCCAACTTGGAAATTTCAAGCAAAATTACATACAAATATATATTACTTTAAAAAAGTGCAGCAGCATCTTTTCACCAAAATAGGCTGTTCCATATAACTGCTGAATTGAAAAATGTATAAATGTACTGGGTATTCCATTTGAGATTCCAAAGTTGGGTTAATTTCCCATATAACTGAAAAACGGAAAAAAAATTTCTAGCAATTGTGAAATCATAGGAACCACCAGAAAAAAGGGGGGATTTTATTCAGTTTACACCCGGAATTCTGAAGAAGGAATTGGGTGAAAGCTTTCTGGTGTTATCCAGGATCATAAATTTCAGAAATCTCCCCTCTTTTTTTACCTGCATATAACCAAAATAACAACAATCTAGTCATTCACAGGGTTTGAATCAACACTGACAGTGATATAGGGCAGTGTAAGACCAAATTTACTCACAGAATCCAAAATGTTAAACTTTTTCAAATTACCCAAAAGGCTCATTACATTAAGGTTATAATGAAGAAAAGAGAATTGAAAAATGTGTTTTATCACTTTCATTTGTAACTAATGTTATTGCAGTTTCGTCCTATAAGGACATTTTCAAACTATACATTAACTTTAATACCTATAAAGTTTGAAAATGTCTTTATACATTTCAAACTTATACATTAAGTTTAATGTAAAAGTTTGAAAATGTCCTTATGGGACGAAACTGCAGTAACGTTAGTCCCAAATAAAAGTGGCAAAAAACATACAAAGTTTCAATTCTCTTTTCTTCATTATGATCTCCTACCAAATAGTGACGGCTACATCCATCAATTTGCATTAAGGTTATGATTACTATCAACGAATATTTTCTTAACCTCTTGAAAGAGTCAGTTCCCGTCCTTACCAACCTAACTGTTAAATTTTGTTCCAGATGATTCAAGAAGGTAACAACGCCATCCTGTTGATTTCATCAACTTACGAAGAAGACTCTGGCGTCTTCAGTTGCCGCGCAACCTCCTCTGCAGGACAAGTAGAACAGTCTGCAAAACTTATCGTGAAAAGTAAGAAATAAACCACTTAAGCCTCTGTTTTGATTAAAGTTTATGTAAAAAACATCATTCAATATGAAAAACTCGCTCGAGTAATGAAAATAGTTTGTGTCTCTCCAATATACACACTAACATTGATTCACTGGATTTGCAATCCGTACCAAGGTCCTTGTTTTTTGTAGGTTAGTAGAGGTGGATTTGAAATCATTCGTTCAAGTTCCAAGTGATATTATTAGGAATGAATACAGCTTTAGCACTAATTATGCTGAACGCTGCCTTTAGTTTATGAATTATTATTATTTTCATGAATCTGTATAAATGCATAATTTATTTAATAAACTGCTATTGTTTAAATTACGAGTTTCAACACAAACCCATTACTTAGAAATACCTGTTCCATCGTCGAGTGTAAGTAGAGCACGTAGTTGCCAAGTACCTGTTAAGAAAAAACCTGCAAACTCTGTTGGCGGTCCAAATCCGTACGAGAATTCTAGTTTGAGTGAAACATTGGGTTCGTGTGCAGTATGACACACGCCAAACTATTTTAATCCCTCACTTTGTGTATAGCATTACCGTCCTAATTTGGAAGGCTGAACGAATTCTGCACCTCGCCAGATGTCAGTTATAATAACTCACCTTTCCAAAATAAATAAATGTATTTAATAATCTCAGTTTATTTTATCAGGCAATGAAAGTAAAAACCAACTGTGAAACCATTTTATTACACATACCACATATCAGATCAAAGACATAAATCACATTTGTTTTGAGTATCGTGCCAAATCGATGCAGTAAGGTCGAACGAAATCAAAATACAAGTCTGTCGGACGTCTTTCATCGACCTGCACAACTATTTATTTTTCTGCGAATATCGACGAGGTGACTCACATTCAAACGAGAGTGACTCACTGGAAGGTTGCCAAAAATTCACACCTGAGCGGTGACTAAGTACGGCGAGTCTGACCCAAAAATGAAGACACAATTCGTGGGCATGACATATATTCTAAGACAAACAACAGAGTTTCAACAACACGCACCCGTCTACGAAAAAATTAAACTCAAATATCACAACTTGGAATTTGAACAAATTATTTTATTCAGCACAAGCTCTAATCTGTCCAATTAAAGCCACGTAACATTGTAGAGATATTCTCGCAAGTCTTGTTGAGAACTTTCGAAACACCACCGCCTTTATAAATGCAATAAACCGATCAAGAGCATGCTGTTTCTCTACAATATTACATGGCTTTGCACAGTGAAATCATAACCCCTTATAGTTTCTGAAATCCACCACACCACGAAACACAAGATTCAACCACAAAGCACAAAATTTAACCACAAAACACGATCTTTCAGGACAAAACACTACGCACCACCTTACGCACAGGTATGCTGAACTCAACTGTTCGAACTTTTCACGTAAACGTCCAAACTCGTTCACATCGTAGTGGGGTGGTGCGTATGCACACATAAAAATGGCGGCGATCCGTGTGTTCCCGGTTTCATTGTCATGACTCATTTGTATATTTTCCAAAAATAGTAGTAAACACATCACCAACGCTGTTTCGCTAGATTGTTCTAAATAAGCGATACATTGTTACTATGTCATCCATAACACAGCTATTTTGGTTCCTCTGTCGAGTGTCTACTTTTAGTTTTGTATTCGAAAGAAATGAATTTTCTATTAATAAGTTTTGCCACACCTATTGCTAAGCGTTTTGAGCTGAGGTTATTCGTATTGAAAAAGCTGCGAAGATGTAATATTCTTGATCTATTTTTAAGAATGCGTTGACTTCAAAGCGAGGTGATTAATCTCTGTCGCAGTGTGAGAGATTTTTGATAGTTGAATTCAGTACATGCATTCAAATAGCGGAATCTGATTCGAGATGGATGAGAACTTGGAATAATTTATAATATTGTGCCATGGAAGAGAAATGCATTTCATTGAAACCATTTGTCACAATTTCTAAAATACTAATTTACTTTTTCAAATTGATGCTTGCTAATGGACGTTTTGATTATTTCTCAAACTGAACACATATTCGATTGTCAGATCGAATTTTCGATAAAAAGTGATCGACATTTTTAATCGTAAAGTTGTTCAAGAATATTTTTTGGCCACGAATTTATTATGATCGTTTCAAAATGTTATTCAGGTTTCATTTCCTATTGAAAACTTTCAGATTCAAATTACTTATCATCTTCAGGGAAAAGTGTTAGTGAGGTTGGCCGTGTCAAAAAGAATGTTACTTTTAAACAATTGAAACATGTCAATACAATAAACAAGTCATTAAATTAAAAGAGGTAGACACCTCACTGGATACAAAGAAGAATATTGAATTAAAATTTACTAAAATTTGTTTTAAAATTCTGGAATACCGGTAAAAGCCATGTGGTTTAAGAACAAAGAGAGAGACACAAAACAAGATGACAGCTGACATTGTCAATTGTTTTGTGTCTCTCTCTTTGTTCTTAATCCACAATGAACGCTAGGCAAATCTTACAAAGTTTTCCAGCGATCGAATGCACTAGACTTGTTCATCCAATTGAATCGTTGCTAATGATAAGCACTGTCAACATTAGTTGATAGAAAACCATTAATTTTGGGAAATTCAACTTCAATCCTGAAATTGAAATCAAAGTTACCTTTTCTTGAAATGTTCTGAAAAAATATTTCTCGTATACCAAAGTACGTTTGCATAATTTTATAAATTTCGCTTTTGGGCAAACACTTTTGTGTATAATAATTTGAAAAAATCCCTCAATCTACTGTTTCTGGATTTTATTGAATTGATATACTCTCAAATTGCATATTAGCAACATTTCGAAATTTGTGGATTTACTTTCACTTCCCCGATTAATTCTGGTACAAACTTTTTTAATTGTCATTCACCGATTCAAGTAATATTTTTTCATATTACACCATAATCATAATAAGAGAACAAAAAACATTACTTACTTTGCGAAACTCCATCCACTAAAATATTTTCCTTCGGACTAGGTAACACCCAGGATCATTCCAGTCAACCTAAAAATTAATCTCATCAGCATTTTCTGTACACAATTAGATATTGGTCCAGAAAAGACCCATTACTGTTTAATTTACAGGACGTCCAGGAACATACCGCAAAACCGCAACAACTGATATTTCTGATAGGGACGATCAGCTTATATACCCGAAACAACAGTACGGTCCCTCTTCGGGGGGACCAGGAAAGACCTCTCTCAAATCTACACCAGGCTCAAGAGGTGATGGACAATTAACTGATGAAAACGAACTACCTGTAGGTGACGAAACGTTACCTTGGAGACAACAACGTACAACGCAAAAACCGATATTCCGAAAAGACTTGGGTCAGGCGAAACCGACAGAGGAATCTCGCGGACCAAAACCACAACAGGCTCAGCCGTGGACTGAAGAACAAGTGGTTCTGCGAAAAACAAAACAAGAAAAGAAAGAAATCATCAAAGAAAAACTAGAAGACGTGACTCTCAAAGCAACCAAAAAAACAGATACGAGTACTGAAACCTCTGAGCTCAAGCATCAACAGAAATTATCTCATACTGAGGATGTTACTAAAATGACTCTAAGTAAAAAGGAATATATTGACGAAAAGGAAAAACTATCAACTAAAGACTGGAGGAGACCAAAAACGGACCAGCACACGAAAACGATATCTACAGTAGAAGATAGCACGATTCTTTCTTTGGAAGAAAGAGAAAAAGAAATTTCGAAACGAACGAAGGATGACAAGCCGACTCCTAAAGATTGGCGAAAACCGAAGGAAACTACTATCACCGCAAAAGAATATCTTGAGGACAGCACTATACTTCATCTCAAAGAGACAGAACAAATAAAGGAAGCCAAGATTGAAACCAAAGACTGGCGCAAACCCAGGAAGGAAAGCCTGGAAAGGTTAGAAAAGAAAATGCATACAGACGACGAGAGTTCTTTGGTTTTGTTAGAAAAAGAACAACCAAGTTCAAAACTATGGAGAAAGCCCAGAGATGAAGTTGCAGTTACAAGCGAGGCCCAGAAAACAGAACCCATTCCTTGGAACAAAAAAGAAATCATTCTGAGAAAGACTCCACGAGAAACTAAGGAAGTACCAAAAGAGAAGTTGGAAGAAGTTGCCTTGAAACCCACAAGACGTGGAAGTGAAACAATCACATCTGCTGTTCAAGAAGACCGACCCTGCGACACAACCAGAGCTCCAGAAATGACAATTCCGGATTCAGAAAAAATTTCTGTAAAAGATACTAGTTTCTTGAAATTTGATGAGAAAGAGACATCTCAGGAAGTGAAAAAAATTGATACCAAATCATGGAGAAAACCTAGAGAAAGGCAGCAAGAACAAATACCTCTAGAACAGAAACCAGAACATGAAATAGAAAAATCTCCTGCCGATACAAAAACTTTATATGGACAAAAAATAATTAAACAAACCAGACGTGGTAGCAAAACTACTGAAATTTCTGATTCTAGAATTCAAACGGTATCAACAGAAGACCAAACCATCTTGAAGCTCAGTGAGACAGAACAAGTGACTGAAACTAGTCAACTGGATGAAAAACCATGGCGAAAACCCAAAATACCCCTGGAAGAAAAAGCTGAACCAGTTCCTTGGAATAAACAGGAAATAATCCTTAAAAAAACGCCTCGAGAAACTAAAGATATTCCAAAAGACTCTTTAGGAGAAGCGAGTTTGAAACCCACGAGGCGTGGAAGTAAGGTAACTGAATCAGTCTCTCTTGAAGACACCTCACTTCTCAGATTAGAAGAGAAAGAAAAAACGGAAATTAGTCAAAAAACACATGAATCATGGCATAAACCAGGGGAAGACCAAATGAAACCTGAACAAATAGCAAGCCTCGAAGAAGGTAAGACTGAACCAGAAGACGTTATTTCTAAACCGAAGAAAGTTCAAGTCGAAAAAGAAAAAGGTGAAACAATACCTTGGACTAAAGAAAAAGTTGTCTTGAAGAAAACTGAAAAAGGAACAAAAGAAGTCAAAAAAGACTCTCTAGAAGAAGTAACTTTGAAACCGATCAGACGTGAAAGTGAAATAGTAGCTACCGAAGTTCCTGAGAAGCTAAAACCAAGTTCAAAAGATGAAACAAGCACACAACCTTTCGAGAAAAAACCTATGGATATAATTCCTAAACCCATTCTTGAGGATACAACAATATTGAAATCAACTGAAACGGAAAAGACAGAACCGATACCTTGGAATAAACAAGAAATCTCTCTGAAAACGACTAAGCGTGAATATAAAGAGGTTACAAAAGAAACACTTGAAGATGTATTTCTCAAACCTTTGAGGCGCGTAAGTGAAACGGAAGTTATTGATATTCGGAAGGACACTTCTAAAATTTTTACCGTAGAAGACAAAACAGACAAGAAATTAGAGAAGAAGGCCAAGGATGAACTTGAAAATGTGAGTGAAATAACAGAAAAGGAGTCCACACAACCCGAATTGACTGAAAAAGATAGACCCTCAATCGAGCAACCTGTCACTCAATCGTGGCGTAAACCTAGAGAGGAACTAAAGTCAATGCAACCAACTACGGAAAGTACCAAGAAAACTCCACTTGAAGATTCCACACAACTGATCATGAAGGAGAAAAATAAACCTTCAGAAGTGATACAACCTGAAGTTGAATCATGGCATAAACCTAGAGAAAAACCAAAGACAGTAGACGAAACAACAGCGGTTGAAGATACTTCGGAGGTAAAACCTAAAGAGGAGATAAAGCTATCAGAAGAAGTGCCAAAGATGAAAGATGCATCACCGATTATGAAACCAAAATTGGAGAAATCTGATAAAGCTGAGCAGATTCCTTGGAATGAACAGAAAATATCTCTGAAAAAAACGAGACGAGAAAATAAAGAGTTGGCTAAAGAAACACTAGAAGAAGTTACACTTAAACCTCTAAGGCGTAGTAGCGAAACCATACTCACAGAAACTGAGGAGGACATATCAAAACTCGTAACAGTAGAAGACAAAAAACTCAAGGAAAAGAAGGAAGTTTCGAAATATGCCATGGATCAGAAAGAAAACCTCAATCAAATTGAAACTAGGCCTTGGCGAACCCCTCGCGATGAAATGAAGCCTCAAGGAAAAATATCTACTACTGAAAAAACTGAACCAACACCCTGGAACAAACAAGAAATCACTCTAAAGAAAACACGAAGGATGAGTAAAGAAACAATCAAGGAAACACCTATTGAAGATACTGTACCAACAGAAGTAGATGAAAACGATAATGTAACCCTGCCCGTTAAACCATCACAATCAGAAGAAGTAACATCACCAATTTCTTTGGAACAAAAAGATCAGGTTAACGAAGTGAAAACATGGCGTAAGCTTCCAGTGAAGGAATCCGAAAAACTCACCGAACAGTCTCAGAGTTCAATTGAAGAAGAAACCAAGCCAGATGAAAAAACAAAACTACCTGACATGGAAGAAGTAGTTCCTTGGAATAAACAGAAAATAATACTGAAGAAAGCAATTAAAGACAAGAAGGAGATTGTTAAGAAAACTATGGAAAGTGTTGAACTGAAACCTTGCAGAAAAGACTCTCTTGTCGAAACTGTGACTAAACCCGACGAGGAAGAGAAACAAACTATTACCGTATCAGATGATTCAGCTGAAATCAAGTTGAAAAAGAAACCAATTCGAAAAGAAAAAACTGAAGATAAAGTTCCGTGCGATGTAGGCAATGTCTTGGAACCAGAAGAAGTGTCTGAGAAACCCGAAGAATCTCAAATCAAGGCATGGAGAAGACCAAAGAGACCTGTTGGACCAGAAGATAAAGAAGAAATGATTCAAACTCCGATTCCAACTGAAGAAGGTATCAAGCCAACTGAAGAAGAAACCAAACCTGTCGATGGAACAAAACCATTGGACAAGGGAGAAATAGTTCCTTGGAACAAACAAAAAATAGTTTTGAAGAAAGTCATTAAAGACAAAAAAGAGGTTGTTCAGGAAACTAAGGAAAGTGTTGAACTGAAACCGGTAAGGAAAGAATCTCTTGTTGAAACCGATGTTGAATCGCAAGTGGAACAAAATATTACCGTAACGGAGGAATCGACTGAAATGAAACTGAAAAAGAAATCAAAACGAAAAGATCAAACTAAAGATGAAGTTCCATCGGATGTGAGTGAAGTCTTGATACCAGAAGAAGTACCTGAGAAATTCGAAGAACCCCAATTCAAAGTATGGAGACGATCGAAGAAACCTGTTGAAAAAGAGGATGAAGAAGAAAGTATGCAAACTCAGATTCCAACTAAAGGAGAAACAACATCATCTGAAGAAACTAAACTAATTCTAGATGAAGTTCCATTAGATGTGGCCAAAGTACTGGCACCAAAAGAAGTGCCCGAGAAACTTGAAGAACCCCAAGTCAAAGGTTGGAGACGACCAAAGAAACCTGTCGAGTCAAAGGCTGGAGAAAAAATTGTACAACCTCAGATTCCAACTGGAGAAGAAATCAAACCTGCTAAAGAAACACAACCACTGGACGAAGAAGATGTAGTTCCTTGGAATAAACAGAAAATAGTGCTGAAAAAAGTCATTAATGACAAAAAGGAGATTGTCAAGGAAACAATGGAAACTGTTGAACTGAAGCCTTCCAGGAAAGAATCTCTTGTCGAAGCTGATGTTGAATCGGTAGAAGAGAAAAAAATTATAACCACAACGAAGGAGTCAACTGGAATTGAACTGAAAAAGGAACCAAAACAGAAAGACATAATTGATGATGAAGTTCCAACTGATGTGAGTGGAATCGTGGTACAAAAAGAAGTTTTTGAAAAACCCGAAGAACCTCAATTGAAAGAATGGAGACGACTGAAGAAACCTGTTGAACCAGAGAATGAAAAAATTTCGGAAACTGTGATTTCAACAAAAGAAGAAACCAAATCGTCTGAAAAAACTAAACCATCGGATGTGGCTAAGAAACCAAAAGAAGCGCCAGGGGAATCTAAAGAACCTCAAGTTAAAGGGTGGAGAAGACCAAAGATACCTACTGAACTAGAAGGTGAGGAAAACATTGCTCAAACTCAGATTCCGTCTGGAGAGGAAATCAAACCGTCTGAAGAACCAAGATCACTTGACTCCGAAAAAGCTGTTCCTTGGAACGAACAGAAAATTGTTCTGAAAAAGACGCAGAGAGACAAAAAGAAAATTGTTAAGGATACTATAGAAGCAGTGGAACTAAAACCTATAAGAAAAGAATCTCTTGTAGAAACTCATCTTCAAATTGAGCCAGAAGAACAAGAAGAACTTCCCGTGACTACAACGGAGGAAACAACTGAAATGAAACTGAAAAAGAAACCAATTGAACTAGGCAAAATTAGGGATGAAATTTCATCTGATATGCCCAAGGTAATGATGCAAAAAGAAATGTCAGATGAACTGCCCGTTGAAGGATGGAGACGTCCAAAGAAACCTGTTAAACCTGAAGTGAAAGATGAAGATATTGTAGATGAGATGATCGAAGACTCAATTTCTCCCCTAAAAGAGAAAAAAACCGCAGAAGAAAGAATTTCACTGGATGAAGAGAAAATTAAATCAGACGGGAAACCAGAAGAAAAAATCATGCCTTGGACAGAAGAAGCTAGGAAGTTGAAAGCTCCAAAGGTCATACAGCCAATGAAAAAAGAAGAAGTAGAGACAGTGTCTTTGAAACCCGTCAAGCGTGCAGAACCACGAAGAGAATTGAAATCTGAGGCTATTGAACTATCTTCAGAAGAAGAACAGACGCCTGGAACTGATAAACAAAGGCGTAAAATCGTTAGAAAGAAAAAAGTACCGAAAGTACCAAAACATGATAAAACGACTGAGGACGATACTCCTGAGATTCAAAAAGAGTTATCTGAAGAATCAGAAACTATTCCAGAATCTGTAATCGTGGAAAAAATAACGGAAGTAGAAGATACGGTCGTACTCAAAGTTGATGAAGAAGATAAATCTGAACCTAAAAAGGCAAAAGTAATAATTATTCCAGAAGAACAAAAACCTGAAGATATTACACTCAAACCTGTATCTCGAGTTGAGAAACCAAAACAAGAGAAGGAAATTGAGAAGGTTACTTTGAAACATATTGTCAAAGATGAGATACCTGACACTGAAAAACCCACAAAAGATAAACCAAAAACTAAGAAGACAAGGAAGTTGAAAGAGCTACCAGAGATCGAAGATGGTGATAAATATACCCCTGAATTGATAGAAAAAATAGATATTGACAAACCTGACAAAGAACAAAAGGAAACACCGACAACTACTTGGAGAAAGGAGAAAAAACTTAAAGATATATCACCAGAAGAAGAGAAAGTGACTATTCAAATTGGAAAAGGAAAATTGCCAGATGAAAAAATAACTGAAGAAGATATCAAACTCAAACCTATTAAAAAAGATGGAAAGCCAACCGTAGAAATGCCAGAAAAGTCCAAACCTTTAGAAATACCAAAATCTGATGCTTCACTGGAAGATTTCGATAAACGAAAGTTTGAGTTGACTCCTTTAGATGAAGTTGAAACACCTGTAACTGTTGAAAGTGAACAATTAGTCGTACCGGAAGATATCCGGAAAGCGGAAGAAATTTTGCTAGAGCCTACTACGCCTTGGCGACGAACACCGAAACAAGAGAAACAAGACACCCCTGAGGAGAAAGAGTGGCCTCGTGGTAAGAGGAAACCTCTTCCGGAAGAAGAAAAAGAGGGCATCAAACTCAAGCCAATTCCAAAAGAAAAGCCAACCGCCGAAGAATATAAAATCGATACTGAAATTATCAAACCTGAAACAGCAATTGAAGTACCACTCATAGAACATGATGATAAACTTGAACTGGTACCCACTGAAAGGGATCAAAAAGACAAAGATGTGAGAAAACGAAAGAAAAAGAAGGAAAAAGATCAATCAGAGGTACCTGAAGACGTTACATTGAAACCAGTACATACACAAAAAGAATTGGAAGAGAAGAAACCTGACGAAATTATTCTTCAACCAGTCGATATAACTCACACTCTAGAACACATTGAAACTAAAGAGGATAAGCCAGAAGAGAAAACTCCTGAAGTGCTAGAGGTCAAAGAATGGAGGAGAGGCACGAAAATAAAAGAAACCACTGAACTTGAAAAAATCGGTAAACCCGAAAAACAGATTTCTGAAATTGAAAAAGTCGCACCTGATGATACCCTTGTAGAGAAAGATGAAGATAAAACAGAAGTGAGGCAATGGAGAAGAGGTAAGAAAATGAAAAAGGAAAAAATTGCTGTAGACGATATCAGCTCCCAAAAACTGGAACATCCGGAAGAACTTGTCGGTGAATTGGCTCCAAGGGAAACTGTGGAGGAGGTTCCTGAAGAAGTTAAACCAGAAGAAAAAGTCCACCAAGCAAAAGAGGAGATATATGAAGTGAGGAAATGGAGGAGAGGTAAGAAAACTGTTAAAGAAAGGAGTGAAAAAGAAGAAACAGACGAAGCAGTCGAAGAATTGAAACCAAAAGAAACTGCAACTGAAAAAAAAATAGAAGAGCCGCTAGTCATTGAATTACTGCCGACTCAACTCCAGGATGAAACCTTCGAGACGCAGCAAGAATCAAAGTTAGAGAAATCCGAAACAGAAATAACTCTAATCGAGAAGAAAAAGATAGATAGTAAGAAACCAGCGGAAAAAGAGGAGAAGCCACTTGAAGAAGCGCCAGAAGATATTCCTTTCCAAAAAGATATGAAGGTCCAAATTTCTTCCAAGAAAGTGACGATGGAAAGAAGAAAAGTCGTGTCCTTTGATGAGAGTCAGCCAATCCCGGAATTAGAGATAATTTCACAAAAACGAACTACAGAGGTAATAGATAGGGTCCCCAGTGAAGAAATTACAGAGGACATAGAAATGCGCGAAGAACAAATAGTGCACAAATCGGAAGTTCACAAAACCGTAGGAGAAAGACTGAAAATAAAAACAATAGCACCTAGATTCACCAAAAGGGTTGAGCCTGTAGTTGTGGAAGAAGGAAAGCCGACGAGCCTGGTGTGCAAGGTAGAGGGTAGTCCATTTCCGGATATCACGTGGTATAAGAACGAAAAAGTATTCCAAGCGACAGAACGTGTTTTCGTTAATATCGTTGAAGATACTGTTAGTCTGGAGTTTTCGAAAGTGGAGCCGCAGGATGTTGCGATTTATTCCTGCAAAGCCTCAAATCCAGCAGGTGTAGCCACTTCTACAGCTAATATTGTCATTTTAGGTATATGATATATTTGATGTTACTTCAGAGTTTGGCAGCTTTGCTTTGAGAAATTCATCAGAAAATGGATGGCTGAAAAGCGTTCTTTGTTGTGCTGGAATTTTGACGCCTAATAAGTGCTTAAATGTTTCATTAAATCTCATATATGACTTTTCAAATCAGATTCATGATTCATTTTTTCATCAATTCATGAATTCGCTTTTTGCAAAGCTAAGTTTTTCAAAACTACTTGACGAACGAAAAACAAAAGCAGTCACCTATTGATTCTAGTAACTAACCGTTAACAATCATTCCACAGAGAAAGAAGAAACAGGAGTGGCACCTCACTTTATACAGCCTCTGAAGCCACAAATCGTCGAGGAGAAAAGCGTGGCTACTTTAACGTGCACTATCACCGGTCAACCAACTCCAAAAGTGAGATGGCTGAAAGAAGGAAAAGAAATCGTTTCAAGTCCAACGAGAAAACTCAGTTACAATCCAGAAACCGGAGTTGCCATTTTGGAAATTCTGGAACCAACCCCCGAAGATGAAAAGATCTACAGCGTGAAAGCGGAGAATAAGTTTGGCCAAGCAGAATGTAGGGCTAATCTGATAATATCCAAATCAGTAACTGTATCTCAACCCGTTGTAATGCACGCTCCTAAGATTACGAAACCTGTTCAAGCGATAGTGGTAAGTCCAAATGAGGAAATCGTCTTGGAAGCAGACTTCGAGGGCACTCCCAAACCTGAGATAACTTGGCTCAGAAACGGCACTGAGATCAAGCCCAACAAAGACTACGAAATTGAAACTGGAGAGAAGAAGACAGTTCTGCGAGTGAAGAAACAGCTCACCAAGAAACAAAAAGGTGGCAAATACGAAGTCCGCGCAGTGAATCCGAGAGGCGAAGCAAGATCTTCGGGTTCCGTGATGGTTATCGAGGAAGTCAGCGATGCACAGCCTCCTCGATTTACGGAACCAATAAAACCACAACAAGCAACCGTTGGCGAAGTGGTTATTCTTGAAGCAGTAGTAGAATCAATACCCAATGCGACATTCCAGTGGTTCCACGAGTCGAACCCTATAGTCTCTACGCCAGAAACAAGAATAGTTTCGGAAGATAATAAATCGGTGTTACTTATAAGTGAAGTGACACCTGAATATGCAGGTTCGATCACCTGCAGGGCTGAAAATGCTGTAGGATCTGTCACTTGTACGGCCAGCTTGAGCGTGGTAGAGGAAACAGAGTGGGAGGAAACCGAAGAGGTTATCTATCCCAGGTTCGTCAAGCGCCTATCGCCTATTCGAGTAATGGACGGAGAAAAAGTACAATTCAGTTGCGTAGTGGCCGGAAAACCAATACCCAAAGTTCAGTGGTACCACAACGATGTGCCCGTCGTTGAAGCTAAAGATGTCGTCATCTCACAAGACACCGAAGGGGTGTGCACTCTGGCTATTTCGGAAGTATTTCCAGAAAATGCTGGAGTGTATACTTGTACAGCTGTGAACCGTGTCGGCGAGGCTATATGTAAATCATCCCTTATTGTGGAAGCATACGAGTATGTTCCCGATTCGGAACTTGGTCATCTGACAGGATCAGAAGAGGATCTACTGGCTGATAAGGTAAGAAAATAATTATTTGTATTCCAAAAACACATATGGAGCAGTGTTTGGCTCGGAGTGGCATTTCATCCCGTACTTTGGCTAATACTATTTCCTCAATGAGTAGTTGGCAAGTTATGATCTAGAAAATTGTATTTATATCTGACTTGCAATCGGCATCAGTTTAACCTTCGCCTTTCTCTTCATTCTGTCTTAATGTGTGTTCCAAAGTAGTTTGAAATTTTGGATGTAGTGTTCCTTCGGCCTTTTTCCCTTGATGAATGCTAATATGGTCGATTTGGATGGGCTTGATACCCTTCTTCTTCAGTCCATTTTGTTATGGTAGTTAGAGCCCCTGCTGCGTATGCCCCCACTATATTATTACATTTACCCTGAGCTGCATAGACCACTACTTCATATCTATTATGGCCCCTAAGAAGAAGAAGTTATTTCACTACAAAGTTCCATAACAGTGGGGACTATACAATGCGCATGGGGTGGTGAGTGACATCAACCGTGCAAAGGAATTGGATTTGCTACATTAATTCAAGAGTTATAATTGTTTGAGAATAACGACAATTAACATAGCGCAATCACCCTCAGTATGATATCGGTTTTGATTCCGACGTAAAGTGAGACGTGATCGTGATTTACGTAGATATTGCATGTATTTTTGGATGTTTGAGGATAAATGGTCAATAAAAAATATCACGGAGAGTGCAAGTCAGTGTATTCCAGCTGTTAGTTGTGCTTGCTACTCATCTTCAAACAATGGTTGCACCACGTGCGTCAAATAAGAAATGCCAAGCGATTGTTATTTTCGGTGAAACTCATCTCAATTATCATGAGGCCGTACGAATGTTCAATGAACGTTTTCCAGATCGCCCTATTGATATACATTATTTCAATGTGAACGATCATATGCAAAATAAAACTCTTTCTGGGCGACCAGCTACAGGAAAAGGTAAACAAGTGGACATTATGAGCAAGTTTGTGAATGATCCGTCCTCATCGAGTAGAACTGTTGCCTTGAACTGTGAGGTTTCGCAGATGACGATAATGAAAGTTCTAAAAAAATTAATTTCATCCCAACAAAATAAAAATGGTGCAAATACTGACAGAAGATGATCCAGACCGCCGTCTAGAATATTGTCAAATTGTCTCTATCAATATTTTGCAAAATCCCAGCTACTTCAAACACATTCGTTGTTGAGGCTACTTTTTTCAAACAGTTACGTGCGTAGACAAAATGTGAGGTACTGGTCCGATGAAACTCTTCTATTTATTCGCGAAACTCATGCTCAGTTTCCCCAAAAAGTGGAGATAGGAATACTGAGTCACCACATTATAGGTCCGTTATTCATTAGGGAAAATCTGACTGGTGCCCTCTATTTGGAAATGCTGGAAAATAGTGATAGATCCACTGATAGTGGCCACTGTCGAAAATAATTCAGTGGAGTGAGGAAATGGAGGAGAGGTAAGAAAACTGTTAAAGAAAGGAGTGAAAAAGAAGAAACAGACGAAGCAGTCGAAGAATTGAAACCAAAAGAAATATAATATTCCCCGCCGCTCACTGTGAAATAATCAATCTATCTCACTTCAACTTGGATACTGATTCTGGGGAAACATTATTGAATGAGTCCTCAATATATAAGAGAGAAGCTAACAGTACTTGTTGACATATCCGCACTGTACGCATATTAATCTCAATGCAGTGATATGTTAGCCAGTGATATGTCTTTACTAAGCCTATTTTATGTTATGTGAAGAAATTGGCCAATACTTAATGGCAATCCATAACATTTAAGAAACATGACAGGCGTGTCTATACTAGGGTTAGTATGAACATTATACAAGAATTAGTACAGACACGCTTGAAGAAGCTATTGTATAGCGAAACACGTGTTGCGGTTTTGTAAACTGTGAGAAGGTTTGTATCTGATTTCAGATACAGAGACCTTCATTCAGAATCAGGTAGGAATCGGAGACAGCTTTGAGAAAGGTCAGTCTTATTGGCATTGAAAACATAAAATAGGTATTCAAAAAACACTTCATTGTGAGATTTTCACTACACAGTTTACGGAACTGGTTAACGTATGGAGCCATTGCATGGGGACCGAAAGTTCTACAAGCAACGGCCATCCAAAAATTATATCAAATACAGCGACTGGCTTGTTTAAATGGGAGGATGTACAATGGGTCACATGTGGCCTGAGTGCGTGGGCTTACACTCACCCTCCCTACTCTACAGATACGGAACCGGTTTTGTGAACTGTGGTGAAAATTCAACAATGTTGTGTTTCTTGAATACGTTATGGGTTTTCATCAAGTATCCGCCGATTCCATCACACAAAACGCGTCTAGAATAAAAAAAGTGATTATTATCATAGCAAGTTTTATTAATTTCCATCAAGTAACAGATCAGTTCATTCATGAATATTTTCAAGTAACTCTACAACGAAAAATGTTGAAATTATCAGAATATAAGAAAAATATTAACCAGATAAACTGCAATGTATTTTTCTCATCTTCCAGACCATCAGCAGCGAAATCGATTTTCAGTCTGACAGTGATGTGGAATTCGCTCCCAAAATCACTAAGAAGTTGCCACAAGTAGTATCTACCAAAGATGGCGACGTTACCAGGTAAAGATTCTGAAACAAAACTTTGAACTTCATCCCTCACTTCCCAATATAATAAATAACTGAAGGATGAATCACACACAAAATAAATTTTGCCTTTCATGTAACTCATGACTTATTTCAAATGACTGTCATCAATAAGGGTAGTTCCTCTTAGTTCCTAAGAGTTACATATTTGTAATATATCGTAAATTGTGTCAACAATATTCATTCTGAATATTTGAATATGATTCTTGGAATATAATTTTGACTATAGGGGTTATCAGATAGTCCCGTAACATGCAGTTCATTTCAATATATTTGATTTACGTTGTAAACAGCATTACCGCGAAAGAACTTGTGAAATAATAATTACATTGCTTATGTGACGGTCATTATTCAACTTTTTATAACAACTGAAATGCTATATTGATATTCATAGCAACCTCAACATCATGTCGAGGTAGCATTCAATATAGCATTCATGAGTATGGTAACTGTTGGGGGTCGACAAACATTTTCACAAGTTCCCTCACAGAGGATGTATTCGTGAATAAAATATTTCATAATATTCCCCGCCGCTCACTGTGAAATAATCACCACAAATCCTTATCAACAGGTTGGAAGTCGTAGCCGTCGGAAAACCAAAACCCGAAGGCAGGTGGCTAAAACATGGTGAAGAAATCATCCCATCCAAAGAATTCATCATCGAAAACTTCGAGGATGGTACCTCGGTACTCACAATAACCGAAGTATACCCAGACGATACCGGAGAAATAGTATACGAGGCCGAAAACCCTTTGGGAGTCGCTGTCACGAGTACAGAACTTCTCGTTGAAACAGTTGAAGGTAACGCGATTGTCCCAAAGAGTTCAAATGTAGTACTTGAAATAATAAGATTTTTATTTTCAGCCGGCAGCGTTTTCATCCTGAAGTTCCTATCCTTCATCCACATACAACATTCTCTCGCTTATACACCTATTTTGTTTTTCATATTCTGCGTCTTGTCGAATGAGTCACTAACTTTTTTTCTAATATGTAGGTATCGTTGGAACCAAAGACTACAGGAAACCGGAATGGGTGACGCACATGGAGGAGCTGTCCACAGCACTAAAAGGTAAATCTAAAACTGGATGTGATTTGAAGCATGCTTGTTCGTATGATTTATCAGCTGATAGCTTAGAAACGCTATCTGAAATATCCACCATCCACGGAGGTAAGACAACTGAGGCTGAGTTCAAAGAAGAGGACTCAGCACCATCCTTCTACCTTCATAACCCTGGGTCGGTCACCGAGAGTATATCGCATACCTCCGTACAGAGCGAACCAATATGTCACTCGCCAAAACCCATAATAGACTTCGTGAACGCCGCTATGACTGATTACTTGTGTTCTCACAGACACTCCTTCAGCTCGGTGATGGAGCTGTTGGACTCGTCAAAGTTTTCACGTGTGGATGACAATTGTTTCGAAGGGCTAGATGTGACCGAAGATGTGGCCTCAAAAGATCTCGATGTCGCTTGTGAAGCCATTGAGGACGAAGCGTTTGTCACAGAAACTGATCTGTTTTATATTCTATCGCCTATCGAAGAAAAGAGTGAGACCTCCACACGAAGCAGCAGCTTGAAGGGTAGCAACGGATCTGATAAGCGAAAGTATACGCAGGAGGTCTTGAGTAAATACTCCAGTTCCTGCAACGCTCTTCCTTGCGATACTGCTGATACTAAACACCTTCCCGAGAAGTACCAAACGTTTCCCAGAGTTAAAAACGAGAGTGTCTTCGACGACGACGATGTTTACGATAACAGCTTTACGACCAACAACACCCTGTATCCCCTAGAGCCAAGGGAACTTGACCCAAGCGCATTCTTTCAACTGCACACAGCCGACAGCCAAGAAGAACTTCAGGAATTCTTATTACTAGAAAGCGAGTGCATGGCAGATAACAGCAGAGGTCTTGCTTCTGCGTTCGTCACTTCCACCGACGACTCTTCTCACGTTTTTTCAAGCTCTCCCGAAGGTAAAAACTAACGCCTAATGTGTGTGCTGCATACTAATTTTGTGTGATTTTGCATTTTGTTTAGACCAATAGATCCTCCCACCAGCATGGCCAGGCAATACAAAGTTTTCAGACAGGTAATATTTTTAATTTGTGAAAATCTACATTGAAGGCCAATTTTCTCCATTTTCTTCTGATATTCTACAAAATTCACTAATTGTGCAAAATGATTTTTCCTCACTTCGTTAATGTTGAGGCTAATTTATTTTCTTCTGTTGTTATATTGAGAGCTGACAAATAATTAAAAAGTTTGATTATATTCGACACCTAGGCTGTCAAACTCTCTCTGAACACCAGATAGTCTTCTATTATTGTGATATCCTGGGAAGTTTATCGGAACATTACGGTAGATAAATGTGAGTAGATAACTTGCTCATCTCCCCTCTTACCTATCCCGAAAGTGAATAAAATCAAGAATGGAGGTCGAGTATTTTTCATACTGAGCCCTAGTTTTTCTCTTTCAAAAAATGATACTGTTTAGTTTCCTCGACATGGGTTACTTAAATAGTTTGTATGATTTACTTCCAACGTGTTAACGTGTTAGTAGTAGTTACGTTCTCAACTCTCTAGTTTAATCGAAAATATCGAGTATACAATCTTCATTCAACCTTCTGATGATTGTAAATGAATCAATTTGCAAAAATGACCCCAAAGAATCAACTACTAAAATCAAAATTCTTCAAGGCAAGATTTAAATGACTAGGTGATGGAGAAAAATGGTCGAAAAATAATATCCGTAAATGGTTTTTCATCATTCTATCAAAAGAAAAGTTTTTTATCATATTCATCATCATTATCTTTCTTTTATAAAATCAGATGGTCAAAAAACGAGTCTGAAACAAATTTGCTGATTTATCAGATTTGCCGAATGTCAACCTTGAGTGATTTCCATTGTGATGAACTTGAAGTAGTTGTCAATAATGTTCCCAGTTTGGTTTATGTACCCATAGTGTGATGTTCCAACAGATACTGACTTTCGAGAATGTGTATATAATTCAATTGCATATTATTTGGGCATTGTTGAAAAGTTATAGAAAAGTGATTATCGATCATTTACCGGATGTTCCTAAAACTAGAAGATACACTATAACTTGTTTCGAATGAACTGCTTTGTTATCTCTCAGTTATGAGAACAATTATCAATGTTTGAATTCTTTTTAATTTTATAACTGAATTTTCAGCTGCCGAAAATCCTCCAGTATTTGTTAAAGAAATTACCGATATTCGTACAACCGAAGCTGAAACAATAAAATTCGAATGTCTATTCTCTGGAACCCCCAAACCAGGTAAGAGTTCACTCACTTCTTTCCACGAAAATTTACTCTTCGTATGAAAGGGTATTTGTTAGACAAATAAACACACGTTACTCCCTTTTCCCTATCAAAAAATCAAATATCTAATAAATCACAATGTATCGTATAATATTCCATATTGATTAACATTTCAAACACTTTCTTTTAGATATCATATGGTACCACAACGACAAGATAATTCGCAATACCAAACGCGTCAAAGTCCGCATCGAAGAAAATAAAACCAGTATCACAATCAGTGAAGTTTCAGAGGAAGATATTGGCACGTACGTGTGTAAAGCAGTGAGTAAAATAGGAGAGGCAGTTACCAAAGCCAAGCTATACGTACAAGAAATACCTGAGTACAAGAAACAGGCAATCATCCTTAAAAAGGCGAGAGAGGAGGAAGAGCGCATTAAGAAAGAGCGTGTCAAGATCGAAAAGAAAAGAACAGAGAAGAAGCAACGCCTGTCCATGACGACTGAGGAAGAAATAAAGCCCTTGGACGTCACTGAAATCCACGCCATCGAAACCACAGAGGAGATTACGGAAACTAGAAAAGAAGAGAGGGCCAAACCTACGCTGGATATTCAGGAGCCTCTCAAAACAGAAGCCACTGCAACTGCTAAAAAAATCGACGAATTTCCAGAAGAGAAACCTATAGAAAAAGCAAAGGAACTGTTGTCTCCCGCTGAGGCTACTTATTCCGAACAAATTCTAACCGAAGAAATAATCAAGGACATCGAGAAAATCCTACCTAGAGGTGACAAAGCTATACCTTCGGTACAAACCGGAGTGTCAGAATTAGTGGATATCACCGAGGTCAATCTGGAACAAATAATCGAACGATGCGAGAAGGTCATCCGGCACAGCGAGCTCAAAATGGCAAAGGAAGTTTCGGAAATGCTGAGGTTCGTTAGAGCCAAAGACTTCGGTCCAGGAGAAAGCCCTCTTAGAGAAATCGCGGAAATCGGGTACCTCATGAACAACGGCATCACCGTGAAAGAGGTCACTGTCCTCTACGACGAAGACAAGTTTCCTTCACTCAAATCTCCGCAGGCGCAGAATGCTCTGGTGAACGTCGTGGAAAGAAAGGGACATGGTGCCCTCATTTCCGAAGTCCTTACAGAAGAGACAACCGTAGACGAGAGCAAACTTGCTGCTACTGTTGGATTCAGAGCGTTCATGAAGATGGTGGAGGTCAACTACGTTACCATCGAGGAAGTCATCACAGAATTCACTCCAGAGGACTTTATTCAGCGAGCATGGGAGTCGTCAGAAGTAACAGAGGTGAGTTTTTCCCCTAAAGGATGGAATAATAAATCATAATTTCATTTTTCAGCTATGTTTGGTGTTTTCTAAGTCTTATGTATCAGATGTGCTCATTCTGAAATAAAATAATGAACAAAATTTTGTAAAAGAATTCACTATGAATAATAAGTTGTAACATTTGTCTCTTCATTCATAGTCCTTACGCCGCATTTTGCTACTTCCAGACTTAGGAAAGTATTCCAGTGTCATAAACCGGTCTTCAAGTCATGTTGAGCGACGCTAAACTTGTATGTTCTACAGAACTGGATAAAAAAATTTTCAAAATTTTCATCGAGTGATCTTTTAGTCTGATCAAGACACTTTTTGTTAGCGTCCTTGCAAACCATTTCATAAGTCTCAGACGGTAATTTTCATCATGTCATCTACACGGTTTCAGATAAAAATACTTCCTTCATAATAGCTTCTACATATACTTCTCAAAAATTAAAAGAAATATATTCACAAAACATAGTTTTTGAATATTTTTAGTATTCTAGTTTAAGTTCACACCATTTTTAACAACATAAAATGGTCAGCCCGCACTGCTTTCTCCTTCCTTTAAGCAAATATATTGAGATAATTGATATCAAAGGCATGGATGAAAGTAATTAAATACTCTCAGTATGGAAAACTTTCTGTTCAATAAGTGTTTGACAACACGAGAGTCGGGAAACTGACAATTCTGGGATTTATGAAACTGTGTTGAAAATTACGTTGGTCAGACTAAGCAAAGATATTAGAACTCTTTTCGAAGAGAACAAAACACATAGACCAGAAAAATTGGGACTGTTGAGACCATTATACGATACTAGATTTCTGAATACTTTCAGAAAAAATTTGCAAAATGTGACAGAACTGTGAAACAGTCCATTATTTACTATTTTCAAATTGAAAAGTTCCTCATATGTGGACCTAGCAGATTTAGGTACACCAAGGTTCTGATCACTTTCTTTTGATTCCTAAATAGCTTAGATATATTTTCATTACAATGTCTCACATATGATTGTGTTTCTTCTAGATAACCTCTTGTTCTTGGGCATTTCATTTCACAATTTCAACACAATATGTTCTGCTCTCTGTCCATCACAACTTCCAAGTTATCCAACCAATTCATCCATACAAATGTTTGTTATTCTAATCATATCATAACATATGAGTTCATTGAGTACATTGTATAATTATTGAATTTGAACGTAGAAAATTCAAACATATTTCCCTGAGCAGTATTTTCTATGTAACGAAATTTGTGCAATCAAATGGTAGATTATAATTTTTCGATCTCAACTTCAGAATAATGAATAATAAAATTTTGAGTTGTTTTTAAATGTATAATTTAAAATTTTGGTACTCAGATATTTTACAATGAGGTGAATACCGAATTTCAAATTCAAATTAGATTTTTTCAATTCATTTTCATTGTCTTGATTTCAGGAAACAATCAAGTCGGTTTCGGAGATGGTAACGATTACCGAAGAAGTTGAAGTTATGGAGGGTGAGTGTTGGAAGGCATGTCGTGTGATGAGTTTAAAATGTTTAATGTATATATTGCTGGTCAATGTTGAGTTTTTCAATTACCAATTTAGTGCAAAAGCGTTATGTGATATTCTAAGTGTAAGAAAATTAAAGTATATTATTGAAATTGTTTGTTTCTTTCATCACACAGATACCAGCAAAGTACTAAAGAAAAGAATCAAAAAGAAGGGCGATCTAGAGGGTAAGCAAAACATTTGTGTTATCATGTATTGTCAAATCTTACGAAGCTTATAGATAAACAAATTTAACGAATCACAGCCGGTACTTGATGGCAGTAAGTCCATCTATTAGTACCAGACATGCGCTCATGAAGAGAAATGCCTGATATGTTCAAAGTGCACCTTATTTATCAGTACAAAAGTGTTGCGCCTAGCTTCCTAATCGCTTAATATTTACTGCCACTACGCGTAGAAGCAGTGTTCCTTCGAATCGAAGAGCATGGCTTTTTAGTGTTAATTGCTCCGCTTAAGGTGAGTTTACATTTTCAATACTCTACCACTACCAATCACTGATACAAACCTATCTACTCTAGAACAGTTTTAACGCTTCTATACCTATTTATTGACACCCATGTCTGGGCTTGAGCTCTGCTTAGCCTTCTAGGCATGATCCTAATCAACAAAGTAATCAACATGCAAAACAATGTCCACCAACCAAACTATCATACATACACTTTCACAGAAACCATTGAAGTAGAAGAAGAAGTAGAACGCTCTCTCGGAAGAAAAGCTCCTGGTCCTGAGAAAAAACATTCGGTCGAAATAATAGATATCACAGATTTGTCTATTGAGGTCACGGATCAAAAAACTAAACGCGATGTCGAAGAGAAACGTGATTCAGAGTTGGAAATAGAAGAATTGGTGGAAACTCGCACCATCAAAAAGAAAGTGAAAACTTCCAAGCCTAAAACCACCACATACGAAATTGATGAGACAGAAGTAGAACTAATTGAGCCTTTCGAAGTTACAGCTCAGAAGGAAATTCCTTTAAGCTCATCAACTATTGTTTCAGAGGTTGTCAATTCTGGAGAGGTAGCCCACCTGAGTGAAGATGCTCGTATGTCAAAAGCAATTGTTGATGTTCTCACGCACAGAGCTGTGATTGAAGAACAAGTTGAACCTCACGAGAGTGAGAAAATTTGTGAAGATCGTCCATCGATCGCTGCAAAAGCTAACCAAATTGTGGATAAAAAGCAAGCGCTCGAAATATCTGAACAAAATATTCACAGTATGACGGGGCGATTCGACAAGAAATTCACCCCAGTCACTTCGAATGCTGAGAAAATGATAGAATCCACCGAAGGATTGATAATAAACGAAGTCACGCTGGGGGACACGTCTACGACTCTTGACGAGAAACTTCTTCCTGAAGGCAATGCGACGATCTCAATACTGCCCCATGAAGCTAAAAACATTTCAGAAGTAGAAATATCCCTGAAAGAAAGTGATTTGGAAATTTCGCGAGTGGAGAATGTGAAGCCTATGTCTATCCACAAGTCTGGGGTAGTTTCAGAAGCTACGGCTTTGATTGAAGTAGCACACATGGATGAAATCATTCAAAAATCCAAGGCGGAGGTCGAAGTTTTTCCTCATTCAGCAGTGACGAAAGAACAAGTGCAGACTCACGATACAGAGAAAACACGTGAAGATCAACCAATAAATGCCATGAAAGCTGAACAAACTGTAAATGAAATGAAGGCCTTAGAAGTATCTGAACAGACTGTTCACAGTACAACGGGTCATTTTGATAGGAAATTCACCCCACTCACATCTAATGCTGAGCAAATGATTCAATCCAGTGAAGGTTTGATAATAAAGGAAGTCACTTTGGGAGACTCGTCTACAACTTTCGATGAGAAAGTTCTACCTGAAAGTAATGCAACTGTTTCAGTAATGCCCCAAGAAGCTAAAAACATTTCGGAGGTGAAAATATTTTTGAAAGAAAGTGACTTGGAAATTACGAGGGTCGAGAATGTGAAATCTCTCTCTATCCATAACACAGGTGTAGTTTCAGAAGCAACATCATCGATTGAAGTAGCACACAAAGATGAAACCATTACGAAGTCTAAAGCAGAAATTGAAATTTTTCCTCATACAGCAGTGACGAAAGAACAAGTAGATGCTCATGAGATGGAAAAACCTCGTGAGGAGCAATCAATAAATGCCATGAAAGCTGAGCAAACTGTGGGTAAAGTGGAAGCCCTGGAAGTAACTGAACAGACTACTCATAGTACGACGGGACATTTTGACGAGAAATTCACCCCAATCACATCCAACGCCAAGCAAATTATGGAAGCCAGTGAAGGGTTGATTATTAAGGAAGTCACTTTGGAAGACTCATCTACAACTTTTGATGAGAAAGTTCTTCCTGAAGGTAGTGCAACTGTTTCATTGATGCCCCAAGAAGCTAAAAATATTTCGGAAGTGGAAATATCCTTGAAAGAAAGTGACTTGGAAATTCCGAAGGTGGAGAATGTCAAACCTTTCTCAATTTATAACACTGGGGTATTTTCAGAAGCTTCGTCCTCGACTGAAGTAGCGCACATAGATGAAACCATTTCGAAATCTAAAGCAGAGGTTAAAGTTATTCCTCACATGGCAGTGACGGAAGAACAAGTACATGTTGATGAGACAGAAAAAACTCATGAAGAACAATCAAGAAATACTATAAAAGCTGATCAAACTATAGATAAAGTGGAAGCCTTAGAAATATCCGAACAGACTGTCCACAGTACAACGCGTCATTTTGATGAGAAATTCACCCCAACCACCTCTAATGCCAAACAAATAATGGAATCTAGTGAAGGGTTGATAATAAAGGAAGTCACTTTAGAAGACTCATCTACAACTTTTGATGAAGAATTCCAGCCTGAAATCAAAGCGATGGTCTCACTTGTGCCCCAAGAAGCTAAAAACATTTCTGAAGTAGAGGTGTCCTTAAAAGAAAGTGATTTGAAAATTCTACATGTAGATGAGGTGAAACCTTTGACTGTTCATAACACTGGAGTATTCTCAGAAGCTATATCTTCTAGTGAAGTAGCACACATTAATGAAACCGTGCCTTGTTTGAAAGCAGAGGTTGATTTGATTCCGCACTCAGCCATTTCAGAAGAAACCACCCACGCCGAAGAAAGGGAAGTGAAACATGAAATAACTGAAACTAGCTCGGTGTCTGCAACTAAAACTATCGACACAGTCGAAGCTTTCCAGACTTCACAAACAACAGTTCAAAGCTCAACACGGGAGTTTATAGATCAAACGTCATATCGTTTGTTAAAAGCTTCTCCACAAGTAACCTCCAATGAAGGAATCCAAATACAAGAATACAACCTCGGAGATGTTCTTTCCGAAATGTTAGAGGAACGCAAACTTGAAGACACGGCACTTGTTTCGTTAATACCACAGGAAGCGAAATTAATTTCAGAAATAGAGACATCAGACAGAGAAACGGATCTGGACGCATTCACAAAACCAAGAGAGGTTCACGCTCAAGGATCAGTGTCTACGAAAGAAAGCATTAATGTGGAAGAGATCAATCAGGCTTTATTCGAAGGAGAATTTGAAGTTAGCAAAACGGCAACAGTGCAACCGAGATATAAAATCGACTCGAAAGAACCAATTGTAGTGGAAGAAATATTAGCTGAAGTCAAACCTGGCAAGCACTTGCCAGAGGCGTTCGTACCAACAGAAGTTGCCACAACGAACATCGTTCCGCAAAGATCACTCTTTCAATCCGAAATGAACGCTCCAGAATTAGAGGGTGAATACATAGCTGGAAAATTGCCACCAATGCAGGCAGCTAATTTCGACATCACCACGGGAGAAGGTTTGATTGTATCTGAAATAAACTCATCAGAGAAAGAAACAGTACTTGAAAAAACTAAACTAGGAGAAACGGTGAAGGCTATGCCGAATTTTATGTTATCAGAAGCAGTAACAGTATCAGTGACTGATACCCAACAACCACAAACTGAAGTTTCTTCAGAAGAGGTTGAACACCATACAGTCAACGTACAAGTGTCTTCATTAGAACCAGTCGTTGCTCAAACTGTAATAACCAGTGAATCGGAAGTCAATTATGAAGAGGAAAAACCTTCCAGTAAAACCGCTGATTTCACACTGGCTTGCCTGCAAACGAGCAGTAAATCAGTAACGTTTGTGCAAGAATCCGAAGACACACTCTCGCCACAAAGCCAACCCATTAGATCCATAGCAAAGCGAACGGTTTCACCCAATGAATCTATTACAATTGAGGAAATTGCAACAAATGATTCACCGGAAGCTTTTAAAGATTATCCGAAGATACAAACCGACCACGCTTCAGAAAACATAGAAACTCAGCATGCTACTGACATTACCGAAACAAATGTTGGAGAATCAGAAACATTCTATGACCAAAAACCTCAGAAATACGTGACATTAGAAAGTTCATTCACAAGACCACAAGAACAAGTCGAGGTTAGTGAATCACAAATTTTTGAAATGGAAAAGGATCTCAAATTTTTCGAGTTACCCGAGTCACACAAAGGTAAACAAGTTAGATCAACTTTACTTCCGACAGGTATAACTGAAGAAACCACGGTTGAGCAGAGTGTCGAAAAACTTCAAGCCATGCGTACTGAAATAGGGAAAGCAAGTCTGAATCAGCCCCTGAGTGAAGAGATTACAATATCTGAAATAATAACATCTGAAGACACTGATCAGATTAAAACAGAACAAATGGAAGGAAAACAAGCCCTGCCAGTAATCTTCCCACGAGAGGCTGTAAAAGTAGATGAGGTACTGGTAATAGATAAGGAAAATGAGTATATTCCAGACGATAGAAACTTCGAGGTTCAAGCAAAGCTAGGTATTGATACTCAACAAGTAGCCAGTAAGTCTGTCACTCAAATTAGCGACGCAGCAGAGACTTTAGAAATAACTCATCCGTTAGAGGCTGTAGCATCCCCGGAGCAGCAGGTATTCGAAACTGTGGAAGTTCTCGAACATGAAACAGGAGAAAGAGAAACAGATCACACAGAGATCAGACCAGATGCCAAGATAGCTGCCGTTGATTTATCAGAATCACTTCATGGAGCCAAAACTACGCAAATTCTACCAAATGAAAAAGAGGATGTTTACCACTCACAGCCAAAAGCATTGCAAGCGTTGGCCTCTATGGCTGTAACAACGCAACAAGTATTCATAACATCTGAAGTTGAGAGTGTTATCCACGCAGATTTACTAGAAGAAGAGCAACCATTAACAGGAAGAGCGAAAAAATATGCTAAACCATACACCGAACTCATAGTGACGGAAACGAATGTAACAGATATCGAGAAGAATCTTCCCGCTGACCTTCTGCCCTATAGTAAAACAGCAAACCTGGAAATATTACCAGGCCAGGCACTGACTATCACAGAAACCGTGTCAGATGACAAAGAGTCAGAGCTAAATGTTTCGGAGGTTGAAACAAACCTAGCAAGCATTCAAGTGGGTGAACAGCAAGTTGCTGTTTCAGAGCAAACTTTGATTAATTTCTCGCCAACTGAGCTGAAAGAAGAACGACCTGAAAGTCACAACGCTTTTGCTACGCAAGATATTTCTGTTGGCGTTACCCAGTTGCAAATAACTCTTGGAGAAAAAGAAGCCGAACAGCTAGCTGATATAACTCCCAATAAGAAGCAAATAGGAATAACGTTCAACGAAGTGGAAGGCCTGAAAGTTACAGAAGTTACTGCAGATGATCAAGAGGATGTATTGCCTCAAGAACAATCAATAGCGGTAGAAGGAACAACTTCTTTAAATGAGTTCCATTTGTCGGCGTTGTCTGAAGAAGTGATGCTTGAAGATTCCGTGAATAAAGTCGATAAAATCGATTATATTTCTGAGAAAGCTAAGTCAAACTGCATTACACTGGAAAGCATTTCAATGACAGAATCGACAACATTAGAAAATGAAGGCAAATTTTCCGAAGTGAAGCCTTCAAAAAAACAAGCCCTACCTGAATATCAACATGCAGAAAGCTTGTTCGTTACATCAGTCACCTCAGCCACAAAAGAAGGAACTTTGGAAAAGAAAAATCCAGAGTTGAAAACAGCGGATTCTTCATTACTTCCACAAGATGTAGTGGAAGTTAGAGAAACCATAGCTAGCGATACCATTAAAGAACTAGAAATTGAACATCCTACTAAGGTAGCCGCTACAGCAAGTCAATCCGAATTTCAGAGCTTGATCAATATCGAAGCGGTTTCAGGTGAAACTGAAATATTATTAAAGCCCAGTGACGAACCACTTGAGCAAATCGCCGCTATAGAGTTCGATAATTTAGTTATTCCACAAATTTCGCAAACTATTCCTTCAGAAAAAGAAAATATTTATAAAGCTCCTGAACAAGGAAGTGAAAAAATTGCTACTTCATCTATTTCTGTTCAGCCAGTTGCTGAAAAAGGTATAACCATTTGCCAAGATTCCATTTCCGACATTATTCCAACAGACTTTCCTACCATCGCGGCTCATCTGAAGCAATCACCACAGGAAGGTATTATATCAACACAACCTTTGGTACAAGAGAGTGAAACTTATTTCGAAAAAGTTGATGTTTCAACAGAAAAAGCTATACTGGAAATTAGGGAAGATCAAAGCTTGAAAATCACTGAAGTTATGAGCAATGAAACCGAAACTTTGCTACCGATACTTATGAAACCAGCACAAACCCAAGCTTCCGTAAGTATGGAAACACATCAAGTTTCCTCCAAAACTGAAATTGGAAGTAATGACACCACAGAAGATATACTATTGAGTGAACCTGTCAAAGCTTCTGCTCAACCTGAACTATCAAGTCTACCAACCGCTTTGAAACATCAAACAATACCTTCAGAACTGGAAGGTGTGATCCAGAAAGAACAGATGCCAAATGCACAAAAAGTGTCGCCAATATTAGATGAGATCAAAGGTATTGAAGTTGAGTCTGTTTTGGTACACGACACCGAGGTAGACTTCAAGAAGAAGCCATCAGAGGAAAAACGTGCACAAGCTAACTTTAGTGATGCAGGAAAAGTGATAACGCAGTTTGAATCAAAGGTTGAGTACGATTTGGGGTGCATCGAAGATGTCTTTCCAGAAGAAAGCAGAGCTACGAAAACCTCGATACCATTTGATTTTGCTGTTACCTCAGAACAAATAACATTCGACATAGAAGCAGAGTTGCCTGCATTAGGTAAAGGTCCTGAAATTATAGCTTCGATCGATATACAACCATCAGAAGCATTTTCAGTAACCGAAGCAGTTTTAGGTCAGAGAGAAAGTGGGATTAACGAATTCAAATTACCAGATTTGAAAACGGCGCATAAGTCAATAGACGTAACACAAAAAGTTGCAGAAATGAACATTCCAGACGTGCCCGATAATTTAACTCTTCACCAATATTCTGTTCCGGAAAGTGCTGTGGCTACTCAAGAAGAAGAATCGTTGAACAGTTTAATAATTTGCGAAAACATCCCGGAAGAGAAAGAACTCAATTTCACGGGTAAATTTCAACCCATTACCAGTCAAGTCAATATAACTTTGGAACAAAAAACACAGAGTTTGAACGTTTCGGAAATATTAATACAAGAAAAAGAAGGGGGTTTAGGTAAACTAGAAATTCCAATGAAACAGACTGCTACTGTTGAATTGGATTCAATCATCATCCCACAAAAAACAGTGACTCACGTGGAAGATATCGTGAAACATTTAGATTCATTTGAAACTATAACTTCAGTAGCAAGCGTGAAACAAATACCACATCAAGAACTGGTAGAAACTCAACCTCAGATAGTAGAAAAAGAAGGAATTTACAACAAAAGTTTCGAGTACAGTACCAAAAATGCCGATCTCATGACAGAAGACAGTATGGCATTATCGGCGACTGAAGTTGTACCTAACGAGAAAGAAATTATTTTTGGAGAACAGGTCATACCTGAAAGTGTAACGGCTCAACCCTCATTCATTTCGAATACAAGTTCTCAAATAACTGAAATCTTAACCAATCTCAGCTTGGATGAACTGGAAGGTGAGAAAGCTGCGTGTGTTACAGCCGTGCCTATTTCTGATACATCCGAGAGCTTACTTCAAAGCATACCATTAGTTATTGAAAACGCCGAACCATTCGAAGGACAGTTCAAAACAAAAAGTATCAGAGCCCAAGAAAAACAAGACGTTCTGTCAGAGCTTACGATAAGTGAAACGTACTCAGAATCCGTGGCAGAAAATATGAGCGAATTTCCGGACAAGAGCGACTCAGCCAAACCAAACGTAGATAGTACCAAAGCCATAGAGGCTTCTATAGTTATAGTGTCTGAAAATGTGTCCGATTTGACAATGGCTTCTGAGGTGGCATCAAAGATATCAATGCAGAGAGATACATTCGATGGTATTATATTCATGGAGAACTTGGTACATGAATCTGAAAAAGATCTGAAGTTACTACCTACGGAAGAAGAGAAACACGCCGAAAAAATTCTAACAGAAGTGTCGTCTTTGAATGTATCTCAAGTATTTAGTGAGGAGAGTGAATATCCGCTAGTAAGTGAACAAATTGAAAACAAAAAACCTTCAACTGATATCCTGACTAATAAGTCATTAGCTCAAGAATTTGTTATTTCTCAAGATTTGCTGGAGGAACTCGAGGTACCCACACATCAAGAAGAAAGAGCTCAAAAAACACAAATTGAAGTTGAAAGTGTAATTGTTTCGGCGAAATATTCTCAAGATAAAGAATCGCCACTTATAGACAAACCTCCTGAAACTAAAGTTGTCAACGTTGGGTTCTCGCCCGATGAAAGTATATCGGTAACTGAAACTATTGCAAGTGAACAAGAGACATTATTTTCAGCAAAAGACATGGATACTGTCTCTGCCACTCAAGTTTTCGCCTCGCAAGAAGCTACACAAGTGTCAGAAACTAGAACAGAACAAGATTTAGGAGAACTGGTCGTTGAATTACCGGAAGGTAATCGTGCACACCAAGAACAGGATTCAATTGCACCTCTCGATGTAACAGAGATTATCGCCACTGAAAGCGAATCCACATTCATACAGAAATCCAGGCCAGAAACATCTGCAGGTGTAACGCTAGAGCAACCTGGAAAAGCAGCATCTACGACCGAAACCATCACAAGTCAAAATGAGTTGCCCCTCGATCTCAAAAAACCCGATGAGGAAATTGCAAAGAGAGTTCTCATAGAACATCAAGTTGTAGAAGAGGAAGGTATCAACGTGATGGACAGCTTGGGAAACTTGATACTAGACAAACAAAATTCTCGACGGGCTACCTCTCAAACTGATGTATTCCACAGTATAACTGAATCAGACGTTACCGTGCACGGAAATGTAAAGCTCGTTGATATGGGAATTCCATCCTCCAAAACAGCTGGAGTGAACATAAATATTCAAGAAGGCTTGATAATAACTGATACGGTGGTACAAGGACAAACAGGCGACGAAATTAAACAGGTAGCAGCTAGCGGAACAACGGCTCACAAAGAAATAGAAAATAAACTGGTGGTGGTGATGGAAGAAAATTTGTCTTTACAAAGTCACGACGTTTTCCAGCCAGATGAAACTAAAATTAGCAAAGCACAGCTTGAGTATGCGGGTGCTCCCCAGCAAGGACTTATTATAACTGAACCACTACCTACAGGAAGAGTGCAACAGATAGAATATGATGCGCCAATTTCCAGAAAAGTAAACATTGTGTTGGATGAAATAACGACAAGCCTGCAAGTATGTGAAGCGATTCTCCACGATCAAGAAGGTAAGTCGAAGCACGAATTTATGGTAGTATTCTGAGTAGGTGAAGCGTAGATCATCTCACAGTTCACGAACACACACTTACACATATACACACATACAAATGAGATTTATTTTTACAATTGAAATATTCACACAGTGAAATTACAGGACAACTGGATGAAACAGCAACACATAAAACACAAGCAAGTTTCACACGCACAAGCACCAAGCTGAACATGGCAGAACACGACAAAACAGATATTCGACAAGATACAGACACAGAAGAAATTCAAGAAATAGTGACTAATTTTAGGTCAGCGCCAGACGGTGCAGAGAGTATAGCGATAACAAAGAAAAGAACCATCATTAGAAATAAAGTGAAAAAACATGATGAGGGAGATATCGTGATAGAAGAAATGCTAGATGAAGAAACGAAACCAATCGAACAATCAAAAAGTCAAATACATATAGAAGAAATAGAAACTACTAGAGACGACAATGAGATGCAATCTGAAGTCACCTTTGAAGAACTGGAAGCTCCGGAAAGAATCACAGAAAAATATCCTGTACATGAGCTTGAAGCTTCGGAGGAAACAGTCCCAGAACAGCCAATACACACGGTAGAAGAACTTCCTGAAGAAGTTCAAATAACACACGTTACAACAGACGAAGGCAAAAAGAAGAAAATGGTAACCAAGAAGAGAGTCATCAGAAAGCAAAAAGACGGAAAACAGCAGAGGACCGAAACAGTCACAGTTGAAGAAGAGGGTAAAGAACCTCAAACAACAGTTACTGTGCAAGAACTTGAAACTCCGAAGGAAGCAGTCCCGGAACTGCCAGTACACATGGTTGAAGAACTTCCTGAAGAAGTTCAAATAACACACGTTACAACAGACGAAGGCAAAAAGAAGAAGTTAGTTACCAGAAAGAGAGTCATCAGAAAGCAAAGAGATGGAAAACAGCAAAAGACCGAAATAGTTACAGTTGAAGAAGAGGGTAGAGAACCTCAAACAACAATTACTGTGCAAGAACTTGAAGCTTCCGAGGAAGCAGTTCCAGAACAGCCAGTACACATGGTTGAAGAACTCCCTGAAAAAGTTCAAATAACATACGTTACAACAGACGAAGGCAAAAAGAAGAAAATCGTTACCAGGAAGAGAGTCATCAGAAAGGAAAAAGATGGAAAACAGCAAAAGACCGAAATAGTCACAGTTGAAGAAGAAGGTAGAGAACCTCAAACAACAGTTACTGTTCAAGAACTTGCAGCTCCGGAGGAAGAGGTCCCAGAACAGCCAGAACACATGGTTGAAGAACTTCCTGAAGAAGTTCAAGTGACGCACATTACAACAGACGAAGGCAAAAAGAAGAAGTTAGTTACCAGAAAGAGAGTCATCAGAAAGCTAAAAGACGGAAAACAGCAAAAGACCGAAATAGTTACAGTAATAACACACGTTACAACAGACGAAGGAAAAAAGAAGAAAATCGTAACCAAGAAGAAGGTCATCAGAAAGCAAAAAGACGGAAAACAGCAAAAGACCGAAATAATCACACACATGGTTGAAGAACTTCCTGAAGAAGTTCAAGTGACGCACATTACAACAGACGAAGGCAAAAAGAAGAAAATCGTAACCAAGAAGAGAGTCATCAGAAAGCAAAAAGACGGAAAACAGCAGAAAACCGAAATAATCACAGTTGAAGAAGAGGGTAAAGAACCTCAAACAACAGTTACTGTGCAGGAACTTGAAGCTTCCGAGGAAGCAGTTCCAGAACAGCCAGTACACATGGTTGAAGAACTTCCAGAAGAAGTTCAAGTAACACACGTTACAACAGACGAAGGCAAAAAGAAAAAAATCGTAATCAAGAAGAAAGTCATCAGAAAGCAAAAAGACGGAAAACAGCAGAACACAGAAATAGTCACAGTTGAAGAAGAGGGTACAGAACCCCAAACAACAATTACTGTGCAGGAACTTGAAGCTTTGGAGGAAGCAGTCCCACAACAGCCAATACACATGGTTGATGGAAAGCAGGAAAAAACAGAAATGGTAATGGTTGAAGAGGAAGGGAAGAAACCAGAGACAACATTAACAATTGAGGAAGTACCCGAAGAAGAATTTTCAGGAAAGCCCATATTAACAGTTCAGGAATTGCCTGAAGAGATTCAAGTTTCTGAAGTGATCAGAGATGGAAAAACAAAGAAACAAATTACCAAAAAACGTGTGATCAAAAAAGAAAAAGATGGAAAGCAAGAGAAAACAGAAATAGTAACTGTTGAAGAAGAAGGAAAGAAACCAGAGACAACAGTAACAATTGAGGAAGTACCCGAAGATGAATTTTCAGAAAAGCCCATATTTACAGTTCAGGAATTGCCTGAAGAGATTCAAGTTTCTGAAGTGATCAGAGATGGAAAGATAATGAAACGAATTATCAAAAAACGTGTGATCAAAAAAGAAAAAGATGGAAAGCAAGAGAAAACAGAAATAATAACTGTTGAAGAAGAAGGAAAGAAACCAGAAACAACAGTGGTAGTTGAAACATCTGAAGAACCTGAAAAGAAATTTTCAGAAGAACCCACATTTACAGTTCAGGAATTGCCTGAAGAGATTCAAGTTTCTGAAGTGATCAGAGATGGAAAAACAAGGAAACGAATTACCAAAAAACGTGTGATCAAGAAAGAAAAAGATGGAAAGCAGGAAAAAACAGAAATAGTAACTATTGAAGAGGAAGGAAGAAAACCAGAGACAACAGTAACAATTGAGGAAGTACCCGAAGATGAATTTTCAGAAAAGCCCATATTTACAGTTCAGGAATTGCCTGAAGAGATTCAAGTTTCTGAAGTGATCAGAGATGGAAAGATAAAGAAACGAATTACCAAAAAACGTGTGATCAAGAAAGAAAAAGACGGAAAGCAAGAAAAAACAGAAATAGTAACTGTTGAAGAAGAAGGAAAGAAACCAGAGACAACAGTGGTAGTTGAAACATCTGAATTACCCGAAAAGGAATTTCCAGAAGAACCCACATTTACAGTTCAGGAATTGCCTGAAGAGATTCAAATTTCTGAAATGATCAGAGATGGAGAGACAAAAAAACGAGTTACGAAAAAACGTGTGATCAAGAAAGAAAAAGATGGAATGCAGATTGAGGAAAAAGATAATAACCAAGAAACAATACAAACTATTGAAGAATATAAGGATATATCACAGGAAAAGGAGAGAAAGGAACATGAGAATATCTTGTTCGTTCCAACTCTGGCGGAAACTCAGATGGTGACACAAGAAGATGTCTTGAATTTACTGAAAATGGAAATGATCAGAAAGGTATTATCACATCCTCTACCTGAATTGCCCATAACAATGAATGTTCCTATTGGAAAGTGCACTGTCGTGCTTGAATTTCCGGAGGTTATCAAGTCATCATTAACATCCGATGGAAAGAAAAAAACTATAATTAAACGTACTCTAAAGAGGCCCAACGGTGACAAAAATGAAATAATCAGTATTATTAGCACCGAAGTTGAAGGTGAAGAACCTACCAGAGATCTAATCATAGAAGAAACTAGGGAGAAAATTAATGAAACTCCAATTGCATCTCTGATCGAATTACCAGAAGACCTCGACGTTATTGAAATCAGTACTTTAGGTGAAACTCCTGTGAAAAAAATATCGAAGAAGAGAACATTCCTCAAAAAAGTTGGGCCCAAAGTAGAAATCACTGAAGTTATCACAATTCTGGAAGATAATAAGGAACCTCTGGAGATAATCAATATACACGAGTATGAAGATGAACCTAAACCTGCAGAAAACTTGGACAAGAAAGCTATCCCAAAAAAGAGAAATCAAAGAGAAGCGAAGGTTATTGAAGTAAAACCCAGCCATGCGTTAATTGAAGATGTAACTCAAGTGAGGTTGAAGAAGCCAAAATCTCAAAAACCGAAACAAGACAAAGTCAAATTCCCAAAAGTACGTTTAATGAGCCGAATTCGCTTCATTTCATTTCCGATCGAATCTGAAAAAAAGCAAAGTCTTGTCCTAACTGTACTTCCTCCCTATAACAAGGACCATGGTATTTTGTCACGTAACGTTGAAGAGGCGAAGACATTGCCAAAAAAGAAATACAAAAAGTTCCAAGATATCGAAATCGATCATCCTGAACTCGAAAAACTAGAAACAATGGATAAAGTTGGTCACAATAAGGATCATGATATTATTGACGAAGAGAAACACAAAAAATTAACCAAAGAATTGTCGAAGACTACTGAAAAACCACTAAATATCATAACTGGTCAGGGAAAACTTTCAGATTCACCAGAGAGAGATGAAGTTATATCTTTGAAGTCAGTTCCGAGAAAAATAATTGGAGATACAGAATCTCTGCTCAAAAAAGTACCAGAAAGTACTGAAGAACAATCCGACACACCAAAAAGAGAACATACAGACGAGATTGAAAAAATTGATTTCTCGCCTTATGATATCGATCGAGAAGATGTCACTTTGGAGGAGTATGAAAAACCGGAATTGAAGACGAAAGATATTCCGAGGAAAACTACCCGAGGGAAATACGTTAAGAAACCGAAGGCTAAACTTGATGAAGAAATCGACCATAGAAAATTGATTCCAGGAATTCCAAAAGAAATATCACAACCGGACGACACCGAGATTTCAAGAAAAATCAAACGTAAAGATTTACCCGAAGAATCTCCTGGAAGTATCAAGTTGAAACCTTTCAAAAAACGATCTGAAGAGAAACCTTCTTACAAAGTGCAAGAGGCAGAAGGTGTTCCAATCAAGATCGGATGGGTGGTGTACGAGATGCCAGAAGAAGTAAGAGAATCTCAAGAGATGACACCCGAAGGTCTTTTAGTAACAAAAACTCTCAAAAAGCGGGTGATAAAAAAGAAACGGGGTCCAAACAGTGAAGTTACTACGATAGAAACCCTAACGACAGATAATTCTGAACCAGTGATCACCGTCAAAACCGAAAGTGTAGCTGAGGACTTCCAAATCCCTCTCGAGGTCGCAGAGATAATTGAGCTCCCGGAAACGACAGAAGAAATAGTTGAGTATAGTAAGACTGGAAAAAAAATTGTAAAGAAAGTCAAGAAACGAGTCTTCAGGAAGCCAGTCGATGTTGGCTGTGAAGTCACTGAAATCCTCACGCTCAGTGAAGAAGGAAAGAAACCATTCGTTTTGGTCAACACTTACTTGGCCGATAGTGAAGATTATCACGGCGAAGGCGACATAGGCACGCTGCAAATGGAAACTCCAAGTAATGCAACATCAGTTACACCAACCATAACAACACAAAATGCCACAAAAATAATAACAGAAGTGTACACATTAGAAAAAACACAGGAAACAGGTAAGATACTTACACGTAACATTTTTGTTTTACTCACTCTAATCAATTTTTCAACATTTTAGGATCCAAAATTCCTAAGGTAGGAAAAGCGAAAGGAACTTTGGTACATGATATACTGGAGTCCGTCATGATAGAAGAGGTTCAAACGCAGAAACCGATCGAAAAACTGTTCAGACCAGAACCAGTATTAGAAGGTAAGGAAAAAATGCGTCTACTCACCTCGGGGGGACTTTTCTCTAAGAGATACTATCAGGTGATTAGCGTTTCTCTTTACTCTTCTTGTTAAAGATGTGGGGCTGAATATTTCACAGAAACCATTACTGCAATTAAAAAAAATAACTCATTATCTGCAAAGTACAAATGAGTTCATTCCATTTGAAAAATATAGACAAGTATCATGAAAGTAGCTGTTTCAGGAGAACTTTCTTCCAGTTTGTGTGATAAATAGGGTTGAATCAACTTTTTCAAATCTTGGTTTTCTCCAACTGAACAACTTTTCCCGAAATAAACTAATTATAAGAAAATTATTCGAATATATTTTCATAGAACGATGATAAATAGGGTTGAATCAACTTTTTCAAATCTTGCTTTTCTCCAACTTTACAACTTTTTCCAAAATAAACTAGTTATAGAAAAATTATTCAAACACTATATTTTTCTATAACATTTCAAGATAAAAAATTATCAAATAATTATCAAATATACTCACTGATACGAACACATTGATATTTACTAATGAAATTTCACTATGTTAGACCATTTCCTCTTCTCAAACGAGAACACGTTCTATGAGCTTTTTCGATATTTTCAGTTTATATTTGCAATTCATCTCTCTTCCACTTCTGTCAAATTATTTTAATCAAAATCCACTTTTATGAAAAAGTGCTGTAGTTTCGATTCTACTAATTAGTAGTTTCGGGGTTATCACCGATATTCATCAATATTTCTTGCCCTATGGAACTTTACTTACTTTATATTGAAAAATATCGAAAATAGGCGAAAACCAGTTTTCTTTTTTCCGATAATTCTGAATTCAACATACGTAAAAATCTATAACATTATGAAATTTCGAATCAATATCAAATATAGTTCATGAGATAATCAAATCCAGTGAATATACAGAGCTCAGAATTTAAAAAATAATTTTAGATGCCGATCACTTCCTCCAAAGCAAGTAATTCGCCAATTAAAAAAGAATGGAGTCATCTGTGAGGACTAGTCTCACTTTATTGCTATTTACATTTACCATTCCAAAGTTTGGTATTTGCAGATTTTCGAAATCATGAGAAGTTTCATGTATAGGTCTCAACAATTATTTTTTGATCAAAAAATCGAATATACGTTGTTGTCTGTGGAACGGAGCTAATAACCATTTTGGTCTGACCAACATACTTTTTACAGTTCTCACAGCTCAATTAACAGTAATTACCAGAATTTTCGATTACTAACATCTTTTCAATTGGTATTATTCAAATCTAATCGATAAGTTAACTAGGAAATGTAAATTCAGAGAAAATTTGATAAAGTGTTCGATAAGTGTTGGGAAACTCGAAACTCGACTATTAAGTCGAGAATCTATGAAATAAGCTACATAAAATGCTAATAAAGAGCTCGTGCCCAATATCCATAAAGTTAGTTTGAAGGTGGTTGACAATGCTTTGTTATGCATTTCATTAGTTCGAACTCTCATTGTCTAATATGGTATAAATTGATTTGAAATCCCTGTAAAAAAATCTCTAAAAAATTTAAAAAGAAATTAGCTGAAAAATAACAATAATTATGTTAAGCAAAAAAAGAACTGAAATTACAATGAAATAAAATAGAAGCAACAACCAAAAAATACAAAAAGAAAAACTATTACGAGATGAAATTAAAAAATTTATAACAAGAAATGAAAATTCAAAAGATTCCAAACCAGGTTACTACACGACGGACGTTTAGATTGTTAGAATCCACTATCGTCTTTGGGTGATAACTGGACTGATTCCTCCGAAATCTGACTATTTATAGGTCATTCGAGTGCTCTCACGGTTTTAGCGAAAGCTAATCGTTTGGCGGGAGTTGGTCGTGTTCCGCTTGATTAGAGGTTTCCATATGTTGCGTATCTCTACGCTAGCTTGGTTAAATGCTAAACACTTCCCGAGAGAGGCAACAGAAATATATGACATTAGACTTCTAGGTGCCTTCTGAGGTTCAAAATAGGAAATCATAGCATTGACATGGAACATTATTAATTTTTTTATTAAAAACTATTCCGCATTTTGTGTGTCCACCCTTTCACTGTGTAAAAATAAGTTCAGATTCGAATTGTGAAAATATGAAAGTATTTTGTGCGACAGATAATTCATAAATCTAAATAGAATCACACGTTTATGAACATTTAACACATCCCAAACTGATTACAGTTTTGAGAATTATATTCTTATCAATTTCAGTAACTGAATATTAATTTTCAGAAGCTGCGTCATACATTGAGGAACTTCCCGAAGATGTTCAAATAATAGAAACTTTGGAAGAAGGTGTTCCCAAAAAGACTACTATAAAGAAGCGTGTAATCAGAAGGCGTAAAGGATCCAAGCAAGAATCGACGGCAATCACAACTGTCGAAAAAGAAGGAGAAATTCCTTATTCAACAGTAGCAATAGAAGAGGTCGAATTGCCTGAAGAAGTGTCAATCGCTCCAGTTTTAGTAGAGGAACTACCAGAAGAAGTAACAGTTACGCAGGTTCAAACCAATGAAGGCCCCAAAAAGAAAACCGTTCGAAGAAAGAAATTCGTAAAGAGAAAGGGAAGCACTCAAGAGATTACTGAAATGGTAACCACAGAAGAAGAAGGAAAAGAACCTCAATCTACGGTAACCATCCACGAAACTGAAGTTTCCGAAGATGTTGCACAATTCGAGGAACCAAGTCTAGTGGAGGAATTCCCAGAAGAAGTAACAGTGACCCAGGTCAACACTGAAGAGGGTCCCAAAAAGAAAATTATAAAGAAGAAAGTTATTAAGAAACAAACAGGACACAAACAAGAAGCCACTGAAATATTAACTGTTGAAGAAGAGGGCAAAGAGCCACAGACATCGATTCAGGTTCATGAAATAGAAGAGCTCCCGGAAGAAATACAAGTTATAGAAACAATTGAAGGTGGAGTTGCGAAGAAAACAATAGTGAAGAGACGAACAATCAAAAAACAAAAAGGGGGAAAACAACAATCAACCGAAATAGTAACCATCGAAGAGGAAGGAAAGAAACCACAGTCCACTGTAATCATTGAAGAAATTGACAATACGGAAGAAGAAGTTCCTAAGGAGACACCCATTATTAAAGACGATGATATCAAAAAACGAATGGTCACAAAGAAAATCATAAAACAAAAGGGTAACAAGCAAGAAGAAACCAAAATCCATACGGTTGAAGAAGAGGGCAGAGAACCACAAACTACTGTGACCGTTGAGGAAATAGAGCTACCGGATGACGTCACATCGACTTTCATCGAAGAACTTCCTGAGGAAGTACAAGTTGTAGAAACTTCTGAACAAGGTATTCCTAAGAAAACAACGATAAGAAAGCGTATCATCAACAAACACCGGAAGGGTAAACAAGAATTGACAGAAATTGTAACAATAGAGGAAGAAGGAAAAAAACCTCAGTCTACAGTAACCATTCAAGAAATCGAAATTCCGGAAGAAAGAGTAAAGAAAATCCCAGAGTTGAGTAAACCAGAAAAGCCTATCATAACTGAAGAGTCGCCAGAACAGATAACAGTTACGGAAGTTCAGACTGAAGAAGGCCCTAAACAACGGGTTGTAAGAAAGAAAGTGATCAAAAAGCAAGAGGGCAATAAACAACAATCCAGAGAAATCGTCACAGTTGAAGAGGATGGCCAGATGCCACAAACTACAGTAATTGTACAAGAACTCGAAGAACTTCCCGAAGAGGTCCAGGTACTTGAAACTTTGGAACACGGTGTCCCGAAGAAAACTACAATAAGAAAACGGGTAATAAAAAGGACTAAAGGTGATAAACTGGAATCCGCTGAGATACTGACGATAGAAGAAGAGGGAAAGAAACCTATGTCTACGGTAACAATTGAAGAAATTAATAATCCTGAAGAAAAAATTGAAGATATTCCTGAAAGTTTACCTAAAGTTCGAAAAATCAAACAAAAATTGCCGGAACAAGTAACTGTGACCAAAGTTGAATCGTTTATGGAGGAACTACCAGAAGAAATTCAGATTATAGAGACAATGAAGGACGATGTTCCTAAAAAAGTTACCATCAAAAAAAGGGTACTAAGGAAACGGAAAGGTAGAAAACAAGAATCCACCGAAATACTAACAGTTGAAGAAGAAGGAAAAGAACCTCAAACTACTGTTATCATTCAAGAAACTGAAATACCACAAGACGTACAAATACCAATATCTGAAGGAATCACTCTTGTAGAAGAGTTGCCAGAAGAGGTTACAGTAAGAGAAGTAGTTACTGAAGAAGGACCCAAGAAGCAAACCATTAGGAAGAGGACTATACGAAAACAGAAAGGAACCAAACAAGAGGCTACTGAAATTCTCATCGTTGAAGAAGAAGGAAAAGAACCTCATACCACTGTGACGGTACTTGAAATAGAAAAACCAAAACCAGAGGAGACAGAGGAGAGAGTAGAGGAGACGCAAGAAGAACCAAGGAAACCAACCACGAAGAAAAAACCGAAACGTAAAGTAAAACCTGAAAAAGACGAACCAAAACTTATTACAGATGATAATATACTATTTATACCAACTCTGGCTGAAAAAAAGGAGCAGTCGGAGGATGTTATAGATTTGGTACAAATAGAGCTCCTGAAAAAGGCCTTGGCATTACCTACACCAATAACTGGCAAAAAAGAAGAAGAATATATACCCCAGTATGCAGAAGAACTGCCAGAGTATGTCCAGATCATCGAGTCGCAAACTGAAGATGGTAAACCAGAAGAAATTGTAATAAGGAAAAGGATAATTAAGAAGCGAAAAGGACAAAAAGAAGAAGTTACGGAAATTTGCACAGTTGAAAGAGAAGGTAAAAAACCAGAAACAACTGTAGTCACAGAAGAAATAGACATCACAGAATCTCATATACGCGAAGAAATACCATCTGTAACGCTTGTAGAAGAGGTACCAGAGGAGATAGAAATTATTGAGAAACCAACGGAAAGAGGGCCAAAAACAGTGATAATACGGAAAAAGGTAATCAAGAAACGCAGAGGAAGTAAGCAAGAAAATACTGAAATAATAACTCGAGAAGAAGAAGGCGAACTTCCGCAAACGTCTGTAGTTATTGAGGAAATTGATGTTAGTGAAAATGAGCTACAGAAAGAAGAACCAATTTACATAGAAGAACTACCAGAAGATATCAAACTTATTGAGGAAATCACTCCAAAGGGTCCAAAACAGAAAAAAGTGAAGCAAAGAATCATCAAGAAACGGAGAGGAAGCAAGCAAGAAACCACCACTATATGTACTGTGGAAGAAGAAGGTAGAGAACCTGAAACCTCAGTAGTAATAGAGGAAGTAGATGTACCTATCATTGAAAAAATGTCAACAAAAATACCCGAAATAATTGTTGAAGAGCTACCCACCGAAATCCAAGTCTTCGAAGAGCCAGACGAAAACGGCAAACCAACCAAAAAAGTTGTTGAAAAACGAACTATGAAAAAGCGCAAGGACAAAGGTGGAGAAATAATAAAAATCGTCACAGTGGCAGAAGAAAACAAACAACCAGAAAGCTCGGTAACAATAGAAGAAATTGATGATGAAAATTTCATCACAGAAATTCCTTCAACAGAGCCAGTTTACATCGAGGAACTACCTGAAGAGGTGAAGATCATTGAACATGTTCCTAAAGAGGGAAGTCCAACAAAACAGGTGATCAAAAAGAAAGTAATCAAAAAGAGGCAGGGCAAAAAGGAGAAATCAACGGAAATTTTGACAGTTCAGGAAGAAGGAAAACTGCCGAAAACGACAGTTGTTGTAGAGGAGCGAGAAATTCCTACGGATGTACTTGAAGAAATACCATCACACAAGAGTTTCATTCCTGTTTACATAGAAGAGTTACCTGAGGAAATCACAATAACGGAGTCGGATGTTCTAGAAGGACAACCCGAACGTATAATCAGAAAGCGAACTTTCAAGAAACCGAAAGGAAACACTGATGAGATAATACAGATTATTACTGTTGAAGAAGAGGGTAAAAAGCCAGAAACAAGTGTGGTTATTGAAACCGAGTCAATACCCGAGAAACCTAAAATAAAGAAAATGAAGAAGAAAAAGACGAAGGACAAGCCTGAGCTTCCAGATGACGAAACTATTGAATCTGAAAAACCTATAAAGAAAGAAGTGGAGAAGAAAGAAAAACTAAGACGAGAGATATCTGTTTTGATGCCACTTGAGCGAAAAGAAATCAAACCTCAGAAAGTGAAAATTGTAGACAGTAAGTCCGTACCTAATCTAGCTGAAGTCAAACTTCGTAAGCTGAAGATACCTCAGAAGAAAGAGGATCGTGTGAAATTACCCAAATTTTTACTGAAAAGCAGAATAAAATTCATAGATTTTCCCCCTCTGAACGAGAAAGAAAAATTGCCCAGGATTTCGTTCCTCGAACCCGTGTACAGAGATAATGGAGTACTCTCGAGGAATGTACAAGAAGCCCAAAAAGTACCCAAAACCAAGAAACGTCGATTGAAAGACAAAGATCTTAAATTGCCGGATCTGGAAAAATTCGATCTTGAACTAGAAGAACTGAAGAAAAACAGACTGGAAAAAGTTGATTTAGATTTTAAAGTAGAGAAAAAGCCAAAAGAAAAACCAATACCAGAAGAAATACCAAAGAAAATTATTCCGAAAAAAGGAAAAATTCCCGAAGAAAGTAACACTGAAGAGGAAGTAAAGCTGAAATCGGTTCCGCAAAAGCCAGTGGAAGATTTTGAAAAACCCAAAAAGCTGGAGAAAATTGAAATAAAAGTCGACAGCAAAAAGAAACCAGAAAAAGAAGAAGGGCCAACAGATAAAATCGAGTTCAAACCTTACGATATCGATAGAGAGTCTCCTACTAAAGTCAAATACGAACCTAGCATAACTGATGAAGTTGAAGACAAAATTTCAGAGCCTGAGAAGATAAAAGTTTCCAAAAAGAAGAAAGTGAAGCCAATGCTAGAGAAAGATGAAATTACAATCATCAAAGGGAAACCGAGCCCTGATATCGTGGAGGAAGATGAAGATATTAAGCTGAAATACAAGCAGAAACCAAAGGAAGAAGAAACGCCAGAAGGTATCACTTTGAAACCGTTCAAGAAGGATGTTAGTGAAATTCGCTTAGAAACTACCACGGAGGATAAGCTGAAATTAGCTGAAATTCCCACAACGATCGGAGATACCGAAATACCTGAACCAACCGAAGGAAAACCATCGAAAAAGAAAAAGATTGTGAAGAAAATAAAACGCGTAGAAAGTACCCCAGCGGAAATTGCGGAAGATGTAATTCAGGAGCCTATAGAATCACAGGAAAAAATATCGGAAGAAACAATTGCAGAAAAAGATGAAATTCCAGTTATTGAAGAAGCCGTTCCAACCGAGCCAGAGGAGACTGAAGAAATATCAAAGAAACCAGAAGAACCAGATGAGAAACAAGAAGTTTCAGAGTCAATAACAATCGAGAAAAAAATCATAAAAAGAAAAAAGAAAATTCCTAAAGAGGTTACGAAGAAAAAGCCTGAAGAAGAAGTTCTCATAGAAGAAATAGGAAAGTCAGATACTTCTGCAACGGAAAAACCTGAAATAGACGAAAAACCTCAGCTGATGGTGGCGGTGGCTGATGAAAAACCATCGACGGAACAGCATGCGATCATCACACCTCTTGAAAAACCTGTCAAACTGGCAGATATTAAACTGAAGAAGCTAAAAATACCAGAAAGAAAAGACTCAAAGGTCTCCAAGCTACCCAAATTTCTACTCAAGAGCCGAATAGTTCGTCTTCCATTTCCACCTGAGACAGAATCGGAAAAACTTCCGATCATCAAGGAACTCCCTCCAGTTTACAGAGAAAACGGAGTCCTTTCAAGAAACGTTCAAGAAGCTGAAAAAGTTCCCAAGAAAAAGCGTATCCGTGTCAAGCATGTCGACAAAGAACTCAAAGATCTCGAAAAGTTAGATATAGAACTAGAGGAATTGAAGAAACGGGAACTGGAAAAAGTCGACGATGAATATAGATATGCGAAGGCTCCCAAAGAAAAACCAAAAGAAACGGACGAAGTCCAGAAAATAAAAATAGGAAAGGGAAAAGTGCCTGAAGTCAAAGAAGAGGATGAAGTGATCAAACTGAAAAAAGTTCCTGAGAATAAAATTGGCATATCTGAACCTGAAGAATTACAAGCAGAAAAAGCAATTGAGCCTGAGAAAGTCCCATCTGAAACTAAGGAAGACTTTGCGGAGAAATTAGAATCCTTCAAGGAAGATGACTTACAGGACCATGTGCCAGAAAAAGCAATATTTGAACCTTCAGAAATTGTACAAGAAGAAAAGCTCGTTGAGGATGAAAAGAAGCCATCCAAACCCAAAAAACTGAAGAAGAAGCCCGAACCCGAGACAGCTAAAACCACTCTAGAGAAGGGTGTAGGTAAACCGAAAGAAAAAGAAGATGAACCTACAATAACACTGAAATATAAACAGAAAGATAAACCTGAAGATATACCTGACAAAACTGAACTGAAGCCATTCATCAAAAAAGAAGAAATTGATGAACAAGTAACACAAGAGGAAACCACCGAATTCCAAGAAGGCGTCGTTGTAAAAGATTCAGATATAAATATCACTACCAAAGTAAAGAAAATGAAGAAGAAAATCAAGAAACCCAAGCCTGAGGATCTAAAAGAAGTTTCACCTTCTGAAGACATGGTGGTACAGGATATTCCGGATGAAATAAAAGAAGATAAGCCTAAACCAGAAGTCATAGAAGTGAAAAATCTAGAAGTTGCGCCTAAAGATAATCTGAAAGAACCCAATGAAATTCCAAGGCCTGAATCACCAGAAAAACCTCAATTGCCCGTAAGCCAGACGAAAGAAATAATCGAAGATGTGACCAAGACCAAAACAATCAAAAAGAAGAAAGCACCTCAATTCGATGAATCCAAAATCGACGAAACCAAAACAACGCCGAAAGAAAAACCTCTATTATCGCTTATCGAGCATATTCCTGTCAACAAACCGCAGAGACCTATTATCACTGAAAATATTCCTGAATTCGCTGAAGTAAAACTGAAGAAACCCAAAGTGGTCAAAAAGGAAACCATTATCAGTACTAAAGTACCAAAAATAATGCTGAAAAGCCGAATCAAATTTGAAGATTTCCCACCGCTTACAGAAAAAGAGCAACATGCCAAAATCACAGAGTTAGCCCCGTTATATAGAGACAATGGTATACTCTCCCGAAATGTTGAGGAAGCAGAGACAGTGAAACCAAAACGTAAAAAACTTGTTAAGAGAATCAAAGAACTCGAAAAGCTTGACAAGGAATTCGAAGAACTCAAAAAAGCTGAACCCGAAAAGGTAGACAGCGAATACAGAAAAAAACCATTGAAACCTAAAAAAGGAAAACCAGTTCTCATGAAAATAGTGAGAGTAGAAGTAATTGCACAAAAACCAAAAATTGTAGAAATTGTCTCTGAAAAAATCAACCTTGCAGATATTAAACTCAAAACACCAAAGATGAAAGCCAAAAAAGAAGAAGAAACTGTTAAGATTCCGAAACTCAAACTGAAGAGCAGAATCAACTTTATTGATTTTCCACCTTTAACAGAGATTATGCAAAAACCACAAATCACAGAACTGAATACAATCCGAGATAAAGGAGTGCTATCTAGAAATATAGAAGAGGCTGGGAAAATAAAAAAGCCGAAGCGCAGAAAGCTCAAAGATGAAAAGCATGTGACTCCAGAACTCGAAAAAGTTGATTTGGAAATTGAAGATACCGAAAAGCCCAAACCGGAACAAAAGGATGAAGCTCCGAAATTCAAGAGAATGCCTAAAGATGTTACCGAGATTGAAAAGGAAGAAATAAAACCGATCAAAATAGGAAAAGGAAAAATACCAGAGGAAATAGAAAAAGTTGACGAACCAATGAAACTCAAAAAAATTACCCAAAAACCGTTAGAAGAAAAGGAAGAAGAAACTGTTAAATCGAAACCAAAACCAGAAAAAGAAGAAGCTGTACCTTCTGATAAAGTCCCAACTACAGAAGAACACATCAAATTTGAACCTTTTGATCTAGTTCGAGAAGAACCAGAGAAAATCGAATACTCACCTCCTGAAGGTGAGAAAGGTGAAGAAAAGGAAAAACCCGAACCCAAAACAAAGTATGTGAAGAAGAAGAAGATAAAACCTAGTCCTGAAGTGGAAGAGACGGTTTTAGTAAAAGGGGTACCAAAACCACCTAAGGAAGAAGAGGATGTGGATGTAAAATTCAAGATACCTAGAAAAGATAAACCGGAAGGTGAACCAGAAGGTATTAAACTCAAACCATTCAAGAAAATGGAAGAAAGAGAAGAAATGAAGGTTCTAGTTGAAGAAATCGAAAAACCCACCCAAAAGGTAATTTATATTAAACCAGATTCCGAGGAAGAAACTACGGAGGTTCCAGAAGGAGAAACCAAAAAGATTGTGAAGAAGAAAAAGAAAATTATCAAAAAACCGCTCGCTGATGAGAACAAACCGGGAGAAGAAATAAAACCCAAAGAAGAACTTGAAACGAAACCAGTTGAGAAGGAAGAAAAAGTTGTAGTCGAAGTCAGCTCACCAATGAGAACTGAAACAATAGAAGTTGAAATTAAACCATTCGAAAAAATAGAGGATGAAAGCCCTGAAATGAAGGTTCGAATTGAAGAGGTTGAAAAACCTACTCAAACTGTGATTTATATTAAACCAGAGTCTGAAGAAGATGGTATGGAAGAAACAAAAGAAGAGACAACCAGGAAGATTGTAAAGAAGAAGAAAATCATCACTAAACAGAAGACCCCAGAAGAAGAAACAAAAACCAATGAAAGTGGTGAACCAATACAAGTTGAGGAGGAAGAGATAACTGATATCAAGCCCGAAATACCAACCAAAGTTGAACCAAAAGATGAACCTGAAGAACTCAAACTGAAACCGTTTAAGAAAACTGAAGAAAATGGGGAAATAAAGGTTCGAGTTGAAGAAATAGAAAAGCCTGCTCAAACGGTAATGTATATCAAACCAGAGTCAGAAGAAAAGGATGAGGAAGAGATAAAAGAAGAAATAATCAAAAAGAAAGTAAAGACGAAAAAGAAAATCATTGCAAAACCACCCACTGACGAAGAAAATAGGCCTGAAGAAGAAATAACTTCCAAGAAAGAGGATGAAGCCATACTAGTCGAGGAGGAAGAGCAAAGCAAAGATGAACCAACAGGTGAACTTAAAGAAATTAAACGGAAACCTGTCGATAAAGTAGATGATGATAAAAAACCAGAAATGAAGATACGAGTCGAGGAAATAGACAAACCTACTCAAACGGTAATTTATATTAAACCAGAATCTGATAAAGATGAAGAGGAACATGCAGAAGTAACCAAGAAGATTGTGAAAAAAAAGAAAATTATCAAAAAACCTAGAACTGCTGAACAAAAACCAGAAGAGGAAAAACAATCCGAAGAAGAAATTGAAGAGATAAGCGAATTACTCCAGGAAGAAAAGAAACCTGAAAAAGCACCAGAAGATACATCATTAGAAGAAAAGATTTCAGAACTCAAACCATCGATGGATGAAAAAATAATGAACGAAGAACAAATTCCTGATGTCGTTAAGTTAGAAGAAGTACCAGTGAAAAAGCCCAAAAAGCCAGTTAAACCAAAATCTGAGGTGAAAATGCCCAAATTCAAACTGAAGAGTCGAATAAACTACATCGAGTTTCCACCAACTACAGAAATAATGCAGACATCAAAAGTTACACTGTTAGATACAAAACGTGATAATGGAGTTATTTCTAGGAACGTTAAAGAAGCCGAAAAAGTTATAAAAACCAAACGGAGGAAGCTGAAGGATGTGGACAAGGGACTCCAAGATCTAGAAAAATTAGATCAAGAATTCGAAGAACTGAAGAAAACCCAGCCTGAGAAAGTTGACGAAGCTTTCAAGTATGAGAGAAAGCCAAAGCAAAAGCCAGAGGATGTTGAGGAAACCACAGTCCCTCTAAAACGAGGAAAAGGTAAAGCGCCCGATGAAAAAGATGAAGAAGAAGTTGTTAAACTTAAAAAGGCACCAACTAAGGAAACCGACACACTACCAGAGGACGTTGTCAAGGAGAAGTCTGTAAAAGATGACGAAGCTAAAGTAAGAGGGAAAAAACCAACAGAAAAATCCGATGTTCCGCCATTTGATTCTTTCGATCTAGAGAGAGACATTCCTGATAAAACAGAACTAGAGCTGACACAAATAGAAGAGATCGACAAAGATACGCATGAAAAACCCAAGTCCAAGTACAAACCTAAGAAAAAAGAAATAATTCCCCCGGAAACAATTGAAACTACACTCGAGAAAGGTAAACCAAAGGATATGACAGAGAAAGAAACTGATGATATGAAACTACGAATTCCTTCAAAAGACAAGCCCGAAGAGGAGCCTGGAGAAATAACTCTGAAACCATTCAAAAAATCTGAAGATGAAATCGACCAAAAGACTGAAGAAGAACTACCGCAAAAACCTCTCACAGGAAGAGAAACCAGTCCAAAAACAGACGCCTATGTGGAGAAACAGAAGAAAAAATCAACCAAAGTCAAAAAAGAACGAAAACCAAAAGAGGAAACTCCTGAAGAGATATCACAACCTCTGGATATTTCAATGGATACCGTTGTTATGAAACAGAAAAAGTCGGTTGAACCAACAGAAGAAGAACAAGTAACTGTCGTATCATTCAAACCAAAACCAGAAGAAACAGAAACTATTAAAGAAGATATCATTATTGACAAACACGTACCAGCTCCTACAGAAATTTCTGAAATTACTGCTGAAGCTGAAATTGTCTTGGAACCACTTATCGAAAAACCACAAGAAATAGAGGAAGTGGTCAAGAAACAAAAGAAAATAAAGAAAACGAAACCTGAAGCACCAAAATCTCCTAAGGAAGTAACAGAAGTACCCGAGGTTTCCAAAAAGGATTCTGAAGAATTCCCTACTGAAAAATTGACAGAGAACGGGACAGTTGTAGAAGATGCCCATGTTGTAGAAGTTACCGTCAAAGATAAACCAAAGCCCATCGAAGAACTCCAAGATGAAGTTTCTATGAAAGAGGAAAAATTACCCGACCACGAAAAACTTGAACCTGAAGAAGAACACAAAGAGAAAATTGAAAAAGTCAAAAAACTTTCGCCAGAAAAAATTTTCGAAAAAAAACCTGAGAAGACAGAGATTGAAGAGAAGTCCGGAGTTGAAGATGGAAAAAAAATTGTCATAAAACCACCTACTGAAGACAAAGAAGAAGTGACTGTCAAAAAACCTAGAAAGAAACCTCAAGTGGAAGAAGAATGTGAAAGTGAAATCGCAATAAAGAGATTTGTTCCCGATAAGGAAGATGAGGTAGCAGTAACTCTGAAGAAACCTATAGATCAACCACGAATAGAGGATGAAGAAGAGGTCGAAGTAACAGTAAAGAAGGTCATTCCAATAAAAGAGAGCGAAACTGAGAAAGTGGACTTTAAACCTCCCACTGAAGAGAAGGTCGAAGTAACAATCAAAAAGCCCAAAAAGGAACCTCAAGTACAAGATGAAGCCGAGGCTGAAATTACGGTCACAGAAAATAAAGAAGTAATCATTAAACCACCAGTTGAAGATAAGGAGGAAGTTTCCATCAAAAAACCCAAGAATGAACCTCAAAAAGAAGATGAAGGTGAAGCAGAAATAACAATCAGGAAAGTCGTGCCTGTGGAGGATGACAAAGAATTAATTGTAAAACCAGCAGTTGAGGAACAGACAGAAGAACCTATTAAGAAGTCAAAAGAAAAACCACAAGAAGAAGATGAAGGTGAGGATGAAGTCACGGTGAAAAAATTGATTCCTGTTGAAGATGATAAAGAGGAAGAAGTTACCATTAGACCTCCCGTCGAAGAAGAATCGAAGGTAACTATCAAAAAACCTAAAAAGAAACCACAAGTAGAAGACGAGGGTAGAGCTGAAGTTACAGTGAAGAAAATAATTCCTGGAGATGATGATGAGAAAGAACTTACCATTAAACCTCCCGCTGAAGAAGAAGCTAAGGTCACTATCAAGAAGCCTAAGAAGAAACCCCAAACAGAAGACGAGGATGGAGCGGAAGTTACTGTGAAGAAATTGATTTCTGTTGAAGAAATTTCAAAACCTTTCGTTGAAGAAGAAGCAGAAGTTACTATCAAGAAACCTAAGAAGAAACCTGAAATAGAAGATGAAGGTGAAGCTGAAGTCACAATAAAGAAGTTTACTCCTATTGAAGATGATAAAGAAACTGTAGAAGAAGCAGAGGTTACCGTTAAAAAACCTAGAGAAAAACCTCAAGTAGAAGATGAAGGTGAAGCTGAAGTTACAGTAATAAAATTAATTCCTGTTAAAGATGACGAAGAGGAAGTTACCATAAAACCCCCTGTTGAAGAAGAAGAAGTAACTATCAAGAAACCTAAGAAGAAACCTGAAATAGAAGATGAAGGTGAAGCTGAAGTCACAATAAAGAAGTTTACTCCTATTAAAGATGATAAAGAAGTTGAAGAAGAAGCAGAGGTTACCATTAAAAAACCTAGAGAGAAACCTCAACTAGAAGATGAAGGTGAAGCTGAAGTTATAGTGAAGAAATTTATTCCTATTAAAGATGATAAAGAAGAAGCTGCAGAAGAAGCAGATATTACAATTAAAAAACATAGGGAGAAACCTCAAGTAGAAGATGAAGGCCAAGCTGAAGTTACAGTAACAAAATTAATTCCTGTTAAAGATGACAAAGAAGAGGAAGACACCATAAAACTCCCTAATGAAGAAGAAACCAAAGTATCTATTACGAAGCCCAAAAAGAAACCTCGAATAGAAGACCAAAATGATGCTGAAGTAACAATTAATAAATTCGTCCCAGTGGAAGAGGATGAAGAAATTGTCGTTAAAGAAATGACTATCAAGAAACCGAAGAAGAAACCTGAAACGAAAGATGATAGTGTGGCTGAGTTTACAGTAAAAAAATTTACTCCATCTGAAGACGATACAGAAGAGATGATAACTAAACCTCCTATGGAGGATGAAACAAGACTGACAGTGAAAAAGCCAAAAGAAAAAACAAAATCCGAAGATGGAGATGAAGCTGAAGTGACAGTTAGAAAGTTTGTTCCGATAGAAGATGAAGAGGAAGTGATCGTACCAAAGCCTGAAGAACCAGAGGTAACAGAAGAAACACAAATAACAGTGAAAAAACCGAAATCGAAAAAGAAACCAAAAGCCAGTACAGAAGATAGTGTCAAAGTAACTATCAAGAAAACAGAACCGACACCGGAGACCAAGGAAGATACAGAAATCCAGCTTAAAATCAAGTCCGAAAAACCTGCGGAAGAAGAAGTTGATGAAATCACAGTCAAAAAACTTGATATAAAAGTGCCATCTGACGATGAGGAAGCAGAATTTGAATTGAAGAAGCCTCAAAAGGCTTCCGAAGAAGACGAAGAAGTTATTTTTAGAAAAGACAAGAAGCCAGATCAAGAAACGGTTCAATTCACCGCGAAGAAACCTCTTACCAGGAAACCTTCTATCGAGGAACATTCTGAAGAGATTACAATTAAAAAATTGAAACCAGTGAGAAAACCGTCTAAGCCCGATATTCCTGAATTTACCGAAGTAGAAACGGTCACTTTCAGACCGAGGACGACCAAAACAAAAGAAGATGTCGAACAGGAATTCAAGATATCGCTGGATTCATACGCTGAAGAAGAGATATCTCTCTCAACTAGGGTAAAATTGAAGAAACAAAAGCCCCTTACTTATTCCGAAGAAGCGGCAGAGGATACTGTTAAAATAACTCAAGAAGTTGAAGAAGAAGGTCCTACTATAGAGGAAATAATAGACGAAGGAAGTGATGCTGAAGAGCTTCCCCTTGACGAAGATGAAGTTTCGGAAAGCTTCCACGTAGCATTCAAACGAAGACCGTCCAGGAAGTACTCAGTAGTCGAAGAAAATGAGGAAGAAGTTAGTCTGAAAACTCCAGTTAAACAAGTCGAGTACGGAGAAGAATATGTTACAGTGAAACCAAAAAGGAAGGAATCCGTCACTTTTGAACAAGGTGAGTTGAGAAAAATAAGTCTAAATTTATCGTTACGGAAAATATCATTTTTAGAAGCCGTCACACTGAGCATCACGAAAGAAAAAGAGATTTTCGAAGAAGTCGTTCACGAGGAGGAAGTTGAGACCGGAGATCTGTTTTATTCAATCACCTTTTACGAGGCGGAAGCAGATCAAGCAATCGATATGGTTGAAGGCGAGAAGGTATATGTGATCGAAACGCCAGACGCAGACTGGTGGCTAGTGAAGAAGCATCTAACCGAAGAAACTGGCTGGGTGCCTGCCAAAATTCTCATGAGTGAACCAGCATATACCAAATACGTTCAAAGAAAACTCAACGAGAAAATTGATAAGCTACCAGTTTTTGAAAGTGAGTTGAATTCATATAAACGAAAAACAGGTTGTGTTAAGTCGCAAAAATTGAGTTTTCAATTAGGGAAATTTAATTAGATTCATAGCAAAAAATAATTCACTGTGATACGGCATGGTCGCATGTGCCGACGTAGTAAAGGACGTCTCTGTAGTCATTGTTTGCTACGATACAATTCAGCAAACAGGCATTCAAAGAACTTCAATTGATTAGGAGTGTTATAATTGTCTATCAACATTTTGAGTGTGATTGGCAAATGATCAGTAGACTGAAAGGAGAGTGTTTGGCAATGTTTGGAATTATATTTGATCCATTTTTAGGGCTTGATAAGAACATATTTCAAAATGATTGTCCAAAGTTTATCACTTTTTCGGGATTCCAATATTTTCAATAATTGAACATGAATTCCAAACTATTATTATTGTTATAGTTATCTTTGTGATTATTATGATCATTATTATTTCTACTGCAGATTCAATGCCTCATTATCAGAAAGTGAAAATGTATTGTGACAATCATGCAATTTAATAACAGAGATTAAAAAGGATATTTTCTCACAAAGGCCTGAATGAATCAAGTGATGCTCGTAGTCGACACTACACGAAATAATAGTGTTTCTCCGAGCCTAACAATAGGATTCGTCACTTAAAATATACACCTGAAAATATATTTTGATGAAACCAAATTCAATCTATAACCTGATCCCGTCTAAACAGGGTGCAATGAATGCAACTGAAAGTAAATGGATATTTTGAACCGGCCTATACCCACTATTGTAATGCGCCTACATAAGCACCTGTAGCATTCTCACGAAACGAACAAAAATTCGGGTGAATAAGTCAATAGTTCTGATCATCAAAGTAAGATAAAATCATCCAAGTAAGATGAAGAGTTTTCGGTGGTAGTTGATTTTCTCTGCGCTACGGGGTACCTTAGAACATACATCTTACCTATACAAACGCCAAAGGCTGTCATTCTTGGTTCGCTACTCTACTTGTGCTGCTCTGCTTATGACACATAATTTTCGGACCCAATGATCATTATACCCTCGGTGTGAGGCGAGTTTATCGGTTAAAATTCTTTGCATTCCCACCGAATAAGTTCGGAGATTCGATTACAGGACCTTACCGGCAATTTCTCTATTCATTTTTCTTTATGAGAATATACTGTTTTGGCTGAAAACGGCAAAACTATTGGTCAGTAAATGCAGAAGCCACTGTGGAACGCAATGATTACTTACTCCGAGGTTGTGGCGAATAATCTTCGAGATGGTATTAGCATGATCTCCGTGATAATCTAAGCAATTGGAAGAATGACCTGAATAAAAAATGTTATTACAATAACTGTTCGTGAATAGCTGTTGGTTCATGCCATTCAACCTCTTCATCTCAGCTAGAGCAATATATCATACTAATTGATTTCATAGGTTGATATGAGAAACGAAAGACTGCCCAAAATTCAGAAACAATTAAAATGTAACCTGAAGCCTAACTCAATTTACCAGTGTTATATTCTACTGCTTGTGGTTCTTTTTGTAATCAAATCTTTTTTTTTTTTCAGAATCAAAGTCGCCTGAGAAAGCCGCAGCTCCCAAATTCGTCAAGAAGCTACAACCCGTAATCACACCCGATGGATACACCGTTCACTTTGAGTGCAAAGTCGAAGGTTTCCCTAGACCTCAAATCACTTGGTTCAGGCAAACCCACATCATCAAAACATCCACGGACTTCCAAATGTACTACGACGAAGACAACGTAGCTACACTCATAATAAAGGAAGTTTTTCCGGAAGACGCTGGTACCTTCACTTGCGTCGCCAAAAATTCAGCTGGGTTCGCTTCTAGCACTACAGAGCTCATAGTAGAGTATCCCTTGTCGTCGCACGGTTCTGATTTGACGACAATTTCAAGGAAAAGTTTATCCCGAACCTCATCCCTCGCGGACATACTCGAAGGCATTCCACCTACCTTCGCTACCAAGCCAGAACCCCAATGTGTTCCAGAAGGAACAGACGTCGTGGTTGACAGCACTCTAGTCGGGGTACCTGAACCAGAAATCAAATGGTACAGAAACGGTAAACGAGTCAGCGCAAAGGGTAACGTCACGATAGTGTCCACTTCAGAAACGCACACTTATAAGACAATACTGAAAATTAAGAAGGTCCTCAAGAAACAAGAAGGTCACTATAAGATCGTTGCTAAGAACAGAGAAGGAGAAGCTTCTGTTGAGTTCACTCTGAAGGTATTCACAGACGAGAAAGAAGGGCCGGAAGTCATAGAACCACTCACATCTCTCACAGTGAGGAAGAGTGAGACAATAACTCTCAAAACTGTCATTGTGGGTAACCCGGAACCAAACGTGGAATGGTTCAAAAACGATCAACCTATAACAAGGCCAAAACCAAAGAAGGAAGGACACACCTACAAGTTAACCATTATAAAAACTTCCGAAAACGATACGGCTAAGTACACTGTCAAAGCCAAGAATCCAGTAGGTATTGCTGAAACATCCGCACACTTGACAGTTGAAGGTAAGTTGGGTTTTTTCTGTTGTATTCGGCAGTACCGAAACCATTCGGTAGCTCTCGGATCCAGCTTGCTGTCGCATTTTGTTCTGGCGCTTATTTTTTAATTTTTTTCAGTTCTACTATGTTATAATGCTTCGAGTAATTACGGTTCAGCTCCAAAATATTAAATGATTCTAGTACATCACGACTGAATCGGGGCCAATTGATGTTCGGTGCACTCACCAGCTTTGCTCTCGTTATTCGCAAATGTGTATCCTGCCTAGTTCGTTATTAACAGTCGCTCATTTCATCTTTGGCCACCAAGCATACATTTTGCCCGATTATTGCATCGTTTGAATTGGTTGAAGTTGCGAGATATATATAATATATCATTTGTACACTGAAGCATGTCAAATCTATTTCAACTTCTCCATGTATTCAGCAAAATATTTTCGAAATGCTATTCATTCATGGAAACTCAATGACTATGTTCGATAATCTCATTCACCTAAAGAGACTGGAAGAGTTTATAATTGTAAATAATAAAGTATATTATCAATAAACCAATTTGATTTAACCTTCTTTCATTTCTCCCCGCTGTCGCTTGTCGCTCCACTTCTGTGTTTTCGCAAATTCCACCCCAAAACAGAGATACTCATAATTCAATTATCCTTTCAGAATTCCCAGAAAACGAAGAACCTCCACTCTTTATTAAACGATTCGAGGAGCAAAACGTACCGGAGAAGAGCCCCTTGGTCCTGAGAGCGAAGGTTACAGGCAACCCCACCCCAGAAGTCTATTGGTTACGTAACAACGAGCCTCTGGAGTCTTCAGAAAGAATAAGAATTATTTACGATGGCGAAAACGTAGAGCTGTCGATAAAAGAAACCAACTCCGAACTAGACACCGGTGATTACAAGTGCGTTGCCATCAACCGTCTTGGTAAAGCTTCGCACGGTGCTAAAGTTTCAATCGAGGTCGACACCGTCAAGTTTACGAAAACCCTTAAGGAGGTCTACGAAACTTCAGAACGTGAAACCATCGAGCTTGAGTGCGAGACATCGCACTCTGTTAGGACAAAATGGTGGTACAACAACACCGAGATCAGCGGAATGGATCACAGAGTTGTGGTTCAAGATGGTCGCACTCACAAACTGCTCATTAAAAATATCAGCCAGAACGACGAAGGTCGGTACAAATGTACTGTGAAAAACCAGAAGACCGAAACTACCGTCAACGTCAAGCAGAGAAAGCTGGAATTCGTCAGGAGGTTGCAGGACCTAGAGATAACAGAGAAAGACACCGCCATTTTAGAGGTTGAGATCACATCAGATACGGCTGAAGTCAAATGGTGCAAAGACGGAGCAGTTCTGGAAGATACTGATAAGTTTGAAGTGGAGAGCAGAGGAGGTGTGAGAAAACTTCTTATACGCAGTACCTCTATCCACGATGAGGGTGAATATACTTGCATACTAGCTGACGATGAGTGTAAAGCAGAGGTTGTGGTCATTGAACTTCCACCAGAGATCATCACACCACTCCAGGATAAGACTGTCAATAAAGGTGATAAGACTGTTTTCGAAATCGAGCTATCCAAGGGTGATGCTCTTGCAAGGTGGTACAAGGATGGCAAAGAAATACAGTTCTCTGAGCACATGCAACTGTCCATCGATGGTAAGAGGCAGAAATTGAAAATCTACAACACCGAACCGGAAGATGAAGGCGTATACTCTTGCGAGGTGAGTTCGATTGAAACTTTAACCTAATTCATATTTTTAACTTTGTTTTCAACTTCTAGGTCGGTACCCAATCGTCAAAAGCAAGACTCACGGTACAAGTTCCATCGTGTACTTTCATCAGACCTCTACCAGAATTTATCATCGTTCCAATTAACACGGATGCCGTATTCGAAGTAGAACTGTCGAAAGATGACGTAGAGGTGACCTGGTTCAAAAACAACAAACGTATCGTGAAATCGTCAAGATACTCCATACACGAAGAACAAAGAGTGAGGAAATTGATAGTTCACAACACCACCTTTGAGGATGAGTTAGAGTATAGCTGTACAGTTGAGAAGTATCAACTCAAGACGTCATCTAAGTTGAAGATTGGCGGTGAGTACAGTAAAAAGTATCTAATTGTACAATTATAATCATCGGATACTATTTTTTATTGAAAGGAGGGTTTAAAAACAACTACCGAATAACTTATTGAGACAACACAGTAAATGAAGTTGTACTGCATTCAGCTACAACAAACTAATGAGGCAAATGAACCAAAATACATAAAATGACTAATATTTCGGAGAGGTGCATTATGACTTGCTCAAGGTTGCCCCTTTCCATCATGCAGACCTACGACTTTGTAGGTACGTGTGGCAGATACCCAACGGAATAACAACAACTAACCCAGCTAATGCCGCGCAGAAAGTTTTAGTAATACCATCAGAGACATGTGCAACGTCTACGATTTGGAAGATTCGTCGCAGGTTATTTCCCACTTTGAAAAGCAGAAAGTAATTTCGTTTGGTCGATACGACCAACCGATAGACCGGTTTCGGGGTGATGCCCCATCATCGGTACCATGCACGGTCTCTTCAGAACGGTGTGGTACGTCTGAGTATCACGACCAAACAAATACAATTCCAGCTAGTCATGAAATCTTTCTGCAGTTGATTCAGTGGGATGTCCGCTGCGCCACCTGCAGACAGAGCCAGGAAACAATTCCCCAAACATACGCCGGAGTGGGAGTCGGAATAATGACTAATATTCCGGAGAGGTGCATTATGACATGCACTTCTCCGAAATATTAGTCATTATTACGACTCCCACCCCAGAGTATGTTTGTGGAGTTGTTTCTTGGCTCTGTCTGCAGATATATATACAGTGTGACCCACTTGAAAGCGGGACACATCCCTAAATTTCCATCTGTTTTTAACGAAACAGGTTGTGTATCGAGTTCTTCATATGTATATGTATAGCCTACCTTGGCATATGTATCGTATAAAACGAGTATTATATAATTGCAGACAAACCATCTCCTCCACGAGGTCCACTGGAGGTATCCGGAATGTCAGACACTTCATTCACCATTGAATGGCAACCTTCAGAAAGCGACGGTGGTTCTCCCATCATTGAGTACATCGTCGAAATGAAAGAAACAAAATCCAAGAAATCGTTCAAGAAACTCGGATCCACAAAGGCAGACGACACGAATATTCCTGTCAACTATTTGGAAAAGGGCCACGAATACAGTTTCAGAATCACTTCTAGGAATGCCATAGGCATTAGCGAGCCATTCTTACCAGAGGAAAGCATCATAGCAGGCTCAAGGCTAAGTAAGACTCCACTTGAATTTTTGTGTGTATTAATGCTAACAATAACACCAAAAATGCTAATTACACATATATTGCTTCTGCTTTTGCTTTAGGAATTCATTATCAGTTTGAAAAGACCGATGAAACGCTGTACTGTCTACTAGGAATATTCCCCCCAGCAAAATTGGGAATAAATAGTGAGTAACACAGTAGCTATTGAGCTCCGCTAGCATATTTCCTGTAGTGTATCTGAAATATCAAATTTTCATCTGATGAACGTTATATCCGGACCAAAAATACGGATAGCACTGTTTTATAACTGATAAGTATTTCACGTAAGTCTAACATACTCCATATTTTCAAACAGCTCCACCTTCACCACCAATCAATTTGAAAATAAAGGACCTAACCAGTCGAAGTGCCACCCTTACATGGGAACCACCGCTAAACAATGGCGGTACAGAAATAACAGGATACATAATTGAAAAGAAATTGGAATACATGCCGAAATGGGAGAAAGTGTACACACTGGAGGCTTTCTCTTTAGAATATACATTCGAAAACCTCAAAGAAAAAAGTGACTACATCTTCAGGGTCTACGCTGAAAATTCGGTAGGATTAAGTCCGCCCGCTACTTCTGAAGTCGTGCACATGAGAACCCTAGCCAGTAAGTTTGAAACATCCATTGAAAGTTAAATTAGTGTCAGAGAAAAACTTGTTATGATTCAATGATCCGTTTTAGGCCCATATTACTCTCTTTCTACACAACAAGCAACAAAGACGATAAATAATTAATATAAGAATAATAAGGGTTCACTAACAGTAAATTTATTTCAGCTGTCCCGTCCCCTCCAACTCCTCCCCTAGAGATAAGGACAATAGGGCCGAACGCCATTGTCATCGAATGGGGAATCCCAGAATCAGATGGCGGTGCTCCGCTTCTTGGCTATAATATAGCCATCAGAGATACCAAGAAAACCATGTGGATGGAGATCGGCAGAGTACAAAAAGGGGTTCAGAAATTCACCATCAGAGATCTTCAAGAAGACCACGAATACATGATTAGGATATTCGCAAAGAATGAAATCGGTTTGAGCGAACCATTAGAGTCGGATGAACCATTCAAAGTTCTTCCTTCAGGAGGTAAGGTCCTCATGAAATTTTTATTTACCTTAAAAGGTGCTTACAGTAATGATCCGGTTGAAGTGGTTGTTCTGGGTTTGTTTTCGTAGGTAACAGAATGTTTGGACAAATGTCCAAATGGTTTATTTTTTGCCCATGTGTTTTCAATTGTTTATAAACCTCTTAGGTTTTCCCTTTATCGTCATTATATCGTGTTGTCTAACTATAAAATTGGTATCATCTGCATAAGCTACTGTATGCAATGGTGGACAATTCTGCATCAGCTGCAGAGTAACTTCTCTCACAACTCATCTTCCAATTTCCATAACAGCAACTCATGATTTTCACAATCGAAGGCTCTGGAGAAGTCTATGAACAATTCGCAAATATGGAATTCACCGTCGAGTGCATTGAACACATACTCATTTAATTCATAAAGTGCTGTTTCTTTCTTTTCTAATGAAACCGTGATGGTTTTCTGTGAAAAGTTCTCGTTAGTTGCGAAAAAAAGATATTTGATTATCACAAAAGGCTTGGAAATACTTGCAAGCATGCTGATTCCTCTGTAGTTTTCATAGAGGTTACTGTCGGTTTTTTCATAAATTGGTGTTACCTTTGCTAGTTTTAGGATATCTGGAAAAATTCCTTATTCAAAAACGAATTTTATAATGTACGTTGTAAGACTGTCTGCTGCATTCATTCATTTTCTCCATGAATTGTTTGATATAGCATAATGGTCTCATGCATTTGGGTATTGTAAGCTCAATATGATTTTCTTATAGTTGATTGATATTGTTACGGTTTTCCCCGTAGGTTGACCAATAATTGACTACACTGAAAATTCAAACTTAACTTTGTTTCACTTTAAATACAATAAACACTTCAGCTTCACTTCAACTATTATTCGAATGTCTATCGCCTTACTAGATCACTTCGCGTATCGCACTGTAACTTCCACTTGACTGTGTCGATATGCTCGTGGTTAGCGTTTATAAATCGTAATCGAATGCGCCAGAAAATTTCGCCGAAATTCCTTCGAAGTCGGTAGCATTATTCTCGCCGCATGTAGAGCGGCAGCGAACATCGTACATTTACGCGCTTTTAGCTACGTCACAATTGGTTTATGGCTACCAGTCGCCGCCGGTGTTAATTTCTTTGGGGCATGATTTACAACAATATCAGCATTTTCGGTCTGTATGAATTTGAAAAACTCAAAATTGAAATTAATAATCATGTCTTTATCTAATACTTCGGTAACATCTTGCAGAATTTTTCATTATTTGACACACATTCTTGTGTGATAGTATTTATCCTATGCTATATAGACACCCAAATATTTTATATTTGGGTGTTTCGTGAAATAATTATGTTCACTTCACACTATCAAATCTGAGAATAATCTTCAGAAATTGATCTGATAAAATGTCAAAGGCAGTTTTCGACTCGGGAATAAAATTGTCTTTCTTCAAAACTATGTATTGTACAATAACTGTTATACGTATGCATCCTATGAACAGACACGGTAAAATTCAATCCGTTCCGTTACAGAAAATACAACCCCTAGAATCTTCATATATTATGTTATGAAAATAAATTTAGGTTATGTGCATACTCACACGTTTTAATTTCTGCAACCGCGTCTTGTGAGAAGGTTAGCAAAAATAGTCTGTGAATAACGTATTTTAAAATGTTTGACAACTCTGAAGCCATTGACAGTACCTTCACACGGAATTCTTTTTCAGAAACGGATCAAGATGACTTTAGAGAAGCTACCGACAGAGAACCAACTTCATACAGCACAGAAACGTCAACATCTTGGTTGAGAGATAACAGTATGGATGCGGACATCCATTCATACTCTAAGGGAACTCTCCTGAAGAAAGACGAGTACTTCTTCCGAATATGGTGCTACGCTACTAAGCTGTTCAAGTAAATATTTTTTCCAAAGTTGTACATATTCCCTAATTAGGACGTTTACTTTTAGAGTTTTAATACTGATTATGACTTTTTCACGTGTTTATATTTGCAAGAGGCTGAAGCTAGATTTGCGTTGGAGCAAGTTTGCGAATTGCGAGACGAGTGAAGAATTATCAAAATGAAAACGGTTGCTCTGATGCAACTCTAGTTTGAGCTGTATTTGATAAGGATACTGTGATACTGGATGATTTTAAACGAGCAGGTGTGCTCACTTACGACAATGAAATTAATTTTTTTTTTGTTATTAAGTTGTGCATAAATACTCAATGAAAACGACCTCCAATGAATTCAATTTGGATATTGATAAAAATAAAAGTTACATATATTTACTTCATTTGTTTTACTACATTACCAAGTACCCCAAATAAAGATCAATTTCCCATTTTTCTTTCATTTTCATTTGTTCGTACCTGCGAATTGTCCAGTCAATGATCTCTCCGTCGGTATAATTTTGCCAAACACCATGGATTCCATGCCATGTAGTTGGATTTAGGTTTCAGTCACTCTCTACTTTAAAGTTGACCGTGTTTCTTTAGAAATTCAACCGGTTTAAAGTGCTCATTTTTCAAAAGTACATTTTTGTAATTTTGGGTTTAAAGGCCGTCGTGGTTTGGAACCGTATCCTAACTTTTCGCCAGCACGAGTGGCTGGCTTCGTCAGAAGTCTATTTATCCTTATGGTTCATCGATGACACCAGATCTGTTTGTTTGTTCCTGTCTTCTTGGCTTGAACAGGTTGGAGCCTGGCTCCCTTACCCTTTTGACTGGTGTTCGTCAGAGAGACAAACGGGTCAAGACTGATTTATCGGATGGCGTCATGAACGTCCTCAGACATCAGTACCTCCTTTCACGTAGACCCCTACCTTGCTGGGGTATTTGGATGAAGTCATTGTTCATCTTTTATCGGGGGACATGAGGGCCTCACTCGACAGAGTGTCTGGGCATTCTACATCGGGAGGGGTCTTCTACAGCATAATCCATAGCTTCCTTAACTAACGGATTATCGTGGGTTTCTGCGCAATTAAGGATTTGCCGATTCCTCGACTGAATAGACTGCTTAATGGAAGACACCTGCAAATATCTGCGGATGGCTTAGTTCTGTACGAACCGCTTGTCCCCAGACTCCTGAAGCATACATGATGACAGGTTTGAACATCGTTTTATAGATCGTAATCTTGTTCTTTAGGCTTAATTTAGAACGTCTGTTGATCGGAGTGTACAGACTTTTGATCCGACCCTCAATCTTTGCCTTCACGGTTGTGATGTGCGGGTTCCAGGTGAGCCTACGATCTATTAGAAGTCCGAGGTACTTTACCCGCGCTTGCCAGTCGATCTCCTTTCCAGAGATTCTCACTTTTTCGGACGGAGATTTCAATCTTCACATGGTTATCGCCTGACTCGTGATTTCTAGTTCGTAAGCTGTATTTATGTTGATACAGGTAGCCCGCCTTCCTAGTTGGTGTGTTGTTATTGGCCGAAGTGTTATTACCTGATACATTGCGTTGCACTGCTACCACCTTAGCATCTTTTGGTATGGAATTCCAAATTCAGTTACGCGTTATCGCCTCCTCTTTTCTGTTGTAGTTTTCTGTATGTTTATGGATTTCTATGGCTTCCCGAACAAGCCCACTGTGGTATCCATGATCGGGTGCAAGTAGTTTCACATCTTCAAACAGTATCGTATGATCTCACTCATTAAACGAGTGTACCGGTACTGCCGATTTTTCTATTTGACCTAATCTACAGTTTCTCCGATATTTATTCAGCCTTGTTCACATGGATCTTTTTGGTGGTTCCGATATAAACTTTTCTGCAGGTGTATGGTATACGGTATACCCCCGCAGCTGATAGTGAAACTCTATTGTCTTTCGCAGATCTCAGGCTTTGCTGTATTGTCCTGGTAGGCTTGAACACTGTTTTTATGCTATGCTTCCTTAGGATTTTTACGATTCTTTCATGGGTCTCTTCAATCTTGGTAACAGAAAAAAGTTGCAGGAGGTCAAATCTGGTGAATGCGGTGGCTGAAGCATGATTACGGTGTTGTTTTTTTTTTAATGGAAACAAACAATGACGGGTGAGCACATACATTATCGTGATGTAAAATCATAAATTGTTTTTCCAAAATACCGGGCGTTTCCTTCGTATTGCTTCTCACAAGCAGCGCAATTGAAGAAAGCAGTGAGCAAAACCTTTACATTTCATCGATCTTGGCTTTTTTTGCTCTTGACTCTTCTGTGCTCGTCCATTGGGACAATTGGACTTTGGACCATCTACCCATGATCCGTCACCAGTTATGACCCTTTTGAGCAAATCTGGTTCGCCGTTGTCATCACTCAACAATTACTGAGCGATGTTCATGCAACGATTCTCCATAAAAGTTTTCTTTATTAACAACACTTTCATCGGTTGTTGATGTGTTACATTTGGTAAAATTTTCTATAAAAATTTTGTTAAAATTACGTCGGTAGAAGAAGACAAGATATTTTTTCACGAGAAAGGATTTTTGTTACATCAGAGATGCAATACTTTAACCAGCAGTCAAGGAATCACATATATTTTTGAGATTGTTGGAACATATGAATATTTTTCATGATATCCAGGAAAAGGTTGTTTATAACTTGCCACAGAAAACGATACAGCAATTCAAATTGAAAAAAAATATATCCTGCAGATTTTTTGAAGAGGTGAAGATTTATGCAAGATATCTCACATAGATTAGTCTCGCAGATGTTTCTTGTTTTTGTAGTAATAATAATACATGATGATTACAAAGCGTACCGATAATACGGTTTGCCGCGCTTGGCAGTCGATCTCCCTTCCAGAGATTCTCACTTTCTTGGCCGGAGATTTCAATCTTCACATGGTTATCGACACAGGTAGCCCTCCTTCCTAGTTGGTGCGTTGTTATTGGCCGAAGTGTTATTACCTGATACATTGCGTTGTACTGCTGCCACCTTAGCATCTTTTGGTATCGAATTCCAAATTCAGTTACGCGTTATCGCCTCCTCTTTTCTGTTGTAGTTTTCTGTATGTTTATGGATTTCTATGGCTTCCCGAACAAGCTGACTGTGGTATCCATGATCGGGTGCAAGTATATTCACATCTTCGAACAGTATCGTATGATCTCCTTCACTAAACGAGTGTACCGGTACTGCCGATTTTTTTATTTGACCTAATCTACAGTTTATCCGATATTTATTCAGCCTTGTACACATGGATCTTTTTGGTGGTACCGATATAAACTTTTCCGCAGGTGTATGGTATACGGTATACCCCCGCAGCTGATAGTGAAACTCTATTGTCTTTCGCAGATCTCAGGCTTTGCTGTATTATCCTGGTGTACTTGAACACTGGTTTTATGCTATGCTTCCTTAGGATTTTTCCGATTCTATCTGTTTTTTCCGATTCTATCTGTAAACGCACGTGCAACCGTTTGAGTTTTCTCTCTATTTTGACTTGTAGAAGAAGTCTTCTGTTTCATGGCCTTGTTGATCTCGGTTACACTGATTTTTTTCAAAATTACTCAAAAACTATTATTGATTGCCTTCGATAATGATTGTCATCAAATTAAGGAAAGCAGATGAGGGTCATTAATGAATTCTTAGTTGTGTTGTATTGTTATTGTATTTTACTCCCTAATTAAGATATATTAATGCATCATGCTACCCAATATATCTACTTTTAGGGTAAACAACGCAATGTTTGGCATGAGACCTTCTCGCTATTCACAGATATCATTCCAGATGTTTCGATTTATAAATTTTTGAAGGCATCTAAAAACCTGTTAACATGTAGGGTCTCAGCGATTTGGTTTTTATCTCCTCAATCTTCGCAAAACGCCGCCCTTTCATGGGTCTCTTCAATCTTGGTAACAGAAAAAAGTTGCAGGAGGCCAAATCTGGTGAATGCGGTGTTGTTTTTTTTTTAATTGGAAACAAACAATGACGGGTGAACACGTGATGTAAAATCACGATAATGCACGATAATGGTAGGTAATTAATGAAGAGAACGAACAGAAGGGACCCCAAATTAGGACCCTGGGGAACTCCGGAGTTGGCCTCAAATTTACCCGATGTATTGCCATTATATTTATACTTAAATCTATGAAGATGCATCTGAAGGTTATGTGAAAGATGTCATTATGTTGAAACATTTGCGGTGTTTAGTCTAATTATTTTTTTGAGATGCTTTTGATGAAAAATTTAAAACGAAAGCTTCAATGACGTATTGATCTGCCTTATGCGATTGAAAAAATAATATCTGTTAGACAAATTCCTGAAATTTTTGTAAAACTTGGTTGAATATAAGCTATGAATAGCTGAAATTGGAACTACTGACGTAAAATGAACTTATCGAAAACACCTTTCCCACACCAAAACAAAAATACCGTCTCTGAACACTAAGATATCTTAACTAAGTTATCATCATCAAGGAGTGATTGAAACTGAATTTCAAAACTAACTTGCGAGTTTTTATATACATCTAGGCGAACTATTACCTACGATGATGATTGTCATCACATAAAGGTAATCAGATAAGGGGTTATTAGTAAATTCTCAGTATTGTTTAGTGATTTTACTATATTGTTATTATATTATGAACTCTCAAAGGATGGTTTCACTATCACAACTAATTTATATTCAACACTTAGCAACTAACGCTTAATTTATCTTCACTGTTCGAATTCTTTATTTAAACGCACGATTCGCTTCCTGAATACAGACTGCCATCTCGGGACGGGAAGCCGGCTTTTATATCGGCAACGATCACTCCAGATCTCTCTAGTCGTTTCGGCACTCATCTATACTTTTGGCGGTGGTTCGCAGTGAGTCATGTGTTTGCTGGCTGAGATATCGGTCAAGGCCGGCTTCATATTCGTTACAATATTATATCAGACAATGGAAGTCAGAACTAATGAAATGCACCACGAAACATTGTCAATCACCTTCAAACAAACATGAAGGGCCAGCGTTTGTACTTGCTGTATTTTGATGGCTTGGAAAATGTTGCAAACGATAGTTCGTTTGCAATCTTTGCATATGACACTAAAACTTTGGACATGATGTTTACATTGAGAGTTTACACCCAAAAATAATCAGAAGTTTAGTCAAAATCAAAGAGTGATGTCATGCTAATTTACTGTCTTTTAATACTATGTCATTTCAGGACTATAACAAAGTTTTTGGGCCCCTATGATGAATGGGCCTCTGATTCAATGAATTTGAGCAGTTTTTTTCTTAATGCCAAATATGAGAAATCGTTCTTGTTTCATTTTCATTGGCCTACACTGTGTGTACAAATGTGATATAGGCAAATTGGGTAAATGAAAAGAGTAACCAAAAAATGTTTAAATTTGTATATGAATAATATATACGATAACATTACGTGAATAAAAATAGTTTCTGAACTTAAAATATATTACACTTTGAGTAAATCAGCAGAAGGTATAATTACGAAAGTCTCTATTTTGAAAAAACTACTTTTTCTTAGATCGACAAGCCAGCTTTCTGGCGACACTTCTGCATCAAAGCTCGTAGCATAAACTGCTTCCTCGAGAGGCTTCTCACTTGTCGCAGAAAAACGTCCAAATCGATCACTCCACATCTGAGGGCTTCTCCCATGTAGTAAATGGCATCTTCTAGGGCAGCTTCCTCAGCAAAGGCATTCAAAAGTCTGTGAATTAACAATTCAATCCGATTAGTTTTATTGTCCTTCAAAACATCAAATGCTTTTAATTAGGAACTTTAACTAAACAACAAGTATGATTATGCAATAACAGTTAACAGGAGAATAGAGAAACAATTCATCATATAGACAATTATCCGAAAAACCAAAGAACAGTCAAAACTGAAATTCTGCTAAATAAAAATTTTTATGATCCACATCTTGATATTTCGTCAAAATTTGTTTCAATTTTAATTTTTGAAGGTGTAGAACTTTTCCTATGAGTACAATTCACTAAATTTTTAATTTGAATTCGGAATTTAATACAATTTTGAGTTTAAAGATGAAATTTAACAAAATTTCTAGTCTAAAGTCTGAGTTTAACTAAATTTTCAGTTCAAAGTCAAAATTGAACAAAATTCCAAATTTGGTAAATTCTGACTTCAAAACTCAGAATTTCATTAAATTCCAACCTCAAACTCAGATAAACAGCACAATTTAAGAACTCTTCCCAAGCACCAGAACTGTAATTTTCTTCTCGACGCACGTTTCACCAACCAAGTTGGCGTCCTCAGGATATGAAGAAAACTAACTAGTTTTCTTCACCTCCTGAAGACACCGAGAAGAGTATTGCGGTTCTGGCGTTTGGAAGAAGTTCTTGTTTCGCATTCAAATTCATATTTTGTTGAATTTCGGCTCTGATTTCGGAATTCGGTGATTTAAAAAAAAATCATGTATGGCCTGTTCTATAACTAACCTAACCTAAATACATAGACGACAGTGATTTTTTTCCATGCTATTTGAAAAGCAGAAATGACTTTGATTTGAACTTTAAAATGGGGTTCACAATCAAATCAAATTTGACCATTACATTCTTCGTTGAAAGTTACTTGGTGGTGTGACCCTTTTATTTTTGGGTTCATCGCCAGACTCACAAAATTTCAAAGAGTTTTCATAGTTCTTCCTCACTTCATATACTCGTGAGTTCAATCTTGCTTCCAAAGAAGGTAATTTATAAATGCCTCTAGTTATTTTGTTTTGTAAGGTTTTCAGAGGTTCAACGATAATGCAACTTGGATAAAAATGTTTAATTTTGAAAAAAAGGTCAATAAAAGCAGGAGCCTCTTCGTCAGTTTTTCAATATATTTGTCAAAAATGAAACGGACTGGTTTAAGTTTGACGATAGTCTTGTCACTAAATATTCTGGCAATATCTTAAATTTACTGGAGCCTCTGGAGACCCTACATTTCATTTTATGAAAGAGAGGACTTTGGCAGATCAAGATCTTCAGATGATGTGGTGCTGCAAGTTTTTCCGGATTTTCCTGCAGCTGAAAAAGCAAATGCGCCACTGGAATAAATCAAGTCGCCCCGAAGCGCTAATTAATTTTTGTTGTTGTTTCATTATTTCATACTTTGTATTTCCTTGAAATAAACAATTGCTTAATTCTAAAAAAAATATCATCATGAAACATTGTCAATCACCTTCAAACAAACAAGTTTAGTAGTTTTAAAATTATCACCGTAGCCGAAATAATAGTGTAGTGTACTACACTGGACCTACTAGTGCAATTTAAAACAAACATCTTTTTGAAAATAGTCTACCACAAAATGTATATAACACTAGAAATTTTGACTTTGTATACCCAAAACAGACTGTTACAGAAAGGAGCCCGTTCTATCAAAGCATAAAAATGTTCAACAAACTCCCTACCAGCATCAAACAAATGAATAAACTTGGCGAATTCAAAAAGGGAATTCATAAGATTCTACTGAATATAGATCCCTATACTATTGCTGAATACCTCAGCCATACTGTCTGACAAAATTTATCTTGCTGGTGACGTTATTTCTGTTTTTGTATCTTTTTGCGATTTTTTGCGATTATTCTTCAGAAATAAAGACTTTTTTTTTCACCGTAGTGTGCGCTGGCCAGGCACTACCCCCCGAAGCCCCGATACATTTGGGAGGGCGCGCCAGCATTATCAACCAACGACCACTCCCCACGCCGTGGGGTAAGTGATCATTGGGTCCGAGAGTTATGTGCCCTGAGCAAGCGCAGTGAGGCAAGAATGACAGCCTTCTGCATCTGTCCGGCTAAGGTTTCTGCCTTAGTGCGGCAAGCCGGTATGATTTTAGAATTCAAGAGTAGAGAGGGCATCATTCCACCAAGGACTCCAATAATCAGAACAACCATCTTGGTTGTCGAGACCAGAGTGGTCTGGACAGAGTCTGCGGAGTTCGAAGAGAAAATGTCGATATTTTATCCGATATTTATTATTATAAAAAATCTAACAATTCCGTTGGTACCTATCAATAACATTCCGATTACTACAAACGGCTGCAGACATTCAATTTGTATGTCTCGTAAGTGATCGTTTGTATGTGCCGAATAGGTTGAAACTGATTGACTTTGTCTATTTGACGTGCGTTTTCTGTGTTTAATATTTGAATTGTTAGTGAAGTCCTCTATTATGAATGGCTATAGTAACGCAGAGATGGCTGACATGCATTTCATTTATGGACTTGCTGATGGCAATTCATTGGAACCTAGGCGGTTGTACAGTGAAGAATTTCCAAATCGTAATGTGCCTAATAGAAAAACCTTCCCAAGTATACATCAACGACTTCGTGAAACAGGAGCATTGAAGCAAAATGGAGGACCATGAAAGCCAATGACAGTAAGAACGGTAGAAGTATAAGAGAATGTGCCGGCAATGAAAGTAGAAGATCCAGGTACCTCTACTCGAAAAATTGCAAATACTTCAAATATAAGTAACGGGACGATTTGGAACATTCTTAGAGACTATTTATTATACCCATACCACATACAATAATTTCAGGCACTTCTTCCTGCAGATTTTCTTCCACGTATTACATTCTGTTAATGGCTTTTGTGTACATTGGTTCAAATCCCTCAACTACTGACCCTTATTCTTTTTACCGATGAAACCAGTTTCTCAAAAAATGCAATAAGGAATTTTCACAATAACCATATTTAGGCTGAAGAAAATCCACACGAGGTGCTTGAAGATGGCTTTCAACATCAGTTCTCGTTAAACGTTTGGGTGGGAATTGTAGGTGACTTCCCAATTGGACCGGTATTTCTGCCAGGAAGACCTACCGGCGAGGTATACCGCAACTTTTTGGAACAAACGGTACCTCAGTTTCTGAAGGATGTACCATTGGTTACAAGAAATGCAATCAGAAACGATCCTGGTGTTTTTGAAAAAGTTCGGGAGTCGATGAGGAGAAGATTGGGATCTTGCATCCGAGCGGAAGGTAGTCATTTTCAAGAGTTCTTGTAGAGTAAGAAACATTACATGTAATTTTTGGTAATAAATTGTTATNTTTTATTATTTTAGTGTTTTTTATTTTTATTATGTATCTAACGTCTGAAGTTTCAAAATAGTTATATATTCAAAACTAAGAAACTCCTTTTTGGTGAGTGATTTTTTAAAGAATTCATGATTCCCCGTAAAACTGAAATTATAACAGTTATAAGTTTTGTGGGAGGTATGTTTATGAAAATTCAATGTTACAGAAACCTGAAGAAAATTTTTATTTAAGTCGAAACTTTGGTAAGTAAGCAATTGTTTTTTCAAGATAAATTGATTCTGTTACCCAATCAACCCTTTTTGAAAACAAAGAGCATTGTCAATGAAACCAAAGTAGGACAATGGCTTGATGTTTTGTTGCAAAAATGTCTAAAAAATTAAACGATGATGTTTTCCACTATGTAAGAACCTTAAATACTTGCAATCACGTCTTACTTCTCAATGATATCAATATTATTAATGAGATAACTCTCTACCATACCTTTACACATCCATTACCTTCAAAAATGATGTTGAAAGTAATGGATGTTGGTATCTCGATTGGAATGTAGGAATAATTTTATGAGAGGAATGTTAAATCCCCAAAAAAACTTCTTAATATACATTCAGTACCTATGAGGAGAAAATTTTTAAATTAGCCCAGAAATACAACTTGAGATGCTGAAAAGTTTATTCAAGAAACACTTTGTGAGATTTTCACTGAAAAGTTTTACTGAAATGCAACACATGTTTCGCTATACAATAGCTTCTTCAGGCGTGTCTATACTGACTGAAGAAATATTTGATTTGAGTAATAGTTTTGTTTTGCTTCAAGCAGCATTCGATTGTATCTTTTCTTGCTCAACTTGAACTGCTTATTGAAATTAGTGTACAAAACTGTGTCAACACTGGTTTCACTATATGATAGCTTCTTCAGGCATGTATAATACTGCAATAGGTTTCACTAGTTTACTAAACTGTAATGTCTGGATCATCACAACTGAATTCTCACAAAATCACCAATTTATTTTCATGACATCACCTATTAGATAAATTAAGAACCAAGTGAAACAAATCTAAGAATATGATCCTGATTCGTTTCATCTATTTTAATTTTATTTCAGTTTCCTATGAATTTACTAAACACAAGAGCTGCCTGAATGTAAGAGACGCTCTGTAAGTGAACAATATCAGGAATTTTGGGTAAAAAGAATTTGAAGGTCTCACCTTCTCTTTCTCCATCCTGCTCAATATACTGTCCAACTTTGCTTTTCCCTGCTTCAACTCTTCCTGCGTACGCTTCAAAGTTTCTAGTTCAGCCTGGTTCTGCTGAAACTGTTCCTTCATCTTCCTCAGCAACTTTTCCTCAATGGCTGTCAAAAGTGACTCTCTAATGTGTTCGTCTTTGATGGTGCCGGTTCCGGCAGGTGGCGTGGGTGTACCGAAATTACTGCCCGAAAAAGGTGGGTACGGAGTGTTATATGACGGGTAAGGTGGGTAACCGGCATTGCTGGTAGGAGGGTAGGGTGGGTAACCTCCAAAACCACCTGAAGATCCAGAATAAGGTGCTGGAGGGTAAGGAGCCACGTAGCTACCAGTAGGTTGGGGCATGAAAGCTAAAAGATTTTGTAAGATTGAAAACAGTATTCTTTGTTTTTTTTATTGCTGTTACAANGACAAAAACATACTGAAATTTTCTTAAAATTCAGAAATCAAAAATTAAAACCATCGGGAAAGATACATACGTATAAAAAAAATATTTAAAAATGAATTCTGAAATATTAATCCCTCCCAACTACCTACACTACTTTCTCGGCTAATACTACGCTGTACACTGAATTATATCCAACAGACATTTATGCGATATACTTCGTATAGGTTAATTTTGCAAGTGTTTCTCGTTCATCCAGCAGCTAAACCATGCTGAAATCATTCGTGTAGATCACCTGCAGACCGCGGATTGAAGGTATTACCTCTCGTCAGTACAGGAAAAATCCTACCCGGACAGGAAAGTATTTGAGACTCAATTAATTTCAACACGGCTTTGCTACATATATTAAACTTTCGTCTGAGAGAAAGACTGTTAACTAGTAACACCTCTATCTCTTGAACAAAGCCCCAAGCAGGGAAGAAACGTCTCATGTACCAAAACTCTAACAGAAATGAAAACTTATCAAGGAGAGATACATTCAACTCCCATTTACAACTTGTGCAGAATCTGATTGATTTCTACACTAACATACGCGTATCTTTCTTCGCAACATATTCTTAGGTACTGTTTAAAATAATTTTATTGTAGCTACTTTGAACATGATTACAAGATTAATTAAAAATCCGAAAAATAATAAAAATATGAATGAGAGGCCATGACAAACAACTTTTCTTCATAACATTTTGTTAAATTTTTTTTATTCTTGAACAAACCTAATATTTTTTACACTGCTCTGTCTGCTGTTCGACTTATTATTACTACATATTCAACTTGCACTGGCAGTGTTCAAATTTCGATTGGACAACAAATAAAATAGCCCGTTTGATGCACACATAATGAAACACATTGAAAACGAAAAAAAAAAGAATATTTTTTCAACAATAAGCCACTTACAGTTGGATGGGTATGGCGTAACACTGCTTTCTCTGGCCTTTGCAAATACTGGAGGATGCTCACCAAATGTAACAATCAGTACTTGAATGAGACCCAATAAATCAGACACATTCTAGAACAGAAATAATAGGACCAACTCAAAAATTGTATGTGAATAATAAATATCAAACAACCATCAAAGGAATATCTGCTGCATGCACCCACCTGCATATAATTCATGATATTATACTCACTTGAACCCAGTCATGCAGATATGGCAAATAAATTTTTCCATTTTGATCAACAAACATTGACACTTTTATGGACATATCTGCAGTAGGTTTAACGTAACAAATTGGAGCATTTTTTGGGTGTGTGTCTATCAGCCATATACATATCGGAATATTATACAGGGAGCCTCTGTAGCGCACAGGTATGGTACCACTAAGATTAACTAAATCTGCTCTGGAACCATCATTGAACACTGCATGAAAAATATGTTTGTTGTATATTATGCAGAAAAAACCTTATTCAACTTTCCACTTCTCCATTAATATATGCTTAAGGTCATAATGGCAAAGCTTTCAGCAAAATCAAGCTTTGGCATTAACCGCCAACTGAGAAATCGCTGCCTCTCTGCAGCTTTTACTGCAAAAAGGATAATTCCAAGCCAAACAATTTGTAAACTCAATTTCTGGTTATTTCTCGATTCTTTGTAATAAATGAAAAAAATTACACTCGAACATATTGTGCCAATAGTAGTTCTTGAAGATAAGACAGAAGTACAAGATACGCAGGATGAGCTATGGATGTTTCAGAAACGTTTGAATAGCATACAGGAAGAAATCGCTTCTGGTTCAAAATCTTCAGTGCTGATAATCGATTCATTCGACTGCAAACTTCATGTATAAGTTTATCAGTTCAAATCTCCATTTAAAACAAGCATCAATGGAGATATTCGACTTCTTTGTGACCTTGGAAAAAAACAGAAAAGTTTTGGTGGAAAAACTAAAAGTACTGAAAAAAAGTTGAGAATATTCAAAAGTATTTGAAGTAAATACGAACTCGATTTACATTCAAACTGTTTTATGTATATTTAGGAAAATTGCATCAACATGATTTTGTTGATAGAGAGTATGTTGGAAAGAGTTCTACTATGCACTTTTGAAATGGTGGAATATAAATTTTATGTTTGCCTTTTCAAAAACTATTACAATCTAGTAATAGCTATTTGATTAAAATAGTATGAAAATAGTATTCAATGTGAAGCAATACTGAAAAACTATATCACAGTTCAAACACTAACTACAACAGGTTAAAAACACTAACATTAATGATCAAATTCAATATTATATGAAATCAATTACAAAGCTCTCCGTGGGTTGGGCTACCTATTGGGCGCGTCCCCAGGTGGCGGATATGGGAACGGCCAGGGGACTGGAGGCCCTGTCCGGAAAGCCAATGTGGCCTTACGGACGGGGTCGCCGGACTCCTGGTCAGTGGCAGAAATTAGTAGGGTGAGGGGAACTAACCCCCCCCCCCCCAGAAGCCTTTGCAAAACATGCCAACGTGGACCAGTCTACCCAAGCTAAGGTGTAAGGAATCGTGCCGACAGCTGAATGGCCGCAGAGTGATATGCGGTCACGAACGATCTCCTTGGGGAACTCGGCGAAACCTCATTGTAATCAGCCTACCTCTGGTAATGCAAGGCTCTGCCAGAGGTGACCAACTCTTCCCTTTCTAGTCGTGGGAACACACATGAATGAAACAACACAAAAACAGAAACAACAAAAACAAAAACCAATCCCGAGGCTGGACAGAAGTGCTCACCTCAATCTATCACCGCTCAGAATGAGGCTGAACATAGCAGATCACCTCGGCGCATTTGCGGCGCCGAGGTCAAAAGGAGAAAGAGAGCGAAAGAGGCAGGAGTGGGAGCAACTAAAAGTGCACCCTCCTCCTCCCCCACTCCATCCTCCAACAGCAAGGGCACTTCCAGCGGCGGGCGCCAAGAGCTCCGCCTTGAATAAAGGTAAGGAACCGGCTGCCCCTGCAGGAAAGCTCTCTCACTTGTGCTCCTCCACTAGGGGAACCCCAGGAAGGTTGAAGATGCCGCGCAACGACAGTAATGTCGCTGCACCTTCCAAAACCTTCGCGGAGGCGAATAAGAGTTAATAATTAAAGAAGACTGATCAAAAATTTGTTCAACTTTTTCCACTCAAAAGTATTGTGACGCCCGAAGATGCTATTTTATAGCGAAACATATGTACGGTTTTGTAAACTTTCAAGTAGAAATCTCAGATATGTACAGTCCAAAAGAATCTCACAAATAAAATCCATTCTTATAAACTTTGAATAGGTATCTGGTTCAAACTGTACATTATTAGTGAATCTGATTATATTTCATAGTTACAAATTAGTTATTGTCATGTTTCCTTGATCTACATAAGTGAACTGTTCAAAAAATAAGGTGAGTGGTCAAATTTCGCGGGCTACGATTAGCGATTTTTTTTTATGTTGGTACACTCGTTTCTAAAATATCTTCACTGTTTCAGCTTTTTAGCATGTTTATTTTGTTGGTGAGAGGCATACAAGTGTTTTGCGTGTTCCGCGATTTTCTTCTATCGAGAAGAATGGATCAAAGAATCTGCAACAAATTTTGTGTAAAAAATGGAATTAGGTGCTCGAAAGCACTCGAAATGTTGACAGTGGCATACGGCGATTGTACTATGTTTACAAGTGGTAGAAGCTTTTCACAGAAGGTCGAGAAGATGTGAATGACGACACTCGCCCTGGAGGCTCCAGCACATCAACAACCGATGAAAATGTTGAAAAACTGAAGAATATTGTTATGGAGAATTGTCGAATCACTATTAGAGAAGTTACTGAGAATGTCGGCATATCGGTTGACTCATGCTATGCAACTTTTTTGAACATTTTTGGCAGCGAATTGCGATCCAAAGTTGCTGAATTTTGACTAAAGAAACCGTCGCATGAGCATCGCTCGAAAATTGTTGAATGACGTCAACGGCGATCCAGATTTGCTCAACTCTTTCAGGCACAGGAAACTCAAAATTAAAAATCCCCTAGATGTACAGCTTTATTTTTTCGCCTATTTTTTGAGAAATTTATCAACAAACCAAATGGAAATCATTCAAGAAAGGAAAACGAACAAACAAAAAAATTGAAATTAACCAATTTTTTCAGAAAAATAGAGGTTCAAAATTTAACCCACCATTCCATTAGTTGAAATTTTTCATGAAATTTCCCTCATTTGAAATTGCTGTGATATGTCTGGAAACATGTTTTGTTTTTCCCAAGACAAAGTGGAACTTTACAAACTGAACACAACCAGTTTGTTCTAATCTCAAACTCTCTTGAACTGCAAAGAGCGCATCTCCTTCTAGTCGTTCGTTCAGGCTGATGTGCACTCTGTGTAAGCCTCAAAGCCAGACTTTGACAAGGTTTCATTTTCTTTATTGGTATCGTCCATTCAGTTGATGTTCTTGAGATTATACCAATTTATCAGCGAGTAAATGATCTATGATACTTCTGCGGTATAAATAAATATACAGTGTGTCAATTTTAAAACTTACAATGTGCTATATCTCACGAACAAAGCTGATATCGAAAAATGCTTGAAACCGTTTCTAGGATAGTAACGGGGAACTAAAGTGACATGAAAGAGAACTCACCCCCCATCAACCCCTTAGGCCCCACCCACCAAAACACAAAAAGTTCAAATTGCAAACCCCTACTTGTAATACATCATTGAAAAGACTATAAAAAATGCTATCCAATGGTATAAATAATAATTGTACAGGGTGAAGCAATAATTGTGAAACTTTGGCTTAAATGGAATATTTAATGAGATTTTTGTTAAACTGCAAATTTATTAAAAATTTCAATTAAGTGAATGTTCAAAGATGGTTCCGTTGTTTTGTAAACAATAATACAGCCAATTTTCAAATTCTGCACAAACTTTAGCAAATGTTGTTCTAGTAATGGCAAGACATGCTTGCGTAATTTTTTCTCGCAATTCCCCAAGTGACGCAGATTGAGTTTTATATTAACAACTGACTTGAAGTGACCCCACAGAAAAAAGTCAGATGGAGCCAAGTCTGGTGACTTCGGTGGCCACTCAATGGGACCTCTACTTCCAATCCATTTGTTCGCATAATTAATATCCAACCAGTGCCTAACTAGAGCTGCATAATGAGGAGGTGCTCCATCTTGTTGGAAGTGCAGCAAATCTTCGTTTACAGTTAGGTTGCCTTGGTCGTCCTTTTGGTTCTCTAATTCATGCATATCGAGATAAATGTCACCACTTAAATTGCCTGGTATGAACAAGGGACCAATTATAGCATCACCTAATATTCCTGCCCAAACATTCAGTTTTTCAGGATATTGAGTGTGACCTTCTCTGAATCGATGCGGGTTCGCATCACTCCAGTACCGACAGTTTTGTTTATTTACATTACCATTAAGCATAAAAGAACATTCATCACTGAAACAAATAGTTTTTAACATTCTCGGTTCAACGCGAATTCTTTCAGTCATGAGTTCACAAAACTCAATTCGTCGGTCTAGATCATCACGCCTAGTTCTTGAAGAATTTGTGTTTTGTACAGGTGAAACTTATGTAATTTCAACACCTTTCTAACCGACTCATGTGACAGTCCTGTCACTGCAGATACTTGACGTCTTGATGCAGTAGGCTCCATTGCAAAATTTCCAAGGACCTCGATTTAGGTTGCTTCATTCAGTAATCTTGGGGCATTCCTTTTTTTATTTTGCACGGATCCCATTTCTCTAAACTTTTCAACTAAATCGCGGACGTACACGTGACTTACATTTTTGTCCAGATGTCTTTCATGAAATATTTGAGCTGTTTTAAATTTTTCAAATCACACTGATTCTGGGAGGCAAATATGAAAATTATCTCCTCACGCTCAGATATACTGTAAACTACAACTACACCTGAATGACAGTACAGATCGTACAAATGAAGAAAACTGATGACATTTAAAAGACTCAAAAAAAAACAAAAATTATTGACTCTGACAGAACCCAAAACAAAGATCTTTCCAACTTGTTTTGCAAAAACGGCAAATTAAGTTTTTCTTAAGTGAATGTTCAAAGTGGGTTCCTTTGTTTTGTAAACAATAATACAGCCTATTTTCAAATTCTGCATGAACTTTAACAAATGTTGTTTTAGTAATGGCGCGACATGCTTGCGTAATTCTTTCTCGCAATTCTCGCAAACAAAACAACAGAACCCACTTTGAACATTTACTTAATTGACATTTTTAATAAATTTGTAATTCAACAAAAACCTCATTTAATATTTCATTCAAGCCAAAGTTTCACAATTATTGCTTCACCCTGTACAATTATTATTAATACCATTGGATAGCATTTTTATAGTCTTCTCAATGATGTATCAAAGGTAGGGGTTTGCAATTTAAACTTTTTGAGTTTTGGTGGGTGGGGCCTAGGGAGTTAATAGGGGTGAGTTCTCTTTCATGTCACTTTAGTTCCCCCTTACTATCCTAGGAACGGTTTCAAGCATTTTTCGATATCAGCTTTCGTTCATGAGATATAGCCCATTGTAAGTTTTAAAATTGACACACTGTATGAATATATCACGTGAGGCTTTAAAGGGGGAGGAGGTTTAGCATCAATCACGAAATACCACATGGAGGATGGGGGTGTAGTAAGATATGACGTGTCTTCATTTTTTCGTCAAACGCGCGATTTCTAAACCGAAAATTCTTAAATGTCATCACCAGGTCATGAAGTGTGGTGACCGCGCTTGCTGTGAACATGTGTGCAGTTCTCTTCGATCTATTCTTTCGGAACGCTTCGTTATACCCCCTTATCCAATTTTGCTGTCGTCCAGTGGCCTACATATATCAAAGCCTCAAGAGCATAATGGCAGAACGTTTGCTACATTTCTTCTGCGTCGATCTCTTGGAATTACACCAGCACATGAGGGCTTTATCAAATTGCCTTGTGACCTATATTGCCCTAGCCTGCAGAAGGATCGTCAGTAACTTGTAGATAGAATGTGCCAGCAGTGTGGATTGTACTTCTGTACAAAGAAGATAGTTAAGGAATGAGTAAATTCATGTCACAAGCAACCTAATGCGAGCAATAATAGTCTAGATATGCATAATGTTCGTACTTTACGCATCCTCAAGCGACGATAGATCAGGAGATGGCTTGATGAAACCAATGTTGATATTCAACAAAGCACAGTGCCAACAGCTGACTTGCAAGATGCCTATCCAGTTGTTAGTGTTGAAGAAAGTCTTGCTAATCTGTGTAATATTCATTACTACACCAAAGGTTCCAAACAGAAAAAACAGAGGATAGAGTATGGCACTTTCTGGTTGATATTCCTCCTTTCTGAAAAACTGTTGTTGATTTTGACCTGTTGACTCCGTCCAATCAATTAATAACTGATAACTTGTTCTTGTGTTTCAAGCACAATGGTTCATGATTCAAGGTATGGTGTGCCTTACTAAAGTCCTACAAGGCTAAGGCATGGAGGATACGGGAACGAGAACCCAGAAAGCCAATATCAAAGTTATGGAGTCTCGTTAAAGAGATCAAGCTAGATAAGAGCCCCAATAACCAAGAAGCATCACAATAGATCTGCAAAGGTCCCAGTAAAACAGGCCAGCTCTGCTATCAATCTAATCTAATTTACTGAAGTACCATACAATCAAAATAGTAGTATGTTTTTCCCATGCACTAAATATTTCATCTTTTACTTTAGCTGAAGCTGTACAGGCACTATGTCCCGACCCGAATGAAGGCCAGACTGAATGATTGGTAATATTTTATTGTGGATCAGTATGTCTTTTCGCTGGAGCAATACAATCTTTTCCAAGAATTCAGAGATAGTAGGCATAATACTAATAGGCCTGAAGTGAGACAATTGGGATTGAATTTCTTTGAAACTGAGATAACGAAAAAGTTTTTCCAAAGATTAGGAAAGTGCTTTGGAGTAAACATGAATTTACTATACTAGTATGTACATAAACTTATTCAAAAAACACATTTTAATGAGAGCGAAACAGGTTTTTTTTAATACGTTATAACGAATTTTCATCAAGTGTATGTATTTATGTACAGGAAGAAAATTAAGTAAAACTAGTTCGGTCATATTGAAATTGACTTTGTACTATCGTTTCTACTACTTCGTTCGAGAGGAAATTATAATGAGTTTTCAAATATGACTGTATTCATCATTGGGTAATTCTGGAGCTTATCATCTGTAAGGATACTGCCTTCCTGAATTCTTGTGGCTTTGATGTATATTTGAACCACCAATACGCCAATTTTTTGAATATCACCTTAATATTAAGAAGATTACAAACCGAGTTCTGTGCAATAATTGAAAGTTGGCCCAGTCTTAAATTTCTTATATCTACTATTAGAATTATTTCTGAGTTTCATCATGTACTTCAACTGTAGGTATTTAGATATTTTCATTTATTTGAAAGTTTCCTATTGCCTTCAAGGAATGAATGGAGAAGTAGAAAGTTCGATAAAAATTTTTGGAATGAAGAAATAAATATAAATGTATTAACATATCAACAATTAAAATATCATGAGTCATACATACTATAAGGTTCTTGGTGAGGTTGCAATCCGCCGTATTGAGATACTGCACTCATTATATCTCTAAATGCCACTTCAGGATTATGATACTGTAAAAGAAAGAGAAAAATTGTTATTTACAGTCAATCTTTGAGGTAATAAAGTAACCTTGGAAAGCCACTGTCTGAGTCTATCGGTGTCCACCATGGTTATAGAGATTCGATACTTCAATAAAACCCAATTACGAATTATGTAAGCAATTAGGTATGTTTTCAAATGAGTTTTTCAAACCTCTTCATTCTCATTTATTTGAGATTTTCATTAGCTTAATTTATTTGTCACTTTTCGTCCTGTCAACAGTGTCAACACAAAACTTTAGACTCAAAATACAGTCTATGTCAAATAATGAATTGTTGGAGCCTGTCTGTCAGTTTATTATTAAGTGCGTTTTGTTATCACCAATCTTATTCTAATTTGAGTCGTTGCAACCAAACGTCATTACCAGCGATACTAGGAAGATATTAAGCGGTATTGTGACTGCAACCTAGTCATAACTAATTCCTTATGAGTTCTAACAGGAATGGTTGTGAATGTTAAAGGTGTTACCGTATTTGAAATCTATGGGAACTAGAAATGAAAACTATTTGAATGAAAGGTTGAAAAAAACATGACCTAAATATTACTATGAGCTGGTTAATAAAGGAAATAACAGACAAACTGTGGAAAATTTATTTGTTAAAAATAGAAATTGGGATGAAATAACCTGAACAATTAGAATTTAGATGTACTAATGTAGATGAATAATGAAAAAGATGGAAAAAAAATGAATATTCCAAATCGAGCTACTCAACGACGTTTCGATTGCTATTATCCACAATCGCCTTCGGTTGGCAAGTGATGTATCTTGATTTTTCGGCTGATATTTATTCTCTTTTACAACTCATAATTTTTCATTAATAAATTTTTTATTGAATTGTTTCTCTCCTCAGATAGATTCCCTTGCCAATCCATGATCATTCGGAGTAAAATGATCCTAGCACCCGATAAGCCGTTTGGCAAGAATAGGTTGTGTTCGCAGTAACTCACGGATTAAAGACGACCTAAGCATTCAGGGGCATTCAACACCTAATTTATATGACAAAATCTCGGAAAATAAACTCAAAATTACTAAAACAAGCCAAAATCAATGAATTGACCTGACGGCGTTCTCGATGGTAGCCCTCATTTTAGGTCATGATGGAATACAAAGTTACAGGTTATAATAATGTTGTGAACATCTTACAATTTGAATCTATGTTATGTAGGACAAACTACTAAATTGCAAAAGATATACCTATTAGGAGAAAGAACTTTGTTTGGCCTTTCTGCCTGTATTCTATAATCACATTTATTTTGAAACTTATTACTGCTAGTGCGTTCCACTAAGCGTTCGAAACGATCACTCACACTCAGTTTTTCCGTTTCACTTGCTTGCTAGTGTTACCATCGTAAATTCAAGTGGAATGGATTATGAAGTATTCAGAACGTTCATGTAAGCATTACAAATGTCGAGGATGATATTTGTTGATGCGTCGCAACAGTGCTTCAGAATGAAGCACTATTGCGAATGAAGAACTTTACAAAATCATAATCGTAAAAACCGAAAATTTACGCCACGTATAATTGATTATGAGAATGTAATTCATAGTTATTCAGATGGAAAATTCAAAAGAAATCTCGCAGGTATATGATTTTCTATCACATATTACACTGTAGATTTTGGAAATGTCATGTCTCTTGTCGCCATCTTTGAACTTCAAATGTCATTTCAAAAACAATTTAAAAAATTGAGCCGATATATTTTCAACGTCCGCTTTGACCCACCTCTTCGAATGGGTCGTTGAGCTTGCCGTGAGCGAAAATAATGACGTCATGAGTGATGTTTTCGCCGCGAACATAACGACCTTGGTCGTTGTGAATCGGCTAAAGGAGCATTTTGATGGTTGTGAGCGCTTAGTGGAACGCACGGTTGTTGCATTCTGTCACTGCCTTTTTCCACTTGTTCTTACTTTATTGATAACTAGAAAGTTCTTACTTTCTCATGGAATGTACATGAATTTAAATGAAAAGTTTCTGAAGGAATTTAATTTTTTTAACTATTCGCTCTATAATCTTAATGAACTATCAAATGTCAATGAATATGTATTACTATGAACAAAAAAATTATGGAATGATTGCTACTGGTAGTAAGAATATTGTCCAGCTAGCAGAATGATTTTTAATGAAAATTTCAATCTTCACTTCTCATACTTGGAATTTTAAAATTAAATTGTATTAATAAAAAAAATATGAACCTACATAACTGATTTCAACAACCTCAGGGTAATTTTTCAGTGATACTCTCTACAGAAAATTCAATAAAACTGTTCTGTGCTGGCTCATTATATAATAACCACTTAGGGTTTGACAGCTAGATGAATGGTATCAATAAGACAGATATAAAGATGCCTTGGTGAACAAAATTTCGGAACGAGACTTTTTAAATTTCAACTAATTCCATAACCTGTAGAATAAAAAATCCCTGGACAAGGTGGTGCAGCAAATTGGACACTTATTCTATATTTCTAATCCATATATTGACTAACTCCCCATCATCCAGATATTCAGTGACAATTTTTGAATTGAAGAGAGCATCATCTTATTGCTACCAAATTGTTGGATGATTCATTACAATGTTCTTGGAAATCACATTTTTTGAAGTTAGGCTTACAGTTTTGTTCCTATTCAATTGAAGTGGCTATATAAAAGGCATAAAACAATTGTAATAAAAAAATTCTACTCTATATAATTTATTCCTAAAACAAATATCACTATTTACTTTTTTTCAAATCAAAGTGACTCACAGATACAAGCATAACATATTTTTTACATATACTTTTAAAATGATGGATCTTTTGTCAGTCCACTCATTAATCCATAACTTCAATTAGCATACCTCTTCCTGATCCATATATCAAAGTAAGAAATATTGGGTATACACATTATTATTCTGACTCAGAGTGTGAAGAATCACGTCTAGATTTTTTAGTACGTTTGTGTTTATGTTTTCTCTTATTGTCTTCGCTATCACTTTCACTATCTTCACTAGAAGAGGATGTGTCATGTTTCCTTCGTTTCTTGGATTTTCTGGATGACTTTTTGTGTTTTTTCTTTTTTTTTTGTTTCAACTTCTCCTTCAGTTCTTTTTCCCGTAATTCTGTTAATGGAGTGAGATAATCTTGCTCTGATTCACTGCTAGTACTGCTTACATCAAGAACTATTTCTTTATTTGGATCAACTTTTACAAAATTTCTGCACTGGTAAGTCAAATGACCAGCATATCCACATTTCTTACAAGCAGCCCGAGTACTGGTATTTTCTTTTGCAGGCGGTAGTAATCTTGAACCATATTCATTCATATTGGACAGAATATGTCTCAAATTTTTACTTTTTTTTATTGTTACTTGTATGTTTGTAATAATTCATAAACAAATTTAAAAATAAAATTCAGGTGATAAAAAGCTAACCCCCCTAAATCTGTGACATTAGTAAAAGTATCTTCTTCTCTTCTTAGTTTGAGTGACCACAGCTGTCAACTACTAAGTCTACAAGGCAATCACTATTCTTAAGTTGTAGCAAAGCATTCTTCTCAAATGTTCTAACATATTTTTATGTAGAAAAAGAATTGAAATTCAAAGTGAGTGCGAAACTTCCTAACTTCGTAGAAAATTATCCAAATTACTAGGGTTTTGGTTGATTACAATACAGTTTCCAAAACTGAATAGAATGAAACTAATAACACAAATAACTGATTTCAATTGAAATATTTATCTGGAAATATTTTCAAAATGATGGACATTGTTTCTCCAAAAATTTAAGTTTTTCCCCCAAGTAATCGCCCAGTAGGGTACTGATTATTATATGTATAATTTTTCAGAGATTTCAAATCATTTTACATAGTAGACAATGGAAGTCCGAACTAGTGAAATTCATCATGAAACATTGTCAATCACCTTCAAACAAAACTTTATCAGGGTATTAGCTACCCAATGAATCTATCCTTTTTTGGTCTGTGGGTCAATGTTCTCTTGCTTTGGCTAATCCAACTTGTCGTATTTTAATGTCTATGGCATCCCTTATTCTTCTTCTTTCTTTTTTAAAGGTCTCAGTTTCCCTTCCTTACGAATGAGTAATTTCAAAATAACCAAAAAATAAGAAGAATCTGAATGTTTTCAAAGTCAAAAGTCAGCTGTTTCTGATTTGAAGATTTAAAATGTGATGGTTAATTTGTGGTCTTGTGAACTCTTAAATTAGGAACATGAATTCCCCAGCCGCCAAAGAAACTGAAAACCCACATTACTTGGAATTATCAGAAACGCCTGTTCGATTTGAAGCAGTAAATCAGAAAACAAATGTATTTTTTGATGACTCTAATAAAGATGTGAGTTCTTCATTAACTTTCAGAAAATTGAATTTCGAAAATGAAAGAGCAGTCTTTACTCTATTCGTGGTATGATTTTTTTCTCTCTGTAGGTGTTTGCTGTGCGTTCTGGGGGAGTAATGGGCGTAGTTGTCAAAAATGCTAAAGAAGATGTAAGTCCAATGGACTTCAGAATGGAAGATCATGGTTCTGTCCTTTCAATAAAATTCTCCTTAGATCATAAAATCTTAGCAGGTAATTTCAGCAAATGTTAATGTTCACTAACAATTTCATATAAAATAGCATTAGGATGTTTTTGGATTTACTAAGGAAACAGAGAAATGCTGAGAATTAAGTCAAGTCAAAATATGCTTTATTGTCTGAAGATTCATATCTTATTGACAAAGCTTGGTTCAAATAATTAAATAAAAGAAAATTACACATATTAGCTATCGCTACTTAATCATATAAAACTATAAAATAATATACAATTATAAGTAGATACTGAATATATGAATTAAAGAAATAAAATTCGTATATTGGTCCAGATCCAGGCTCGATACTGGGACCTATATGATGCATAATATTTTAAAGAAAAAAATCTTTTAGCTTTCTACTTCTCTTCGTATAAAAATTGGGATCAATTTCAATTTATTAAATTCAGGTAATTGGAAATACATTTTTACATTTTGCATAATATTTTTCTTTTACATTTTGATTAATATGATTCCTCCAGTAATAGTTTCAGTTAGGCAACTTAATGCCTGTCTTCTGAAAGTTATCTTTTGAACGATCATATTCCTATTCTAACAATATATCGTGGAGCAGAGATAAGATATTTGTTTTATACACATATTAGGCTTTCATAACGCTTGGGTATGAAGAAACTGGGAAACTTCCGAAGAAAGGAATAAAAGAATAAAATACATCTAAAAATGGTAAATCATGCCCAGAAGTTCATATCAGATGTAAACAAAATCCATCCAAAACAACTTACAGTTTATTACATAGTATTACATTACAAGAACATCACTTTTTCACGTTCAGTTTGTAGTCTAAATATTTGAAATAGAATTGAACCAGATATCATATCAAAAACCCTATACTATGTAATATATGACATAGTATTGATATAAAATTTCACTTTTAAGGAAAACTTTCAATTTCTAGATGTGCTTCGAAGTTTTGGGTGAAGACTAGACTTTTATCTCATCAACTTTTTCCCAAAAAACTTGTCTCCTCTAAATTATCAACCCCTAGGGTCAAATTAATCAATTGTATGAATATTTTTTACAAGCTGTCACGACAAGATCAGATTTTTTTTTGTGACATAGTTTTTGCAAAAATTGAGTGAATCTTTCAAAGTTATTCCTAAAATGAAGTTGTTTTTTTGGTGCTAATAGCATTGACTGTTATGGTCATTAGCCTCGAACTCACTGTCTATCGATCATGATTCAGGAGCACCATCAATTTTATATCATTACCTTTATATCACATTGTGAAGTGTTTATGATTATGATATCTTTTATTTTCCTCCTTTTCTTTGAAAGTTTTCCACTAAATAGAGTGGCCATTTCATATACTATAGTTTATGTAACTGAGGATTTAATTGATTGATTGATTGATAGCACTTTATTTCCAACAGGCATTCACCCAATTACAGGAAATGTACAAAGGTGTCGATGAAAATATATGCAAAACAGTATAATTAGTTAAAAAAAAAAGATTGCTACAACTAAAAGAAAAATAAGTAGAAATAGAAATATATCACAAGAAGCGGAAAAAAAAGTGATCACAGTTAGAAGGTTCTAGTGAGAATACATTTTAAAATAAAACTTTGAGAACTGTGATTAATATCGCACATATCACATATTGAATTATAGTTGTTACAAAGTATTGACACTGGTGCTTTCAAACTGTTATTTGTTCTGACAAGATCACAGTAAAATGTCGTTTGATATCTGGAATTAAGGCATGGGGTGCGGAAGTTGATCATTTGTAAAAGAGGGACATACGAGATCTTATTGTTTAGCAGTTTGTGAAGAAAGGAGATTGTGACAAAAAGTCGTCGTGTATTCAGAGATATTACATTAAATTAATTCAGAAGGATAGAATAGTCGGTTCCCCTCTGAGGATATATTCCTGTGACCTTGAAAGACAGATATTTCAAAAAATTTTTTTGAACAGCATCAATATGATGTATGTGGCAATTGTAAATTGGATACCATATTAACACGCCGTATTCTAGTTTAGACCTCACATAGGCATTAAACAGGTCTTGAGGTCTTTTGCAAGTTGAAGACCCTGCCATGTCAATATATTCCTCAATGATATAAAAACAGTGTTGGATAAAGAAACCTATTATTATTATTAGTAGATTTTGCAAGTTTAGTTAGTGTCTTTAGAGATGAGTGAAGATGATTATACAAATATAAGTTCAGTGAATTTCTTTTGCTAATTGTTAATTTATCTCTGGACAGGTTCAATAAACTTTCGGATCTCTTTCCATATGCACGAATATCACAATGTTTGTCAAATTTGTTAACGTTTTCATAGATATATAATGTTGGAAGTGGCATAATGCCAAGTTGAATAAAAAAAGGACAACAGTGCTCGCTATAACCTGCTTTGGCTATTATTCTTATCACCTATTTCTGGCACCTGAAGACACTAATGAAGTTATCTGAATGACCCCAAATCAGAATACCTCATGACATAACTGAATGAAACAATCAATAGTAGGTTTTTTTGGGAGAGAGAGAACAAACAAAACAGAAAGTTTGCTAGTCATAGCTTTAATATCATCAGACCAGCCCAGTCTTTTATCAATAACGAATTCTAAAAAATATATACTTTTAGTTGGACGAATATTGGGATATGAAAATAATAGAAGCAACCTAATTATATTATAATGTTTCACTATCTTGCATCATCAGTTGTAAGCTGGTTAAGTCTTTGCTAAAACATAGTGAGGTCCTATCATCTGCAAACAAGGTACATCTTGCTGGTTTTATAAAACTGCATAGAACGTTGATATAGATCAAGAACAATAGTGGACCTAAAACGGAGCCCTGAGGAACGCCATACGAAAACCAATGACCCTTGAAAAACATCCCCTTTTCCATTATATGATGATGAGTAATTAAGAAGTAGAACTGAATTTCGTGACAGGAATATTTCTGTAGCCTCTTTTGGAGTACTCATTTCAAGGTATCATTTCTGAGTACCTATATGTTTTGTGAATTATTGTACTATTTGTTCACTGTTGAGATACCAATATTTTGGCGAAGACTTTCATCTTTTGCATTGCTGCAATAATAAAACACTCCATTTTTTAATAACTTTCTGTTATGAAACGTATTTAAAAAAGGACATTCCAGAGATGAGAAAGAAATGCCATCATCAATATTTTTATAATTAATGACGTATTCAAAAAATACACTTTAATAATATGAGCTTTCCACTTGAATACGTTATAATGGATTTTCATCAAATATGGTAACTTATGGTATTGAAATATGGTTTTCATATGTACAAGATTTAAAAGAGTTATGAGCCTCTGAAGATTCTTCAATAAACTTTTGATAAATATCTGTTGAGATAAAAATTTAAAATACAATACAGTGGCAGTAGATAAAAGTCCTGCTTATCAGAATCGTTCATGTTTGCACCTGTTCCCAATTTCGGAAGTCTTCATTGCTAGTCACGAATCAAAAAACTGTTTTGATTTGATTGTAAAACCTTTCACCTGCTTGTTCAACACTTTATAGTGAAGGATCATTTTCATGTAAATTTAAAATCTATATTAAATCATTCCGGTTTACAAAAAAGGTGACGAATATTATCAAAAATCATCGACTCATTTCTATTGTTCCTATCTTTGGTAACCTTTTCGAAATGATTATCAACGACAGATTAAAATTTGACTCCAAAAAAATCTTTTAAATCCTTATCAATATGGTTTTCATAAGTATTTGTGGCAAGAATCATTGTCAACGGCTTTAAGGATGATATTCATATTCATATTCCATAAAATGAATGAATATGGGTTTAGAGGTGTAGCTCTCTGATTTAGAGCCTATTGAGAATGGTGTTCCACAAGGATCTGAGCTGGGGCCTATCCCATTCATAATTTTCACTAATAACCTTTTCTTTCAAGTTTTGCCACAAAAAAGTGTGATTTATGATAACGACATATCTTTTCTTTGCCCTGACAGAAATTACAAAAATTTAAAAAAATGTTAAGCCAAGCCAATTTTCTTATATCCAGACGCTAATATTTTTTCACAGAAGTAATGGCTTTCTAAATACATGCTGTAGTTCTGGATGACTCCCTCACATAGAAGAATTACACATAAAACTATCAAAATATCTATTTTTATTGAAGCGATTGAGAAAATTTGTTTCACCTGACACTCTTCTCGCAAACTATTATGACTTTTACCATTCTTTTATCAGCTACAAGACGCTTCTTTGGGGGAAATCAACTTCTGTTGGAAAGATATTTGTAATACAAAAAAAAACAATTTCTAATATGGGATAATAATATTTTGTCGCCTGTTGGATACATGTTGCCTATTGTTTCAAAAAACTGGTCATGATGACTCTTACACCAATTTTGATTTATCAGTCATTGCTGGAGGTGCATAAAATTAGTACAAATCGTTTGACTTTTGATAATTATGATACACGTGATCGGATAATTTCATGTGATAAAAAGTGGATCCTCTACAACAGAAAAGTTTAGGATATTGGTTGAACACCCAGGCACTTCCCACCGTCCGCTCATTTCATAAAACAACGTCCGAAAATCAAACGAATTGAGCGTCGAAACTCTGCTTCACCCACCATACTTCCTAGATATCTCGCCAACGTACTACCATCCTTTCAAGCACCTCGATTACTTTCTCATCGGCAGAACCTTCGCCAATCATGAACAGTCAAAAACGGCCTTCGTCGGCTTCATCGAATCCCTAGCACACAATTTTTATGGTAACGGAATGAATCAATTTGTATTACGTTGGCAAAAGTGCACTGATTCAAATGACACTTCATTGAGATATTGCAGTGGAAAGTAGACAGATAAAAACGGATGAAACTTTTGAAACAACCCTTCAACTTTTCAACAGAAAATTGTGTAACAATATAGGTCAATAATTCATTGTATCCCTTGTAGGGTGTCTTGTTTAATCTTTCTAGATAAAAGCTTTGTTTTGGGGAGGCAAACGTATTTTTTCTGTTTATAAATAATATCATAAATTAAACTCCATTCGTTTGGTTATTTACTCAAATTACTGTTGTTTCAATTGGCCTATCAATTTTTCTCACCGATTTTAAAATTAATTTTGATAGTTGTTAACATACTTTTGTTTAAGTGAATTTTATCTAAGGTCATTATTATTTACAAATTGATGTGTCACTGTGACAGAAAAAAATGAAAGTGTATGTGCTATGCTAGCCGTGCACCAGGGCTGGTTGTAGTATAATATATATTTGTTTTGTATATATATTTTTTTATCTTTCATTTCGTACGTTGTGTTTTGAGCTGTATATAACCACAGTTGAATCTTTATATTCTTATTTTTCATGTTAGGAATCACACTTTACGATCACGTTAGGATCAAACGCTAGACAAAGTTATTAACATTCTAGACTAAATTTCAACAGCCACGTCAATAAAAAAAGAAAGTGATTGCAAGAGCCGCCCATTTTACAAGTTTGACAAACCCGGGAGCAGGTGCAAGCATATCAACAGCAAGCCGAATATATAAACTAAAGATTAAGGCAAACCAATAACCCCAAACACAAGCCTCCAAACACTCTGCTGTTCCAACTCACTGGTATTATCCCTATTGAAGAAAGACTACTGTCACTTACTCAGAAGTTTGCTGGAAAAGACAACAATGTAGAAATCAGTAGAAAGTATGCTGTGACAAGAAATCCCCATGCAAGAGTAAGACATCAACACCCATCAGAAACACTGTTAGAAAAATTAACACAACTTCATCATTCATCAATGAAATTGTTTTGTTTATTCATTTTTATATTCATATAAATATATTTTTTATATAGTAAAATAAGCTATTATTTCAAAGCAATTTTGATACACGGGCGGAAGGACTTCAGTCGATAGCCAGTTGGGCAAAATTGTAATTTTGCTCAATAAATTACAATTATTATTATATTAATTCAAGTAAGAATTATTATACACCATAAAAGCATTGAAACAAAAAAAGTTACAAAATACATTCTACCATGTAATGTGAACAAAAGAATAGAGACATATCTATCTATGAATATTACTGGAGTTTTTTTCCAACACCAAAAAAAACTTCAGTAATATTCATTACTACACCAAAGGTCCCAAACAGTGCATCACATATCTATCTAAACTAAACTTCAAATGAAACAAGGTGAATACCTAAATTTTTGTCTGTATTCATTTCAGTCCAAAGAGATAATAACTCTGTAGAGTTCATGAACTTCCAGAACAACACTTTGGAAACTGAATATTCCCAGACCTGTAAAAAAAATTCCAATATACTTGGCTTTGTCTGGTCTTACGTCAATGAAGTGGCATTCATAACGGATCATGGCGTAGAACTCTATATGGTGATTCCTGATAAAAGGACCCTGAAACAACTGAAGACTACATCTGCAACAGTACAGTGGTTTGTCTGGTGTGCTTTGAATGGAATTGCCCTGTTAGCCTCGGCCCATGGTTCGCATCTTCTACCAGTTATAATTAAACCGGGGACCATAAGTAAACTATCCAAAGTGGAAAGTAAGTTTTACTACATCCTTATAAAAAGCATGATTGTCTGAGCATGTTTATAAAAGACTAAACAATAACAAGTCCTAAACAATAAAACATTATTATTCACTTCATTGCTCCCTAGAAAGTTGCGGTTTTTAATTAACTCGCTTTTATTAGCTTCACCTGTATGTATGTTTGTTTGTAACTCTCCTTGCTTGATCTGTTCGCGGGCAGATGGCGCTGTTCTTAACCTCCTTGATGTATCGATATTATTGCATGATCTATTCGGGGGCAGATGGCGCTGTTCGTAACCTCCTTCAATCGACATTATTACTTGATCTATTCGCGGGCAGATGGCGCTATACGTAACCTCATTGATATATTGACATTATTGCTTTATCTATTCTTCATTTGAAAAAAGTATTTTTTTAACAAGCACGCCTGCTGTCTTATTTGTAACCCTCCTTTGCGCGCCTGCTGCCTTGGGCTTGGTAGCTGATTTTCAGGTTCTCTCTCCGGAATCGGAAAATATCAATGGTTATTTTTCAAAAAAATATACGGCTAATTGATCCCAAAGTTTAAATAAAATAAATATAGTTCAAAATTACTAAAAACACGTTTTTATAGCATTCGAAACTGAAGAATGAAAAATAAATATAGTTTGAAAATTTAAAAAACACGTAAACTAAAAAACACGCTTTTAAAGAACATCGAACTAAAAAGTTAAAAATATTTTTTGAAATAAGCTTAAAACAATAACGAACGAAAAATACCAGTATTATTGTGAAAAAAGCGTGGTTGCTTTGTGCGATATTTTTTGTATATCAAGCGCCTGTCGCTTGTTTCACAATAATACTAGTATTTTTCGTTCGTTGTTTTAAGCTTATTTAAAAAAATATTTTTTTAACTTTTCAGTTCGATGTTCTTTAAAAGCGTGTTTTTAAGTTTTTCAAACTATATTTAATTCTTCTTTCTTTCACGATAATACAAATCGGGAAACTTTTATATTGAATAACTGAAGGATATTCAAAGAGTTAGCTAATCGAAGAATTCTGGGGATAAAGTTGTTGTATGAGTTACTGAATCTGTGAAAAGAAACGTAAAATGTTTGCACCTGCCTAGTTGAAGGACTGGGGACAAGTGGAGATAATTTGGAGAGAAGCTCAAAGCAGATACTCAGTCCGTTGATAATTTTTAAAAACGTATTAAGTCTTTATATTTTCTGCCTGCCTCGAAAATATTGAATTATTTTCTCCTCTCATAGTAGGTACTGAGCATATAAAATCTCTGAATAGTAAAATACATTCAACCGTCCATGCCATTCGAATTATCAACAATTCAGTAAAAATAATTTACCACACAAATTTTCTGTCAGCACGAAAATGGGGTATTATTTTGAGGAATTAGCATGGATATACGGAAAATACTTATTCATTATTGAAAATAAGGTGATTTCAGAGGAGTATTTATATCAAACAATGTAATGACAATTATTGCAAATTATATTTACGAATTTTTAGTGTTCTTCAAATTTAAATATATAATTATTGAAAAACGCATACCTTCTAAATATAATGCAAGAATCAGGAATATTATTATTCAATGTAACAGAGAATAGTTCCAACTATATGTCAGTGAAACTGTTTGAAAAACTAACCTAATAAAATCAATAAGTAATATCAATAAATACGAAGTTTGAAAAGTATACTTTTGATAATTGAACCTCAATAACAAAGTTGAATGAAAGTGAAAAAAAAAAAACAATACAAAGAGTTCGTAATTATTCTCAATTGTTTTATTACCTCCATTTTCTGAGTCTCATCTCAAAATATAACAGCAATAGACATTAAGGCATTGACTTTGAGAGGTTTTTTTGCAGACTGTGGACAAGGTGGATGGATCACTGTTGATCCATTTATTTGTTGAATGTCACTAAGTTTGTAAGAATAATAAATTTCTGTATCATCAGCATTCGACTGATAATTACAGTAGAAAATGTGAATATGAAAATTGGCTGCGTCCAACGAGTATAATAGAGAACCCAAAATGCTTCCTTGTGGTAGACCCCGCGGTATAACTAAGTTATTCGATAATTGATCGAAAATTTTACTTTTTGCTCAAGATCTTTCAATAGGATTCAAGAAACTTTTGCTTCTCTGCTGAAACTGATCTAATGTGAAATTACCAAAAACATTCAATGACTTAATTTGTCGAAAGCACGAGAGTAATCTAGCAATATCAACAAACTGATTTTGAATTTTTATCTATTGTATGAACAGTATCAGTCGTTATGGCACGCAAAACAGTCGAACAACTAAATCCATTTCTGAAACCAGATTGATGTGCAGGTAACAACTTATTGTTGTTGTTGTTATAGTACTTTTAACAATGCTTTGGAGAGCATTGATAGAACGCTTATATGCTTCTTCAATTGTCTGAAATCTGTAGCTTTGGAAACATTCGATAACGGTGGTGCATACGATTTTTTTCATTCATTGGGATAATAGAAATAGTTTTATTCATCACTCAAATTTTCACACATACATAATTACAAGACTAAATACATGAGAAAACTTATTGGACTAGTCAAAAGTAAAACGCTAAAAGCAAAACATAAATGTTTGATCTTGAACAAACTTAAAAGAGAAGACTACATGTATAGAATGAACTAAGTAATTTATCTAAGCACTAAAAGCAAGAAATTCATCCGTACTGTAGAAGAATTAGATTCAATTATGCTTCCTAATGAATAATGTTTATCAAGCCAAGCCATGGCCAAGCCAAGCAAAAGCAATGCTTTATTAACAAACGAAATTCCTTTTCATACATTTTCTTCAAGCTAACAAAAGTTGCTTCACTCAAATTGTTCTACCTTGTGCTGAAAAACTGTTAGAGCTAGTAGTTTATAAACAACTGTTGCAATATTGTAATGAAAAGAGTATACTTTTTATGAATCAATCTGGTTTTAGATCCAATCATTCATGTGAGTCAGCCATTCAGTTAACTGTTAATGAATGGAAAAGTAGTATAAGTGAAAATATGTTCACTGTGGTTGTGTTTTTGGATTTGAGGCGAGCATTTGAAACCATTAACCATAATATACTCCTAAAAAAATGAAACTCTACGGCATAAGGGGAAAAGTACTGGATTGGATTAACAACTATTTAACAGGTAGACAACAACAATCAAAAGTTGGTAATTCATTGTCAGCTCCATTGGAAGGGCAACATGGAGTTCCACAAGGAAGCATTTTGGGTCCGCTATTGTTTCTTCTATACATAAATGACATAAAGCATTACAATGAATGTGACTATATACACTTGTTCGCAGATGACACGTTAATATCAGTAACTGATAGAGATTTGAATAATGCCGTACAAAAGATGAATAATTCTTTAAATAGAATAACAGAATACCTCAAAATGAATAAATTGCAACTGAATGTAGACAAAACAAAGGGGATGATAATTGCCACACCATTTAAATACAGACAATTTGATATAAATGAAATTCACATCAAAATAGAAATAATACAATTGAATTAGTTCAAGAGTTTAAATATTTAGGGTTTATGCTTGACAACCACTTAACGTTGAATGGTCATTTCAATTATATTCAGAAAAAAATACTCAAAAAACTATATTTTTTTTCGAGGGTATCTCAGCATTTGAGTATGAGCTCAAGAATTACTGTATATAATACAATTATCAAACCTCACTTCGAATATTGCCCGACCTTATTGTATGGTTTTGACCTCAATAAAATGAGATCACTACAAAAACTTCAAAATCGTGCAATGAGAATCACTTTGAGATGTAACAGATATACACCAATATCATTGATGTTGGGAACATTACAATGGCTGTCAATAGAAAATAGACTTATTTATTTAACTATGAGTTATATCTTCAAAATGTTGCATAATCTTCTTCCATCATATTTTCACAAATATATAACTATCAATACGCAAGTTCACCAGCATGATACGAGAAGTAAACATAACTTACATGTGACTAGGCAAACAAAAGCTTACAATATTAAAACTTTGGTGTTCAAGGGATTCATTGCTTACAACAGTTTGCCAGATGATATAAAGAAATCAGAAACTCTGCAACAGTTTAAAATTAAATTGATAAGCCATTTACAGCAAAAGTAAAATCGTTGTATTGTATATCTATCAGGATTAATAATTTTTAGTATCAATACGAGTATTAATATATGTATCTTCTTACGGGATATGAGTGTATAGTGGGTAGTGGGATAGCATAACTTATTGATTTCATATGTATGTTTGTATATGATTATTGTGGTATTTGGCTGTACGTGAATGGTATCAATATATGTATTTTCTTTCGGGCTATAAGTGTATATTGGGATAGCATTCTTATTGGTTCATATGTAGGATTGTATATGATTATTATGGTATTTGGTTATACTTGAATGGTTTTCTTTTAGCAAAACAATGGAAAATATAACTCGAAATGTAAATACCTAGTGTGTACGTTTAAATTTAAAACAAAACAAATATATTAATACTATCGAAGGAGCTGCTAATTACTATATATAAGATTATACTTTGTGAATGTAGATTAGGATTACCTATTTCAAAATAAAAATTATTATTATTATATCCCACAAACTAATAGTCCGACAGCCGTGAAATTTGTACACCTGTCTTTTGAAGGTTAGGGTTAACTAAAAATCAAATGGATTCAATACTAATATCGCCATCTGTGTGTCGCCGTATTTTTAAAAAGAATACCTTTCTACCATCCAACTAGATACTTGTCACTATGCTGCATGTTATTTAAAAAATATTTGAATGTTGTTTGCTGCATACTACTCGGTTACTTTAACTATCTTGATTGAGATTCCTCATGGAATAAGAACAGGATTTCCAATGATAACAGCAATCCATTCACTTTATGACAGACAGTTGCAACATTTTCAAGCCGGCGAATGGCCTATTGAAATCTCAGCAAAAATTGTTTTCTTAAGGCACTAGAAAATTTCTGTCGTGGGTTCAGTGTAACAATAAAGAAAGTAGCCTGAATAACCCGTTTATTAAATATTGAACATATACAAAAGTCAACTGTTTCGATACAAAATCAAACGCTACTCGTTCCGTATCCTAGTGTGAAAAGTCCCACTTAACCAATACATGCGCATGACATTAATATAGGAATATAGACAGGGTATATACGTATATATTACATTTCTCCCCCGTTTTGATTTGAAAATGATACATCTAATATATAACCTAATTGTAAACCACGGAAAATGTTATAAACATCTCATTTTTTCAATAGTTTGATTAATGTGATTTATAAAAATCAAATACAATACAATAATGTAAAAAATCATTATCGTTTTCAAGCGGAACCTGGTCGTATGGCTCTGGAACGAGACGTTACTCTAGCAACCTTGTACGGTGTACCAGCTGTGTTGATTCTCCGTCATCAAAGTGGACCTACCAATGCTGAGGTCCAGGTACACACTTTGAGTGGTGCCGGACAGGCCCCAGTGAAATCTCACATTTTGAAACTTGGACAAGCAGGGCGTTTCGCTGTCAACGTGGTGGACGATATAATACTAGTACATCATCAAGTGAGTGTTTTGATCTCTTAGTGGAAGACTGCTGTTTTGCTAAAAATGTCTAATAAAATCAATATGCTGATGTTCCAAGAACTTCTAATTCATTTCCCAAATAATTCAACTGGTAAATAAGTTACTCGATATCCTGATGATTTTGTCCAAATATCCTAAACTTCTCTAAAAGAAGTTTTAAAACTACTTTACCTTATATTGCTTGCAGTTTGGTATGTAATGGAATCATTTTCTACTTACGAATATTTTAATTTTTCCAGGCGTCTCGAAGCACTCTCTTATTCGACACTACCCTGCCCGGTGAAAGTGATGGAAATGTTAAATATCACACACCTATAGCTCCTGCTAGATCACTCCGTCCAGCCCGTTTGGTCATTCATGGTCTAATGCAGCCAGAAATACATATATGCGAGCTCTGTATCCTTTTCACTGAATGTAATAATTATCTTGTTCTAAGAAAAAAAGTTTTAGCTCTCTACTTCTTCTTCGTCTTTATAAAAAAAAAATGTGGGATCTTGCATAAAATGAAATAAAGCAATTGATTTCAAAATCAAATCTTAACAAAGATGTGAAGATCATCCAAAGAAGTAACTTTGAGACACAACGTGAAAAAATGCCCTCTCAAAACAACTACTATCATTCAAACATTGAATTACACGAAAGAAAAATACTTTGAAACAACTACTTTCATATGAACATTGAATTATACAATTATACAAAAAACACTTTTTCCTATTCAGTTTGTTTTCCAAACATTCATTATGGAATTAATTCAGATATCATTCACAGGATTGCTACACAATATGGTATACGATAGAGGTAAAAATTTCCTTTACATGGAACACTGACTTCCTCAATGGCGGACATCGATGTTTCGGAATAAGACACTTGTCTTATTGCCTCTTTAACACCAATCTGGATAACAATACAATATGAAGCACCCAATTCATCCATAAAATTATGAATGAGTTAAATATACTCATGTTATCAATGACAGTATGTAATGACATTCATTCACTTATTTGATTCAATTCCAGCCATAGGAATCTTGTTCAATTGAAAGGGGTATATTTTTAGAAAGGTTTTTGGCTTTCTACTTCTCCATCTTTATACAAAGAAATGTGGTAATCTAAAGAAAAGAAGAAAGCAATTCTTCTTGTATTAATTCATTCGTTTTACAACTTTCAGTTGTTCTATTTCATTTCACAATATTGGAGAAAGGCATTTATTGAAAAAACAGTTATAGTTGTTGGATTGTCTGAGTTTTTTTTGGATTTATAGTCTTCCCCTACTTCCTCATTTTTGAAAGGAACAATTTATCAAAGTCTGACATAATTTACGTAAAAAGGTATCATTTTTATTGATTTTGATTAGAAAGTTGGTAGTATTGCATCACTCACCGCGGTGGCACTACCAACTTTTTCTTCCAATTAAAAAATGTGGTCTTGTAATCCCCCGTTTAATAGGTATTTTAGTTATCTTTCCAACATTTTTTATTTTTGTAAACCGGGTCAGCCGACCCTGAGTAATTAGCAAAAAGCAAAAGCAAAAATCTTTTTTATTAAAATAAACTATTTACATGAGTACCGTCACGGCAGGGTTGATTATGATAAACTCTGACTTCCGTGGTATTACTAGTCAGCGGATTTTTGGAAGAAATCACTTTAAGTGTGTGTAAGCAAGCCTTTGGATCGAATCCGTAATCGGCTCGACCTTCACTGTCTCATAAACGCTCAAATGAAATATATCGATCACTATCAGTCACAATACGAAGCACCTTATTCTGCATCGTCTCGAGTCTCCGCGATGGAGTCCTCTTAAGGCTGCAGAACACAGGACAAGCGTACAACATAACTGGCCTGATAATTTGCTTATATATCAGGAGCTTGTTGTCAACACTCAGTTTGGAATTTCGTGCAATGAGAGGGTAGTTGCGTTTAATCGCCGCTCCCGCTCTCTGAATTGCCAGACTCAAGTGCTCATGAAAATTCAAGCCCTTGTCTAGGATAACTCCCAGATACTTCACACTTTTCTGTTCTTCCCCACACTTTCCTTGAATCGTCAATTTCCTGAAGATCTTTACGTTGGTGAATTTCTTCGTGAAATTGGCAAGTTCATCCTTTGACGGATTTAGCCTTGTCTTATTCCTCTCCGTGTACGGTTCAACTAACCGATCCAGGTGAATCTGTATTTGGCGTATTGCCACCTCAATAAAGTAAGAATGGGCATATATGGCAGTATCACCTGCATATGCCTACATTCGTTTTTGCGAACATTGGAAAGTCACACCTGCTTCCATTGAAAAATCGGAAGAGATAGCTTGGTGTATTCTTAACCTAAATTTCTCATTGACCAGATAAGAATCCAAGATTCTTATCATGTATAGAGGCATGTGTGCTGTCCAAATTTTCGCGATAAATCCCTCTGTCCAAACGGTGTCGAAGGCTTTATGTATGTCCAACACCATGACTGTATTCTTCTTCTGGTGAAAGGCCTCCATTATTCCGTGGACCAGTTGCGAGATCGTGTTACGACCCTGCCTGAATCCAAACTGTTCCTCCGGAACAAGTTTCAGCCTTTTCTCCAGACGGAGAAGTCTGCTCAATAAAATCTTGTCAGCAATCTTGGCAACCGACCTAGTCATTAACAGTTTCATATCCCTTTTAAGGACCTGCAAACAATCGATAAATATAATTATTAAAAACAGAAACTGTATTCAAAACTTGCTCCAGTTCATTCCAGTGAAAATTTCTTAAATGTTCATCATTCACTTTCTGACAATAATGAAGTTAGTATACAAATTCGTTTCTCACATTATTGAATGTTTCTGAACATTTATTGGAGTGAGTTTTGTTTACATCTTTCTTGTAATTACGATATTGATCGTGAACGGTAATCCGATTCGCAAAAATGAAAAAGTATTGGATAGAGATTTGAAATAAACATCAAACGAGGTATCAAAAGACTCCCCTTTCCATTTGGAAAACAGTTGGTAGCGCCCTCTCTACAACGAGTGACGCAACAATATCATCCTTCCTATTAAAAAGTACTAAAAAATGATACCTGTAAATTTTTTCGGACCTGATATCTTGTCCTGTCCAAAAGTTAAGAGGAGGGGAAGGCTAATTAAATCCGCACAGTTTGACACATCATCACACAGTATGAATAATACTTTCTCGAAATTAAGATACATGATAGGATTGAAGAATTTTGTGTATTCCCTATTAAACATTTCCTTAACAATTAAAAAACATTCAGATTCCCCAAATTGGGTTGTCTTTCAGCCCAACATCATAATTGATGCCAAACTAGGATGCCTGTGGCACATTAAACTGTGCCTACCAGAACTTTGCAGCCTAATCACTGACCTCGGCGTCTGCACCCAAGTAGCTCTAAACAGAACAAACGGAAAAGGCATTTTATTGAATGTAAGATTGAATAAAATCTGAAGGAATAGATTTTGACAGCATTTATTTGGCAGCTCTTGCTAGAGATCATCAATCGAGACAAAATGCCCCTGGATAAGATTCAAGAGGCCTTCAACCACATCAACAATGTCTACCGAGAATGGTACGAGGCGGAATTGCAAAGCAACATCGGATCTCCTCCAAACGCACCTACCTTCCTGAAGAATTCCAAACTACCGAGGGTGCTCATTAATCAGGATGACATTTTCAATGAGATCTTCCAGAAATTAGATATAGAGAAGGACCTGCAGAAAACTGAATGGTTGCTCGTTGCTTACATAACCTCGCTTTCGGAAAATAACGTCCCCGTTCAACATAACCTCAATGAACTCTTGGTGACGACTTTGGTAAGGTATTATAATAAATTTTGTACTTGACATTGTGGAAACTAGTTGGTATTTTGAATGAGGATCTCTGTGAAATACTGTCAGAGTGATCTGAAATGCTCATCATGTATTTTTAGGCTCGGCAGAAGAAATTCACCGCCCTACAGCAGCTTGTCCAGTACGGCGTTATCTCTGATTCCAAACCCATCGCTTGCTTGCTTCTCTCTCTGGGCAACTTGCACCCTGCTGCATCGCAAATGGCTCTAGATATGTTGACCAGAATAGGTGCTTTTGATGAAATCCAGGAAATACTCCTGAGTGAGGGCCAAATACTCACCGCTCTGAAGATAGCCGACAACACGGCGAATCCGAGAAAGTTTTTGTCAATCGCCGAAAGTTCTAATGACAGCAATCTGTTACACAGCGTGTTGGTTCATTTGAGGAATAATCCACATTTCACTGCTGCCTTCCAAAAAGGTAATAGTCATTAATCCTTTTGAGGTTTATAGTGAAAATGATCGAGATAGGGTCTAGAGACAGCTACTTCATCTTTGAAATCTTGAAGTAGTAGGTGATAGTTGAAGAAATTTTCATTTATCTTGATTATTTATTGTATGGAATTACTAATCTAACTAATCATCTGTTAGTCACTTCATAAAATTTATTTTGACTTCAAAACCAAAATGAGTTCAAAATTGTTGATTTTTTTTTTTTATGCAATGTTTGGAACCTTTGGTGTAGTAATGAATATTACTGGAGTTTTATCCCAACACCAAACCATTATTTTTAATACTTCGACATGTATTTCAGTCACCAAATGATCATCTTCAAGAGGAAGATCAAAGTGTTGTTTTTGTTGAATAACATTCATCATCCTACATACAGCAATTCTCATTGCGTGAGATGAGAATTGCTTGCATATTTGAGAGGTATTTTTAATTGTAATAAACTTTTTCTATAACAATTTTATATATTGCAAAAAATAGAGCAAAATTTACATTTTTTGGCGAAGCTTGCATACATTTGAAAGGATTTGATAAGGGAATAATGTATTTTAGGTTTTAAGTCCTTGTAAGGGTTCCAATTTACTGAGACATACTGTATATATTTATTTATCTGAAACTTATTACGCTAAGTACTAACTATACCTGGTTCACAACTATTAGTTATATTAATAATATTATTTTCGTTTCAGATGAACGCCTCATGAATTTTGTTCAACAATATAATTTGATTTTTAATAATGAATAAGTAAAATTTGGTAAGTGCGATCTCGGAAGGAAATCCGAATTATCAGGCTTAAGTTACTGTGATATTAATATGAAATCAATCATTGTACTAATTGTGGATGTGTGAAATAAATAAATTTTGAAATATTACTAATTTTGGATGCAGGAAATGAATAAATTTTGAAATATTACTAATTTGTTTTTCACTGATTTGAGTTATAAGAGCACAAAGTCATATCAGAGTCTATGGGTTATTTTTTGTAATTCCCACAAAATATGTGAATATACTTTATTTTTAGACTGTAAATACATTATTTTTAAACAGCAATCAATCAATTAAAAAACTTCATCATTGTATGCACTATATTGGTCCGACTCTTAGCCAATTTGGGTCAGTAACTTTTTTTATTATTTACAGTTCAGAAGGTAAATATTTCCAGAAAGAGTTTTCTAATTTAAAGGAAATTTTTTCGCTACAGCTATGTTACCCTTTTGTAAAGTTTTTAACAAAACAAAACAAAACATTTCATTCATCAACTGCTATGGATCAAAAAAACTATGTTCGTATACAAAAAACCTGTGTACACTTGAGGACAGGTAGCCAGATTTTACTTATTATTTGTTTATTCATTCACGGACTTGTCTCCCTCATGTGTTGTTAGTTTCCCAGAAAAAACAGTTTTCATAAAAATATGTTGAACTCCATTTTTGATTATATTCTTAAGATAACCAAAGTCAGTAAAAATTCATGAAGGGTAAATTTGCAGGTTACACTAAGGACTGAAAAATATTACACTTTACGCAACATTGGCAATTGATATAAATTCCTCTGAAGAACTCCATAGCAACTGAAAAATTCAGCAAATGGTGTGCTAGAAACTTTTTAATTCCGATAGCTTTAAATCAGTATGAATTTTTTCACATTTTTTCACATGACCTGTTCAATTCCATTCAGTTCAGTTTATTGTCTCAAGAAACAATAACTGCTTATAATTAGGAACTATAACTAACTACAAAAGTATAATAAAATAACATAAATAAGATATTTCACAATAAACACATATCTTGAAAGAAAAAACAATGAAATGCAGTCAAATATGAAATTGGTTTCAGAAAGTACTTGTTAAAAACGAATTCAAGTGTAATAGAAAAAATGCAAACTATGACATTCTACTAAAATAATTTTCATGTAAAAATTGATAATAATGTTTGTCCTGAAACAACAACCCCTGAACCACTTTGAATTTTTAAATTTATTTATTTTCAGGCTAATTTTGTACCTGTCTCCGAATTTTTTGCTCTCTATTCAATGGAAATATCTGCTAGCATAACATTAGGAAACCACAGAAAAAAACATTTTCTTCAATGAGATTACATTATAATTTTAGACTCCTGTTGCCCAGTTTTTTTGAATCTGTGGGTTCTGCCAGCTTTACTGTTAAGCTTACAGCTTCACTTTTTGGAAAATTTCAAATTTGCAATATTTATTTATTTATTCACGAACTTGTTATTTTACAAAATAGTGTGAGAGAAAAATAAACAATTGAACAATAATATAGAATATTCGTATCAAGAATCCAAAATATCGATCAGTTATTAGTAATAATAATGAACAGTTTCAGAACAGAATAGTAGGTCAATACGTTTAACCTGATTTTTGAAAGAATATAAGGATGAATCAAATAAATCAATATAGATGCTATTCTTATTTGCTAGCCTTTGCGTTCTAGAAATGGATTCTTTTGAGCCATAGCTAGTAGAATGGTAAAGAACTTTAAACAACTCCGACACTCTAGTTCTTCTTGAATTTACATTGGAGTCAGTCAGTTGTGTTACATAGACAGTTCATATCACCATTTATAACTTTATGAAGTCTCGAATCAATTTCAGCTCGGCGGTACTCCAGAGTAGTAGAATATCAGAGTATTCAGGAGCGGATCTCTAATATCTGAGCTTAAAAGCACATGATTTCAGAAATTTGTTTTGTACTTTTTCAATCCTAGATATATTTGCCTGATATACAGGACTCCATATCACGCAATTACTTTCCAAGACCGAGCATACAAAAAAATCAATATTTTAAAGCTTAGCCATGAGAAGATCATGATTTACCCTGTCGAAGGCTCAGATATATCGGTATAGAGTCAACCTGGTGTATTCTAGGTTATTCAAAAGGGAATGTTGATAAGGCAATAAATTCGTAGTGGTAGAACTACCAGATATAAAGCCATGTTTTCCGCATTGAATTTGAGTTTTTTAGGTATCAAACAGTCCAGTAACTTGAGAATTTAAGATTGCTTACTCACTGGATGGTAGTTTTTAATGTTATCTCTATTTCAATATTTGTGAATTGGAGTTAGAAAACTTTGCTTCTAGAAAGGTTTCCATGGATCAAGAAACATTGAATATTGTTTGTAAGGGTTTTGCTAGAGTGAATATGCGGTTTTTTCAAAATTGCAATGGAATTCTGGCAAGACCAGCTGAGAGTTTTCCTGAGGCTATCATGAGTTGGTTGATTATTTCCACCGTTTCAATATAGTAGTTGCCCTTTTCTCTCTATTGAAATTATTCCTGTGTTTCAGGATTTCTATATATTTTTGGATGGTAAATTTAGTTCAATCATATATTTGCGTATCCTTAAAAGAAATAATATGAGTGTCTTCTTTGAGAGCATATTCAGCTACAGCTGATTTGTTGGTTTGCTCGAGACGACAATTTCTATTGTGTTCACAGAGACAGGTATCTATACTCATCTTAATAGTTCCAATGTAGACAGACCCGCCGCTACAAGGGATTCAATATACCCCGGGTGTTGCTCAGTTGTGTGTTTAGCTGATCTTAGACTCTCTATGATAGTTTTCGTTGGCGTATATATTAGTTTCACTTCGTGTTTCTCTAAAATTCCACCAATCCAGTCCGTAAAATTTTCAACATTGGGAAGCAAAGCTTATTCCTTAACAAGCCTAGCATTCTCTCTCCTGGGTTGTATCGCCCGCTCTAATTCTACTAAGCTGTACTCAATTCCTTTGAAGGCATTTTTCAGGTGATTGATTGATGCATTGGGTCCTCTCAACCAACATTTTAATCACTCCTTTGTTTTGTCGTGGCTGACCTCTCCATAAATAACTTGCCCCTTAAAACACGTTTAAAAGATGAATATTTTGGAGGTCTTTTTTTCAAGAAATTGTCATTCTCTGAGTCATATTAATAAAATTGCACTGAAATGTCTTGAACTTTTGGTTTTGTCTTTATAGTTAGTAAAGATTCATCAGCATATACTCTGAAATTTTTGTACTTTTCTTTGATTAGATCAATTTCTGATTATACCTGAGTTGTGTGGAGTCCTTCATATTCAAACCAGAATGCTTATCTAAACTATATCCATCACCATGCAGAATTGCATCTATTGGGTAAAATAAACAAGGTTCCTCATGCTAGCCAATCAGATTTAACTGTAATCGGCTGACAGAATTCATCCTTACAGTGTCGGAGTGTTCAGTTACATTTTAACGACTGTGGTGTGTACATATACGGTATGAAGAAACTGCTTATTTGCTCCCTACACTCCACCAAAATAATTTTCATATACCCAACCGCATATGATCCGCACGTGATCTCCCAGCCTTGTCTGGGTGATCACGTGCACTATGCGCGATGATGTTTTGGTGTACTCTGTTGCTTGGTTGGACAGTTCCTGTTATCTGCAGTGGGATTTCAATCGGGACATTATAATTATAGCGATATTAGGTCCATTTTTTTTACGTAAGTACACTTGAAAGCAAACATATTCAGAATGACTTGACATGCCTTCACAAACTTCTGTGTGAAGTTTGCTGTCCACAACTTCTGAACAACATAAAAAAACGAGACGATGAAACTATCTTCCAATAAATTCAAGCCACAAATTACGGGTCCAATTTCAAGAATACTGAGAGAAGCAAATGATTCTAGATTAGAATTTTTCCTAGGTTCATTCTATTTTTAAAGGGTTCAATTGCAAATAATGTTTTCCTTGTTGCCTTGAAGAACGGCCACAGCTGTACTTGTGAAACCAATGATGTATGATTGAAAGTAGAACTGCTTGGATATGATACCAAAACCCAATATGAATAAAATAGAAAACTTGGAGAGTAACGCGGAGCGTTAATATTGGGAAATATGTTCTTTTATTTTTCATATTTGGTGATGAAATGAATCAATTTTAAGTAATTAGTTATGAAAGGTATAAAAATGTCAATTAAGAAAAGTTATACTTTTAGTACGGCGTTTTCATATCTGCAACAATTTTTAAAAGCATAACTATATATCAAAGTTGAAAAACTTCTTGTGGCGTTCAAACCAAATGCAATGAACAATTAACATTATTCTAGATCTATCACTTGAGCATACATTATACGAGAAGGTAAGATTGTTTGTCTCAATTCTATCAATAAAAACAATGCAATATTCAATTGCAAGGAAAGTTTCAACCAAATCTTTTTGTTCCGACAAATGAAAGTGACTTTATTCATCAATGTTTATTATCAGTGATATAAAAGTTCATATAAATGCTTGGCTCTCATGTGGAAGACTAAAAACGATCTAACTGATCATGGCAGATTACATGAAGCTTACAATGCAACATAAAACAGCTTATAACTTTTGAATATACTTTCATCAAAAAACAGATGGTGTGTCAGATTGCCACTCAGAATTTCGCAACATCTTGATTACTCCAATTACTACAAAGGTATTAAATGCATAAAGAACGGTCAGGACCACACCTAATACGATATCTGTGAGGAGTTAAGAAAAAAAATATTGATGATATGAGAACAAAATATTGTTTCTCTCCTAATATAAACATGGTCCTTGTAGTTATAAAAGGATACGAAACATGGCTCTTTCCCATTTTTCTACCATATATAACTCGGTTACAAGCAGGTATCTAAAATACCAATACCCGAAGAAATCGCGAATGATTTTCAACATAATCGTTTATTCGCAAAATTCACAGCGATCTATAATTCCTAAAAATAAAATGACTTGTATATGAATAATAATGATGAATAATTCTGACTTTAATTAACCTTGACCGAAATAAATTTCTAGAAGGTTGTAGGTTATGTCCAACGATTTCTCGTAGTATAGATTAATTATTCCCCATATTCCATATTATCGTCACACTCCGACACCAGCATTTTGTTCTACAATAACAGTACACAAATATACTCTTCTCTCTCTCGCTCTCGCGAAAAAAGAAGTGTCCGTGTTAACTGGCCATGTCCCTCACTTTCTCAAAATGAAGGTAAACTGTCAGCGGCGTGAATTATAATTATAAAAATATCAACATTTAATTATAGAAATGAAACGATTAGTTCTGTAGTAAATGAATATTTTTATTCGAAGAGATACTCATATATATTTCCTAATATTTCCTTCAAACAAACAGAAAATTGCAAAACTGAAAATTTCACAATTCATGACAACAAAGTAATTGCGAAGTTTAAACCTGTATATTAATCTTCATTAAATCATTTTTATAAACTATATATCATCTACGTATTTTGTTTTGAAAATTTTCTTTCATGACCTGCCGTTTTACAAAAAAAATTGAAAAATTGTTCTGATGAAATTATTAAGAAGCAATAGAATAAATAGGGATGATGATATCTAAGACGCCAGAGGACTCAATTTACGAATATCAAAGAGAAACGAGGTACCCTGCTAGCATTGATTTCAAAAATTCAAATAGAAATATTTTTTTGATTAGTTATGAGGGTTGTGAATCTTTTGTGTTACGTAGAACAATAATCACGATAACAAAAATGCATATTCAAGTAACACTTGTGAAGGAACAAAAACAAAAGGAAAACTCTTGCCAACTCGTAATCATTTGGATTAAACTGTTTCTTGCTCCCGATCAGCCATTTGCGAGCATGTTTATTATTTGGAAATTTATTATCGGAGCTACTCACTAATCAGATACGTCCTGATCAATTACAGGACATATTGTTTATTTCTAATGAATATGCCAAAACCTCGCAAAACGAACTCAAAATTCCTAATTTACCTCTCGCTCTCCAGCGCTCTCTGACGGCCTCGCCGATGGGGGCCTTCATCCTTCATTGGGCAGAGAGAAAAATGTGTATCTGGATCTATTGAGTTCTTCGTTAAAATCCTTCCCGTACGAATATGAAGGGTAGAGTGAAGTAATATTAGCAGTTAGAAACTAGGTTAGTCTGGTCTTTGCATTATCGTCATGTTGTCTTTTCAGCTGATAGGAATATGTCTGTTTGTGATGGAACTGCCCGATACAAGTTACACTTTATTGTGAGATTTCCACTAGACTAGACTAGTAGAAATCTCACAAAAAGGGGAACTTGAATAAAATATGTCTCTCAAGTCGAAAAACTTATCAAATGTGAACGGCAACACCGTACAAGTTTTTCATATTGGTAAGACTTATGTAAAATTAATGTATTTCTACATTGATATACTGAGTTTATATCAGTTTACCGATAGAAAATTATCAACTTCAACATAAAATAACAAGCAATATTCCATGTATAGACATCTTTGGTAATATGGACTAGTCGTGACATCACTTTACATATATTTCACCTGGAGATTACACAACTTATTGGTTACTGTGTCACAGCACAGCACCGTGAGACAAATCAGATCCTAAAATGTTCATAATGGAAATATGCAATAAGTAAACCAACGCGACGTATCTGTCATTGAGTGACGTAAATGCCAAGACGTAAATCTCTTCATCTTTTTTCAGTTGATGGAGTCAATGACCAGTCCATTTCGTGACGTCCCTGATTCTATGGCTTCTGGCTTCAAAGTTCAAAATAATGATAGAAATAGAATGTCAATTTTTTAATGTGTGAAAAGTTTTTCATTATTTTGCTCATTCAAATAATATGATAGTATTCGAAACTTCGACCAGGTTGTAATATTTTTCCAATCTAGGCGAACGGTGAAAGTTATTTTACAGAAAAATGTCTGTAGTATCTAAATTCAAAGGTTTCTTCTGGAGGCACAAAAACAAGTTCATAGCTGGAGGTGCACTAGTAACAGGAACCATCCTACTGTCAAAATATGCCCAAAAACGATTGAAAGAATGGCAAGAAAAAGAAACGGCAGAGTTTTTCGACAGGAGTCGAAAGTCCAGTCATTTTGAAAGTATAGAAAGAACATGCAACGAAACAGTTACCAATTTGTCTTCGGCGTTATTAGATGTTATAAATGAGACTATAAACACAGATGTTCTCATAGAGAGTCTAAGGACAAACCCTGAAAATAAATTAGAAATATGGAATAAGCTAAAGGTTATTTTACACTCAATAAAAAAAATTAGGTTTTACAGAATTTTGGAAAAATCTTTTGAAGTCAAAAGATTTTTCCAACTCATCATTGTAGTGCCACGTTCATCTATGTGACCCCATCGAGGGTTTCTGAAGGAATCATATGGGTTTGGAATCACTAACTTCCGTATGAGATCTTGAGATACTGAATAATTTAATATATGCTTGATGGAAACTATAGAGAAGGGTTATTAAAAGAGTTGAACGAAATGTAACATATTAAAGTGAATGAAAGAAGAGATAACATAAAAATGGGTGATTGTTGATGACCCTGTGAAGGGGCTGATGAGTAGCACCATCACTATTTTGTTCCCAAGATTGAACTGAGAACATTTGTGATTTTTTCATTCCCTCTCAGGAAAACTTCACAATATAATGTATGAAAGAATATATTGATATTAAATTTCACTTACAAGAAAGAGTCTCAATCTCCAGGTGTACTTCAAAGTTTCAAGTAAAAACAGTAGTTTTCAACAACTCATCAGCACCTTCTTGCATGAGTTTGAAAGGCATTCAGCAAGTCTCTATTTGACGGCTTTGGTCATCAGGCGAGACACAACAATTCTAGCCACAATTACAGTGCCCGAAAAACTAGTTGTTTTAATCCTAGCCATAGGGATTTTGGTTATTGAAAAAAGGGTTGGATTACCTATTTCATGAAAATTTGTTACAAACTTGTGACAGAGCAGATTTGTCTCTTCTAGTGATTTAAAATTGTGGAGGTTTTTTTGTGGATCAAGTGAACCGTCTTTCAAAGTAATCCAAAAAGGTACTTCATTCCTTTAAAACTTCAAAGTACACGTGAATATTGATGACATCCTTTGTAAGTTGAATTTTTTTTATCAAAACTTTTTCATATATTACGTTGTTTAGTATTTTTGTGAATGATATCTTTCTATAAATTGATGGATGTAGCCGTTATGGTAGAAAATCATAATGAAGAAAAGAGAAATGAAACTTTCTATGTTTTTTACCACTTTTATTTGTAACTAACATTACTGCAGTTTTGTCCTTTAGGGACATTTTTAAACTTATACAATAATGAAATAGAAGGATATCTTTCTATTTCAATCAGATGCATTTTGATTCTGTGTTTGAAAGAAAATGTGGTACGTTCTACACATTTTTGAATAATATTTTCATCAGAAGTTTTCCACTTTCTATATAATAATGGAGAAGCCAAAAGGTTTTTTCACAAAATCTAATCTCTCCTGAAAATATTACCTTAGCAATTACAGGACTTTACTTGTTGTAGGTCATGGTGTTTACTAAAGCTGCGACTATAATATATTCAATAGCAATGTTAGTTATAACATTGAGGATTCAGTTGAGTATTGTAGGAGGATATTTGTTCAAAGACCCGAATGCTGTACCAACAGAAATTCAAGAGAAGTATTTGTCAGTCTGCCAAAATTTCCTAAGAGAAGGAGTGATAGTACTAACAAAATTGGTTGAAACTGAAGTGAGTGACAATATTGTCTGGTTTATTGAATGCATAACAAAACCAACTTGATTTAAATTAAAAAAAATGCTTGTTTGACAGAATTGTGTACCCAATAAGCAATTTATATTACATAAAATTATTTTTTAATATATTATAGGGTTCCTAAATGTTATGTGAATTTTAAGGGGTGATTCTATGGAACAAGGGCGGATTTAGATCTAAATTTCGGGAGAGGGTGTTATTTATGATTTTCGGGAGGGGGTAATTTTCAGGGATATAATTCACATATGTGCCTGTATATATTACAATACCAATTTGAAATGTATTGAATGTTCAGATCAAACATTGTTTCCAAATACCGAAACTATAACACTCTTCTCAATGGTCAGGAGGTGAAGTATATTAATCCCTAACTTTAAAAGTTGTCTCAATAAACTTTCGGACACAAATCAATAATTTTGTATAGAAAAAAAACACTATCAAATGAATGAAGGAGACCAATGTTTCATATCTGAAATCAGACAAAGGCAATAGGGTTGTGATATTGGACATATCAGATTAATGGGAGAATTGCTAATTTAATTGAGAACAGTCCCTACAGACAACATGAAGGCACGTCAATGGAAAACCCACTACCCCCTCTATAGCTAATCTGTTCGCGAGCAGATTTGAATTGGAAGCAAAAGGAAGTTTGATTATTTTCTACGAATTTGGATCCGATATGCATATGATATATTTGCGATTTTTGACAAAAAGAAATCTATAGTCTATTTCAAAAGAGTGTAGAGTAATAAAATCTCATTAAGTATTCAAAAGCGCTACAGGGTGATCCGTCAATAAATTCTGTCACTTCCCTAGTCCGCATTGCAAAATTATGTCGTTTCATAAAGAGCAGGTAGGTATCACCCTGTTTTAAGGGATTTGTCCATTGTTATCGACGGATAAATACTGAGCCAGAGGCGCGCTAGTGGGATAATTGCCAAAAGAATATGCATTCATAAAAATTATATTAAAGGAAATAAAAATTTAATACAGCAGAACAGTGTTATTAAAAAAATATAAAATGTAACAATAAAATATATACGAACCGAAATCGGGAAATACTCACAAACACACACGAACGAACTTTACGTATTGAAACACTTGTGGGGACTTTAAATCAATTTATTCACAAAAACGACAAGAACTTTACTGGATACGTTATTACAATTTGACACTTGAACAATACTAAAACTGTGAAC